GAATTGATAATAAAAAAAGGAAATATAGTCCGATAATGATGCTTCCAGGTAAAAAAAAATCTTCATACACGTACGAATTATTCATTTAATTCGAATACTTCTAGCTCGCTGCTGGAATAGGATAAGATAAGGTACTTCCTAATAAAACTATTTTTTCCTCTTGTTTCCTTATTACTGACTTCACGTCCTTTTGAGCTGAATCACCGGGAAAGTCCCAAATTTCTTTCCCAAAGGCAATTTCTCTTTCTCTTTTTCAAGAAGAGATCTACCATCCATATTAAATTCACCTTTCAGTCGTACGGAACGTTAACCGCGAGAAAGAAATCTGGGCCGCGTAACATTCTTTCCGTGAAGTCGAAGGGAAATGAAGTTGCAGCGAGGAAACCTAAATGGATCGTTTCCTTAAACCGGCGCGGCGTTCGAGCGCGTTGCCGAGAGGAATGCGTGAAAGTTAAGCGCAATTCGCAAAGCGCGCGTGAAGAAATGCAAAATGCCCCGTCCCTTTCGCCGGCCGCGTTCTTCTTCGTCGAGGAAGAGTAGTGTCCCTAAGTAACGCATGATGATCGATGCTTCGGGCGAAACGCTCTCGTTATACACGCAGATCGGAAAGTTCCGTCTTTCTAAAGAAACAAGACTCTTTCTCTGCGATACTCTGAAATAATGTGTAAAATTCATTCAACCGATAAAGAGTCCTATATATGTTTCTATTCTAAAGAATACCCAGACAACACGCGTATCTGAAAGATATCTTCGAGACACCTTTGAAACGCCTCTCAGACACACGTGTAAATTTCGGGTGATAAACAACATGCCCACATTGCGTCACAAATGCCAGACAATTTTGTATCTACTACTATATATTATTTATTTTCTAGTAAAATCTATTAAATAAATACCTATTTTTTTACAATAAAATTACAGAAGCCTCTTCTTTGCATCTCGCAAGTAATAATTCAAAATATTCAATAACTTATATCCCAGACGCTTCTGCGTCAGGATTTAGTTTGCTAGATCCTCGATCCCTCTGGTCTCTTCAGCGATGTAAGATACATTTCTGGAGCAGATAAAAACAAATTGCGAATGCGGAGGAGTCGCGTGCGAGAGAGAGAGAGAGAAAATCGGCGAAGGTCGGTAACCTCAACTCGATCGCCGGAAAATCGTCCGGGAATCCTGTGGAGAGCCCACCCCGCGTCTCTTCCGCGCGGCGATCCGCTCCTCTCAATAGAAGCCGCTACATAGCCGCTATAAATACCGCGCGTATTTACCGTCTTTGACGCGCACGTGCGCCTCGCGTCTCTCTTTCTCTCCTCTGCGTGCCGCGGTGTTCCTTGACATCGCCTCCGTCACGTCGCGTTCTTAACTGCGGTGCCTTTGACAGTCGGTGTCCGCCGCGAAGTTGCACCTCCATCGGGACCTCCCTCAAACGGCGCGAAGTGAGGCGCGACCGCGACGTGAGCCTAACAACCGCGACAACAATTAGCCTTCGTGGCCTTCATGCACTCACCTTGCGCAGCAGGCAGAGCACCCCCTCCGTGTCCCAGGTGGAGATGTCGTCGAGGGCATCGCCCCGCGACGGCTTCTTGGACATCGCGGGCCGCCGCGCGCGCGCGCGCGCGAAGACGTAAAAAAAGCCGAACTGACCGTCGACACACGCGCACGTTCGCCGTCCGGCGGCGTCTGCATCGGCTTTAGTTTTTGCAGCGCCGTGCGACCGTCTGACAGGTCTTCGACTTCCCCTCCTCACTCTCTCTCTCTCACTCTCTCTCACTGCTCCCGTCGTTCTCGCCGTTCTCTCTCCTGTCTCGACTTGCGACCGGCCACCACCCTCGCCGGTGGCCAATGTGGCCGTTCGCGCGATTGGTCAGTTCTCTCGTGGCGCACCTGCGACTTGACAGGTCTGTCTCGCGCGAGGTAAGAGCCCCTTCCTCGCATATTTGCATGAATTATGAGTATTATGACCCGTGCCTAGTTTCAACATCAAACGTGACCGTACGAGTATTATAATTATCTTTGATATATGACTCCCGTGGCACGTGATCCTAATTTCCGATGACTCCCCTGTAACCAATTCGATTTCTTTTTGAAGAAAATATGAAAAATGATATAAAACGAATTAAATATGTCACTTGATATAGATTTTGAAATCTCTCTCTCTCCTCTCTCTCTCTCTCTCTCTCCCCCTCTCCCACCTTCTCTCTCCCTTCCTACATACCTTTCACTGGAAAGAAGAATGAGTCACGTAATTTCTTATTTGCATTTCGCCCTCGGTGGTTGCAAAATGAAATTTTTCATAATCTCTCATTTGCGTTGGCGCTTTTAATAAAAATTTTACTCACGGTTCTCGTAAAATAAAATTACGAAATTACAAATAATAAATTAATAAAATGTCGACTTTTGCCTTAAAAAATTTCAAGTCGATCTATAAATTAGACCATAACTTATGAAATATTTTTATTAATTGTAAAATCTTTTTATTTAAAAATGCGAATTTCTTACGAACGACGAACAAAATTATAATTAATAACGCAATTAACATTAACATCAATATACATTAATTTTAAGATTAACTTAACGTTATTAATAATCACGAATATTATTAATAATGTTATATAAACAAATGCTTAATTAAGGTGCGATAAATATTTTCTCTCGACATCCAGTTTATTTGTTCGCTCGTTTTGCAGTGTCCGATACTCCGGTGACGGAAGCTCCGATTGCTCCTGAACTCCGAACGGCGCGATTGCGCCGAAAGGCGACCTCGCGGCCATCAGCCATGAGAGCGGCGCCGATGGTCGCGTAGACGCGCGTTGGTTGTCGACGACACGGTATCGCGAATCATTTTTCGGAAGAGTGGAACGCAAAGTGAATCGGCCGATCGGAAACGGATGACACGATGACTGTCGTCGAGCTGAGCACGGAGCAGGCATTTGACGACTTCGTCAAGTGAGTAGTCGGCGTATGATCGGGTTGACAAAAACCTTATAACCTCTTCTCGCGACTTAACTCGTAAATATCTTACCCGCGAGAATTTTTAGAAACTTTATTTTATTCCTGGAATTTTTAAATAAATCTCGAAATTTTGTAATTCTAATTTTATAAGTTTTATTCCTAAAATTCCTAACACCGGAAGATGTGTTATCTGTATATCCTTGTGAAATAAATGTTTTACATTTCTGGAGCGACAGATCTTTTTGAGCGAAAATGTGACGCGATCGTAAACATTTCTTTACTCCTTGTCGATTTCTCTATTCGAGGATTAGTGTATGTACTTTGTGACACGACTGTGTCACAAGTGTAACTGTTCTTTCGCGAATTTTTTTTCTGCACGTTTCACAAGCACGTGTTTTTGTCCTTGCACAAAGGTCCAAGGAGCTTTCCGTCGTGCACTTTCACGCGCCGTGGGCGGAGCAATGTTCCCAAGTGAACGACGTGCTCGAGGAGATGACCAAGCTGGAGCAGTACAAGGAAGTAAAGTTCGCCAAGATTGAGGCGGAAAACGTGCCGGAGGTGTCCCTGAAGTCTGGAGTAGCTGTCGTGCCCACGGTCCTTCTGCTGCGGAACAGCGGTGTGATAGGCAGGGTGGACGGTGTCGATGCGTCCGCGTTGACCGAGAAGATCAAGCATCATCTGAACAACAAGGACGCCCCGCTGCTCGACGCGGCGAAGGCCAAGGACTCTCTCGAGGATAGACTGAGGAAACTGGTGAACCAAGCGCCGTGCATGCTGTTCATGAAGGGGAACCCGGCGAATCCGCGGTGCGGTTTCTCCAGAACGATCGTTTCGATTCTGGACGGTTACAAGGCGGATTACAAGTCGTTCGACATATTGCAGGACAATGATGTTAGGGAAGGACTCAAAAAGTTTAGCAATTGGCCGACGTATCCGCAATTGTACCTGAACGGAGAACTGATCGGTGGTTTGGACATAGTGAAAGAGATGAACGAGTTGGGCGAGCTAGAGAGTATGCTACCAAAGAAAGAGAGTGTAGATGCCAAGTAGACTGTTACGTTTAATGGGATTTTCTTTTGCATTGAGTTCCGCGTACAAATAATATATAAATATTATTTTTCCAAGCAGCTTCTACTGTAACTGTCATCTTTTTAATGTTATTTCGTAATATTTCGCTTTTGGAAAAAAAATTACAAATTCTGTTCGCGCAATAAATTTTACAATGGATTATAGTTAAAAAAAAACTATTAATATTCCACTATTTTCAAACCATTCGCCTGTCTTCCCCATCAACCTATTTTCAACCATTCACTTTATACTCATTCATTTATGATCTTTAACTATTCAATCAATTTGTACAAAACTGCAGCATAAGGTGAGAATAGGAATTGAACCCACCGACTATCAGTCAATTGTTCTCAAAGCCACACGTCATCCTATTATTTTCACTTCTATTTTATTAAAAAGAACAAAAAAAATCAAAATTATAAGTAAACAAGATCTTCAATTGTATAATAAAAATTGCTAATAATCGGATTCTTCATCCTTATGTTAAATATTGTTTAATTTTATATCGTGTGATTTGTTATTAATATTTTTTAATCTTAATTTGTCACATGTAGACCCTAAACTTTTTAGATGTAAACGCGTATCCAAACATACTCAACCTAACCTAACTTTACGCGACGAGTCACGAGACTCACGAGGCAACAAGTACACGCATACCAACTAGAGTGATGAAAATGTCCCACCACAATTATTATTTGAGTTTTCTTTTAAATAGTTTCTTAAGTCACAGACAGCGCCATCTCGCGTCCTTCACTGGGAATAGTGTTGCTTTTAACCAGAGAGGATCCTCTCTGCTTTGAACATTCGCCTACGGATGGCGCCAATATCGTATTCGTGTTGCATGAGTTGCATCGCTGCTTGCTTGGCCGACGCTTCCAGTCACCTCTTCGTTTTCATATTTTCACTGTGCGATTTTTTATTTTTCATCATTAATAACGCGCGGAAACGAAATATCTCATTTAATAGCTCCATTATATTACTTATATTTATCACATATAAAAGTTATATGTATTTATGTATATAATTTTTTTGTTAATACATGCGTAATCAGGAAGATTAAATTACACATATAAATATGAAAAATGAATTCCAGAAGGCTGATTTTAGGTTGTACCTATCTATATTGCACGTGAGTATTACCGAAGAATTTTATCAGTATATACAATACATTGTATTTTGTACACGATATTTCTCGCGTATAACGCAATATGAAAAATGTGTGTAAATATAAGTATATAAGAAACAAAATATCGGGAAATATTATACAGCTGCAACTAATGTTTTTCTTGACTGCCGGGACGCAAATGCGGAAATCAGCGGAATACATGCAGGACAGTTTATCGCCCGCAGTTATATATAATATTAATCGCGTTAGTGTTGCAATCCCGGCTGCAGAAACAAAGTTTATCGTAATGAAACCGCACGATGGTGATGACCGAATTTTTCGATTGCTTCGCGGAGGGACGATAGAACGCGTGACCACAAACAGCGATAATTCTCCACACTGTGGAGTAACGTCAACATCTCGCGAAGAAATGAATTATGTAAATCAGTCAAATAAATCAGTCAAACTATATATACAATTTCGTGGAAAAAAGATCTCGCCATTTTCTCGAAATCACTTAACGCATCGATCCTGTTGCTCGATTTTTCGCAGCGTGAGAAAAATAATATTAGATAATAGCGCATGACAGAATTAATGCAGCCGCTTCGAATAATTTTTCACGTACGCGACGCGGACGCACACGAGCGTTAAGGTAGACCACACGTGCGCGCCACGCGTAATTCATACAGCCGTGCCCGTAATTTAATGACAACGACGTAATTGCGACGCCGGATCTATTTGCGAGAGCACAACCTTTTACCGTAAATTGAAAAATTGCCGAGTCGCGACGGGAGGGGGGGAGGAAGGCGAAAATTGCCCGTGCCGCGAGCGGCGCTTGTTTTATACGGTCCGTCGAAAAGCCGGCCGCGCGCTTATCGCCTATTTCGTTCTAATTAAGAAAAGAAACAGATTTGCCCTATTCAATTCCACGGTATTCATATTGCGAAACCGAGAAATCGAAAGATTAATATCCATCCGTGATATTCGATTATTGTATAATGCCGGCTCGCGATGGCTGGTTTACCCCGCGAAATTTCACGCGTTCGTTATCGCGTGTCGCGATAGGATGTGCAGGAATTGCCTACATGTCTTATCTGAGCCGCGTCCAGTTGGGGTTCGCCGGATCACAAAATGCGCGGGTTCGCCTTTGTTTACTCGTCTCATTATCAATATAACTCGACCGTTCGGCGAGTAACCGGCAATGAGTATACCGTCGCCGTTTAAAACGCAAAATCGGCGATATGACATCACGACGATGTGACAGAATGATAACCGCTACGCAACCAGCTGATAAAAAGTGCTTAAACCGAATTTTGTATGTATATATGTGCATGTGTATTTGTTGCAATATAATATTTATATTAATTCGCAAATTAATTTTAAAATCGTGCGCATGTATGACGCACGCGTCTGAATAATAATCCTTTCAGTATATGATCTGCAAATGCAGGTCGATCGAGTTACATTCCACACGGAGAGAATTTTTTTTTTAATTTATCCTGCAAATTATGTTAATTGTGAGACAATATAGTATTTAAGCAAATTTTACTGTGCACTACAATAAGATTTTACAGTAAAATTTATTGTAGTGCACAATAAAATTTGCCTAAATATTATATTGTCCCACAATTAACATGATTTGCAGGGTAAATTTAAAAAAAATTCTCTCCGTGCAAACGAATAAATTGTGTTACTCATAATTCCCAACTTTTTCGCATATATTTACAAATGTATAATGGTTATTAAAGATTATGTTAAAATTTTACACATATTTATAAAATTTTTACGGTATCTAGTATTATTTTTATTTTCTATGGTATTATTTTTATTAAAGATTATGTTAAAATTTTACATTCATAAAATTTTTATGGTATCTAGTATTATTTTTATTTTTTTTCTGGTATTATTATGATTATATATTAATTATGTTCTTGAATTTAATGATCTATTTTTTAATTATTAAAAAATAGATCATTGAACTCACAATCAAGAACATAGTTATAAGACAGCTTGTAAACAGAAGAAACTATTTTTTCTCACACTCTGTCTCTCGCGTTTTATCACGAATGAATGACCGAATAAATATCCGATTCTCGGAAATGTTTTTTTTTTGGCAGGTAATTTCTATCCATCGATTTTTCCTTTTATTTGCATTTCTCGGAAGAGGAAAAGAGGGAGATGCTATGTCATCACAGTGACGTAAGCGGACCGCCCCTAGGTCTTTCGAGATCGATTCTCTGACGTCACTGAAGGACATTTACGTAATAGGAGTTTCCTTAATCCTGCAACGGGTTACATCAAATCCCCACTTTTTCGTTCAGGATATGCTCGATCCGAAAGACTCGAACAATAGCTAATTATAAGCTAATAGGATAATTTTAATTAGCAGTAAACCCTGCGTGTATCTCCTAAAGATATCGAAATAGATTGTCAATAGATTGTACTCGGTATATATAATGCTCGATATCATTACCGTTCCGAAAGGTGAGCATTTGTTACGCAATTAGTAGAACTATGTATAAAAATTTACATAGTAATAATATGTTCCCGATCGAAGCGGCGCAAATCACGGCGAGACCGCTTATTATCACATTTCTTTTCTTTCAACGCTAATACCGCCAGGCGGCATTTCAATGTTCAATGATCCGTTCCGATTCCAACAAAAACAATATAATAATGATATACGGCCTATATGATTAAACGTTACGTTTGCCGCTATGCAAACATATCTGCGTCGTTTCCCACGTTCATTATTATTAACGCATCGATCCTGTAATTTTTTGTGTAGTTCCGCATCTTACGGATCTTCGAATGACATTTCATCATCCATCCGCGTACGAGCAATTTATTTTTCTGCGAAGTATAATTTATTCAATTGTCGTAAAATTCCCCCAATTATGATCACACTATAGATGTCCTGCTTAATGAAAAATCAAAAAGTTGAGCTTAATTACGTCTTCTAATTCAAATATAAATAATAAGATGTAAAATTTGAGAGAAAGAGAGAGAAAATTTCGTGGGTATAATAAAAAGAAAAGATGAACGATAGAAAATAGAGTTGATATCGACAAATTAATAAAATCCATTCTCTAAGAATAGTATTAGAATTGACATTATTTAATTGATGACGTTATCTAATTGGAAAGTTTCAAACTGTCTTAAATACTTAAAATTTTCTGTGGTCGACAACCAATTTTTTGAAGTGACGAACGTCGCGCGATTACCGTTCCTTTGTGGAATTTTTTCCATACGGTAAATTACTCGTAAAGCAACCATGCGAGGCGATGCAAAAAGGAAACCAACGTACCTGTGGTCGAAGTTGAAAAAAAGAATATGAGACGAGAGAAACAAAATTGCATGAGTTCTTTCAACGTTCTTTTTTCCTTCCAGACGACCTTTCATTCTACTCTCCTCCATTGTCCGACTTCCGACGAGCCTTGTGTACCTGTGTTCCCGTTATACTATCTTTCAGAGAATCGAAAAATAATTTCAAGAATTTTGAATACGAATAAACACAATTCAGGTAACGTTCAATAAATTAAAGTAGTTTTTTTCATTATTTTTCACAAATAATTCATGACAGACAACCTTAACGGTGATTAATTCTTTTCTTCGTGTTGCATAAAAATTACTTATTTTTCTTACATAAATCATATAATTATTCCAGTTGTAAATGTAACCCAAAAAAAGAGAAAAAAAAGAGACGAAAGAACTTTACAAAAATTAACTAATATTAAAATTAAATTAATATTTTACAAATATCTATAATAATACACCTTTCATTTTTGGGACATGTTTCACAAGATATTTATCTGTCTTATATCTCGAATGAAAACAGATATTCTCCGAAATAATATGCATTAGATATCTTATTATTCAATCGCTTTCGCAATGCTAAATTTCACTTTGGCAACGTTCGCGAGTGCAAAGGAAAGGTCAACGAAGATAATTGATGGCATAAGATTGTGCAACCCGCGAATAATTTGTTTGCTCGTTGGAAAGTGCGATGATAGTGAATCGGAATCAGGCGATTATTATTCGATCGCCAACGGGTCTTTTGCTTGTCCGATGTGATATCTCGATCCTTCCGCGAGACTCGATTTTAAATCATTCGCGTCGATCGATTGTTCGATGACAATTTACTTAATTAAGCAGGCGGAATATATTAGAAAAGGCGAGCGATTATTGGCCGATTTTTCGTCCGCGAGAAGCGGAATCACATTCCGATGAGAAAAGTATTATCACCTTTGAGAAGGCGAGTCGCGATCCTTCAATTTCTTATTGTTCAGTGCCCTAGCGAAGTGTCTATTTCAACGAGCCTTAATGAACCTTAATCTTATTGAGATACGATTTATCGATGCTGCAGAAGCAAAAAACGCGTTTTACGAAAATAAAATGATGTTAAATAAAAACAATGTGACAGAATATATATTTGTTACATTGAGATAAGAAAACTGCAGGCCTAACACTTTTCGCAATCAAATGAAATACATCTTATACATTTTTCTTCTCCTCGTTATCTCACGATAATGCGGCACCGAGAAAAGTCGCGACCAATATTCCTCAGAATTAAGATACAGTTTCATTTAAATCATATAGAGAAAAGAAAGAGCGCTGAATACAAAGTTTGTATTCCGACTGCAGTAGCTTACGTATTTTGTTTACTGGACAATAATATATGACGTGTTGAAACGTGACATTCGGCACTGTGCTGTGGTAAAAATAACGCAACAACGAATTCGATCGGCGAACAAAGTTTTAACGAGAGGGGGAGGGGGGTGAGGGAAAGAGCTAGGGAAGGAGAGCGTGATCGGAAGGGTGATCCTTTCCGAGAAGAAGGCACGTATCGGTCCCTAACAACGTCAAACTGTTCGTTCTTCCATTCGGCCTTTCCCGGCCTCGTTACCGCAAATCGCGTCGGCAAAGCGCAACGGGCAATGCAAAGTTTCAATGAAAATAATGAACGTCGCGCCCGGCTGCGAGAAATGGCTGTTTTCGCGTTGCAATTTGAATCTGCGACTAACGACTTATCTTCAAGGAAACGGGGCGATCGAGTGAATTGCAAAATGCAAAATTAAACGACTATAAGATGCGAAGTGGCTGTTAAGCTGAAAAGAACGCCGACTCTTTCCCTTCGGCTCTCGCGTGCTGTAAAAAAAAATCGCGCTAATATAATTTTATAGATCGCATCATCAATTCTTGAACTGTCTTTTAAAATATCCGCGACGTAAATATGAGTAAGCACGTGCACGTGCGAATATCGTAATGCTACATATCGTAATACTTCACGCGAAACACGTTACGTTTATCGGAATAACGTTTTTCCTTTCCTCCTTATTTTTTATCAAAACAGTCTCAAGGTTGCCGTTGATAAGATGCATGCGTGTCCGCATAGAGATAATTTAAATTATCATAAAGATAACTCCTTAAAGCTTAATTTTTACCATAGACTTTATTTTGACTAAAAATTCGAGAATTTCATTTGTTTCTATTTAAATTTTTAATAATTGAATTGAATCGAATTGAATTACAAAATTACATAATAAAATATACACGTGTATTATTATTATTGTTATTAAGAAACTACCGTAGCTACTCTCGCTTCCAGTACTACTTTTAATTAACGTAATGGAATATCATCTGATTTTCCATTTATCCCGCATAATTAATTCACGTACGTTCGTTTATTTCCCGTATTTGCCCCTAAAGTCGGAGAGAAAGGCGCGCCAGAGGCCGCTCGATACGTAGTCCGGGGGTGGCGTGGTCTCGGTGGCGCGGTTTTCCCTTGCACTCACGTACATACGTACAACGCACACACGTTTAGGACCAACGGAGTACGCGCGGAGCTCTGTACGGGTCGGAGTTGGCGAAGAGAGCGGCGGTACGACCATTCAGAGCTCGACCAGCGCGCCGTGCACATTTCGTGCCTCCGTCTCTCTCACGAGCTCTCGCGTACGCTGGTAAAAGTAGCAGCGCGCGAAGGCGTCGGGTATAACAAAATATAATACGATATTCAGTGACAGTGCGCGGGTTCGAGTTCGATTCGATTCGATCGGAAAGGGAGAGAAAGACGGTGCCTGGCGTTCCGCTCCAGAGGTGAAATTCACGCCATGGCCGACGTCTGAGATCGATCCCCGAGTGTGAGACAGTTTTCCCCATTCTACCCCGTTCTACCCCGGCATCGGTGCCCGTCGACGAGTCTGCGTCGAAGAGTTGCGGCGAGATCTGCGAAACAGGTGAGAGGACGTACGTCGGGCAGCGCGGCGCGCGGCGCGGAGCGCGCCGCGTTTTTCGCTCGCGATATGTTGAATGAAAAGTCTCGCGGAATTTCTCGGCAACGCTGGAAAATGACAGGCCGGGGGACAAGGTACACGAGAATCCCCGCGATCCCCGGCGGAATCGCAAAAAAAACGCGGCCTGATGGTGCTCACCCCCCGCAGACGGATCTCGCGCACCGCGCAGTATGGCCGCTCTCGAAAGGGCGCTTCGCACCCCAATGAAGGGTGGCTTGCGAACGGCGTGGGTGAAACTGCACGTCGGATCACGCGATGGAACCCTTCGCGATTTCCCGTGGGCGTAGCGAGGCACGAAAGCCACGAATAATTTGTGCCGATGCCACGCGGCTTCATTGTTAAATCGCTCATCGCGCGGCCGCTCTCTCGCCGGTTTGCTCCGTTGAGCGGGAACGTCTTTCGTCGGTAAACATTTGTTTCAATTAAATTAATTATGTATTAATTCTGCTGAATTAAATCTTAAGTGAAATTATACAAGAATTAATTTTGCAGATACCGTTGTTTTCTAAACTTCTTTTGTGAAGACATAAAGATATACTGAGATATCGTAGAAATATCGTTTAAAAATTATTAAAATATATAAAATGTATAAAATTTAAAACTATATTATTTTTAATTAAAAATTATTATTAAAGCGAGCAAGAAATTGAAAATGTGGATTCAATTACTCTATTCAGCAATCTAAAAGAACACCTAAATTTTTGGCGCGGATTCGATATATTTTTGAATCGACATATTTTAAATAATTTTAATAGAGTTTTGCAAAGCCGACGAGACACGTGCTAAATACGTAATATCTTGACATCGATCGTGTCTTATAAATAGTAAACTTTGTAACACTGTAACAATAAATATTACAGCGTTGCTTACGATATTACAATTACTCTTCCATTATATGTATTTCAGAAATTTCTTCCGCTTATAAATCAAGATATTTTTGTATTATTTATTTTTTTAAATAACGAAATGTAACAAGGTCTTGATGCAAAAGTTGAAAATGATCATCTTTCAAAGTGAAGTCTTTCAAAGTTTCAAATCTTGTTGAAAAGATTATCATGAGCTTTCCGAGTCGCAGCAAAACTTTATGATTATCACAAACGAAGACTAAACTAATGAGACAAGAGATATACTTTGAATCCATGGAGACAAAAAACTCTCCTTTCTGCAGAATCGTACATTGAAAATATCTGGCGAAAGTACAATCTACCTCTTCGCGAATTTGAGTAAATTTCCGCGTCATTCAGCGAAATCTCCTCAACTCTTTTCGCCGCGTATATCAGCCTGTGACGTCAGGAGATTCGTTATCGACATCGCACGGCAGGAAGGTAGATAACGGGCACTTCTATATCTGGTCGATTTGCCGGTGTCATTATCTTGCGGCATTAGGGGGCGAAAACTGGGTTCGGAAAACCCGGTCGGCGACCCACGTGGCCTATTGATTTTCTCGCCGTCCGACACGCTCTCTCTCCCCCTTTCTCGCTGTCCGCCCGGTTACCGTTGACGCCATTAGGATCTGACGGCCCTTTCGCCATCGCTGTCAATTAACATCGAACGTAGTACTCTCGAAAAAGTACTATGAGTACTCGAGGGCACGCGAATGTCGGCGCACTCTTTACGCAATACGCGAGTCGGAAGTTAGTCGCGCGCGTAATGTCTTATTAAATCGCGCGAACGGGACCAGCGACTCGCTCACGCTTCGCACACGTAATTTTCCCAATGACAACGCGGCCCACGCCGTATTTCTGCTTGAGACAATCGTGAAATCTTCATCGGGCATCATCTGGAAATTGTTCCCTCTCTCTAACAGCTACGACGTTCGTCAGCGTTCACTTAAGAGCTGTCATTTAGGCCGATGTACTTAATCTAGTGTCTCTCGCGATAAAATTGAGATGACAGTATATAATTTTCATAGCGTTATATACATAGGCCATTAATATTTATTAACGGCGGAATATAAAATATCTTAATTTTAGAATCACGAAATACCTATCGAGATATGACTCTCTACAATTATGGATGCGTAATATTGCGCAATTCTAATCACGCCAAATGTTCTCGTCTCTCGATAATCTCTCTTTTTACATCAAAAATATATTCCAAAATGATTACGATCATTTTAAACGGATATTTTTAAACGGAAAGTTTTACGTACATAGTAATAAAGGCTTTATTACTATGTACATGAAATTTCCGTTTAAAACGATTGTAATTATTTTGGAAAATATTTTCATATTATCTCTGAAAACCTGTTATTATTCAACAAAGATATGTAAATGGATCTTTCATACTGTATTTCAACGATGTATATTGATACGGAGTTCATTTTGATAAGTTTTGATGTTAAAAGACAGATTCTAAAGATAAAAATTAACCGATTCGAACGTCATTCTATATCTCTATGAAAATATCCACCATCCTTTTTTACTTCAATTAAAAAAAAATTTTTTTTTATGTTTACGTTTAATATATTTAGAGGAAACCCTGGGAAATTATTTAAAAATCATGACTATATATCTTAAATGTTAAAATGCCGATTACGCTTATCATGTACAGTTGGACTATTGTAGACTCTCTACAAAGAGCTGAGATGTGAATTAATGGGAACAAGGCGATTTGCCATTCTCACGTTATCGCAAAAGATATGTCATCGTTCTTCAGGGAAAGTAATCGATGGAACCGGTGTCTTTGCTTTTACCTCAGATACGTTTAAGTACAGTTTGCCTCAGGCTGACACGCGGCAGTAGACACAGAGGTCGGTTTAGGATCGATAAAAAACATGATGCAACATTTGGCAGGACTTTCATAGGTACCATCATGGCTTACTCAGCACATGCCAGTCATAAGTGCAATGAAGACACTTTAAAAGAACAATCTAAGATATATGATAGAGATTCTAGATCTATGTAAGAAGAGATTCTAGATATATGTAAACTTATAAAAAAACGGTAAACTGTGTAAATGACTGTAAATCAATTTCTAACGTAAGTTAGATAAAAATTAATTCTAACGTTAAATGAAAGAATGAAAATATAAGAGATGCATGGCGAAAATGCATGAAACATATGTAAACAATATTATCTCAAATCATTTTGTAATTTTTTTATCTCGTATAAAATTTAATTTTTTTAAATATCTTTATTTAATAAATATCGTAAGTCAAAAATTAAAAAGAGAAAATAATCGACAAGGCACAACATCCAATCATAAAATTGCATTCGAAAATCCGTTAGATTTATGAAACTATATAGAGGCGACCGTTTCGAAACATAGTCGGGATGTCTGGTCCAAAGTGACGAACATTAGGAACCGGTATTGGAGTAAGGGGTCCTAGATAATGCCTGTAAGGCTTGGACAAAGCCTCTTCCGACGTTCTTTCACGAACGCATGCGTGTATGCGTGTATACACATATACATATGAAAAATGGAACAAGAAATGCTGGTAGTGTATATGCATATACACGCGATATTGTACGCGTGTGGTGTGTTTCTCAGGCAGCTGAAGCAGTACGAGTGCCAGCCTGACGTATTACGGCTTTAGATCAAGGGGATTCTGTAACGTGTAAAAACCCGCAAAGTACAACGGTAGAACCTCATGCAAAATCACGGCAGTAAATATTCATGATGTCCAGATTTCATGCAGAAGCTCGGTAGTTAAAAGAATTATTCACAGGGGAATATAAATGACTTTATTATAGAGCACTTATTATACAGCGAGACGTAATCAGTCATCTGGAAAATCGAACATTTTTATAATTTTTTCATTACGCGATTATTCGTGGTTTCGCCATCGCGATGTGTTTCCTACTTTTAGTGCTTTCACGCTTACTTCCTCATTTCTGCAAAAATCTTTCTCGCTGAGAAAAACAGAACGAGCGGAATGTACGGCAAGATTTGTGTTTGCAGGATTGTAACATGAGACCACGCGATACTCGATGCTAGACATATCGCGAGTGAGATGATATATCATCGTGCGATACGATTAAAGACACGGACACGTGGCGTTTCCAAGGTGTGAACAAATCGCTTCCAACAATTGGCCCACATGACATAATACGGGGTGGAAGGACGTTGACTTTAGCAATTGTGTCGAGAAGTTGGAATTGCATTCTGTTTCCAGACCAGCCGAATATTTTTTAATAGACGATATTTTATAAACTCGTTAATATAATAATACATAGAGATTCTCCAAGAGCTAGGCTCTTTATAATCTCCATAAATAAATTACTGACCCTTCACCTACTCTCTCGTATTATTCCAAGTTTTTTTTATCAATTTTCTAATGTCACACTTTTACGAGAAAAAAATTGAATACATATTTATAAATAAGTAAAAATTTTTCTTTTAATATTCTTGGAGATTTACCGTTTAATCGGCAGATTAAATACGGCAGATTATGTAAAAAAAATACGGCAGGATGTAAAAAAATTGTAAAAATAAATCTTCTTTGAAGACTGTAGGTGTAGGGAACCCTGCAAGCAATTTTCGACATGCCTCAACAAGCACGAACGAAGTACGGATTTGCGTGGATTTGTTCGATTGGATATTCATATAGAAAAAGAAGCTTTGTAACAGCATCTCTGCGGGTTGCCATCCTTATTATTTGCTTCATCAATTTATACTTATCCTAATACTAATTCTATATGTCGTCGTGACTGTGAAGTCGCGGCTGCTGAGTGAACGGCTCGACGCTCCGCTCAGCATGATTTTTCCGGGTCAGTTTAGATTCTATCGCTACTTTTAGCGAAACCGTATTGACGTCCAATCCGTGAAATAAAAAAAATCCTCTTCAATTAAGTAAGTGCGAGGAAGAATATGATCCTCTTGGGAAACAAAAAACATGGAATGAGGAAGCAACAAGCTAACATTCTTATCAGCCAAATAATTTTTTTTACTAAATCTTATCGCATACATATATCACAAATATCGCAAAACGTCTGACACTCTCCTGTTGACATGCTCCGAGAAAATGCTCAGAGTCTGATATTCAACAAATATCTCATTCCGGAATTCTGTGGATGCACGGTCTAAAGTAAACTGGGAGCTGAGCGATCGGCAAATCAGTCGGAATCAACGAGATGAGATGACATTGGCAAGGACGCGGCACGGGCTCGTCGGTCGAACGACAAATCAGACGATCACTAAAATAGATGATATTGCGTGTTTTGTTATTTCATATTAATGAACACGATTAATGAGTGCACGAACGAGCGTAGTGCACCAAAGAACAGGTTTTTGCCGAGAGCAGGTTGTCGATAATAAAAAGGTGTGTATCGATGATCGCGCGTGCCGATTGGCCGGAAGCCTGGCCCGACGAACGTCGTGGTACTGACGCAGAATCCTAATTAATTTTGCGATTATACGACTACGTGTTCTCCAAAACTCACCTTTCCCCGCCAGTCCCGCGGCCGCGCTCGCGACGTAACGTCGACTTCGATCACATGAAGTTATAGCGAAGCGCGTTATAAATAAATGATAGAGCTGAGGGAGTGTAACAACGGAAGCCAATTGTTCTCTTCGTAGTGAATTCGTAGATTCGCGGAAAAAAGTAAGTAAAATTTTAATTGAATAGAAAATGAAATGGACATCGTATAGGAATTGTAATAATAATATTGTGTTTTTCGTCTCTGTACGCTGCAATATTTGTTCGCTGCAGGAATGACATAAGGCAGAAAGACTCGTTTCTAAGAATTTTCAAATTATAAACAAGCAAACATCTTATTGTTAAACTTGGTTTTGTGACGTCATCTTGTGCAATACGCGGTTGCACCTCACAAAGCTTTCCTGTATTTTTCTCTTCTGCGTCAAGCTGCGCTTATTAAATGTTAAGACTCGCACTCTTTTGTCTTGTATACCCGTGTAAATGCCTCGAATTACGCGAATCTCACTACGGTATAAGACATAACAAAAAATTGTATCAATAAGAATAGCAACAAAATAGAAATTATAATATAATTATGTCCTATTAGAGAAATCAAAATATTATCCGTAAGAAATACGATATATAGAAATAATACGATTAATATTATTACTCAGAATTTTCAATAATTACCGGCTCCTATGTATTTCCAGAGTGCAAGCCTTTTTATTCCTGCAAATTATGATAATTTTTAAAAATTAATATTGTAGCATTAAAACAATCAAAATGTGCATTCAACGACTATTTTAAAGAACCTATTATTCGTAGCCGATGGCAAGCAAAGGGCGAACCTGTTGCCTGCTGCGTGTTGCCGAGGATCGCGAGGAATTGGAATAAAAGCGACCTTTCGCCCACGCGGAATCCTCGCCCGTATCCTCGCGCACAGGGAGATACTTCTATCCGAGATATAAATCGACACAGTTCATTACGAAAGATACGCGTTCCCGCGTTCTCGGTCTCTCGACCCGCTTCGCGCGATTGTTAGATGCATTATTCAGGACGAGAAGTCCTTCGGGAGGCAGCCAGCCCTCGGCCATGAAACACCGGATCGCGATTTATACACCGCGCACCGCTTCCATTCCGTTACTTAGAACCGATGAGAGGAAAAACGGGAAGTGTGGAGAGTTAGATTCTCTGCTTCGTTTTATTTTGACGTTTTACGGCACAGATAACGTCGACGAGTCGCCGTTATCTTCATTCTAGGGGGAAATGCAAATATGTTACAAAATAGGACGTCGGTCTTCAAATATATCGTAATATCTTGTGTACAAAATGCACAAGAAAGGTATGTGCGTTATATGCAAGAAGACAAAAATACTTTCCTCTCTCGGTGAACTGAGATACGTAAGAAATATAAGTCTTCAGGAAGTAACCGAACGTCGAAGAATACGCGAAGGAAAGAGGAAACGATTCTACAGTTGGTTTATGTGATTCTCGCGTGACGGGATACGATCGCGTCCATACAATCATCGATTTATTATTCTAGCAGCGCGCGGATAATCAGGGTAGAGGGGTTGTCAACTCGTTACGTAAGACAGTACACAACTACGTTGCACGTATATACCTAAACAAATTGCGACACTATTATCCGCGCGATCTCTCCAAGGCGGAACCGTCGAATGAAAAATCAAGTGGATATCGCCGCTCGGTTGGATCCTTCCGAGTAAAGCCGTGTAAAAACGAGAAACGTAATGAGCATAAATTATCATAAAATCTCACAAGACCTCGAGCGATTTTCTTGATTTATTCTGACGCCAAAAAAGATACAGGCAAAGTACAAGCCAATAGAATGCATTCAGACGTATATACGCGGGAGCATGCGATCGCTTTACACCGCAGCGGCTTTTAAATTACGTAAAAAAAATGTGTGTATTTTCATGCATATCAGTTGGTCGACCACAAATATTTTTTTATCATAGTAAGTGCTCTAATTGCGCAGCGATAAAACTAATCTAAATGGCATTGCGGCATCAAAAAGTATTCGTATTTTGTACGATCGGTTGTTCGAAGTAATTTCGATATGTCGCGGCAACGTGACAGGTTCGCTCGTAAGTTTTATTCTATTCCATATAAAATATCTTAATTTATAAATAAAAGCAAATGTCAGTGAGACAGTGATTTAACCATCAAAGAGTACGAAGGGTTTTCCTTAGCATCATAAATTTATCTTCTATTATTTTAAGATGGGACAAAGTTACAAGACTCTAAATCAATGATTGTATTAAATCCTGTAACATTTATTAATTACATCGAATAATATTAATTTAATAAATAAATATTTAAGACTAATGTGTAAGTCTTTCTTATTGGCGATATGATAAATATTTATATTATAAAATTAGGTTTTTTACTATCATGCGTTTTACTATAATAGCATAATACGAGTAGGACGCTATACGTCAATTCTATTTTACTCGAGACAATGTCGTAAATATAAAATAATAGAAAATGTCATAGATTTAAGAAGAATTCATTTGACGAATGAACGATTGTAAAGTATAATTTTTGTACGTTTCAGAAAGAATGTCGAAGTCAGGGAGCATCAAAGATGATGAGAAGGGGCCCTATGACCCGGTCCCTACCACCGAAAAGGGCAACGACGAGATCAAACTGGAAGCGAAAATGTCGCTTCTCAATGGTGTCACTGTTATCGTCGGTTCCATCATCGGTTCCGGTATTTTCGTTAGTCCAACGGGCGTCCTCAAGTACACCGGAAGCGTGAACGCGAGTCTTCTCGTTTGGACGGCCTCCGGAATTTACTCCATGGTACATATAATCCATCCCTTTCGTTTTTTACAGAGAACAATTTCTCAGTTATCGTTCTACCGATTTTTATTCAATGGATTTCTTTATTAGTTTGATGCCAATTAATGTAATTAATTAAAGTGACGTAACAAGTATCTTTAGTATGGGTGTACAAATAAAATAAAGAATATAAACTGTCACATATGTATGTTAAATTAATTCCTTGTGTTTTTCATGTCTTTCGATAGATAGGGGCTTACTGCTACGCCGAGCTCGGCTGCATGATTAAGAAATCGGGGGCGGATTACGCGTACATCATGGAGACCTTCGGGCCCTTCTTGGCGTTCATCAGACTGTGGGTCGAGTGCATGATAGTGCGCCCGTGCAGTCAAGCCATCGTGGCCTTGACTTTCAGCGTCTACGTCCTCAAGCCACTTTTTCCGGACTGCTCACCACCCGACGAGTCCGTAAGAATGCTCGCCGTCTGCTGCATATGTAAGTAGATAACGAGAAGCATTTCGCGACGCGACACATGAGCGGAAAATCCGGAATACCAAATCAATCTAGTCGGGATATACCCGCGAAATGACATTGTAATAAAAATAATTATACTTGTATTTAATGTAGAATTGATGCGATTGATTCGGCTGTCTCTTTTGCTACCGAAACTGATGAAAATAATGGAAAAGAAATGACGTTTTTGGCGTTATTGTTCACCAGCGTGTAGATCGAGTTTTGCATTCGTAGAATTTTCTTCCGTTTGCGGCTTCGTTATATTAATTTATTTAACGTTACAACACTTTAGAATTAGCATCACGCGACCGAACGCGGATAGAAACCGTCCGATCTGCATGCGGAGGAGCGCAATGTAGCGGCGATTTAAGTTTATCCGCGGAGATACTTGTTGCAATCAAAGCGGGAGCGATGCCGCTCCTATACGCGACAAATAATCACGGCACAATACCCGTGTGGCTGAGGGATTGAACTTGACTGACTCGCGGCGTTCGTCAGTGGTGACGATTTCAAACGATCGCCGACGCAACGTGGCCCGCAGAAAATTCATCTTTCCCACAGCAATCGTGCCCTTGATTTGATAGAATGTCATCCCGGGTGACTTTGACTCGCGCTCTATGATCCCCCGCTCTTCCTCTCTCGACCGCTCCAGCTGTCTTTCAACTCATTCTCAGAGAGCTTCTCTTTGTATCCGCCCGTCCCGAAGGATCGGCCGTCGAGATGTCGTGATTTATCACGTGTCAGACCTCGGACACTCGATTAAATTAATTTATTTCTAATTCATCTTTCTGATTCGTCACTTCGTTTATTTATTTTTGTTTCACGTCCGTAGGTCTTCTTCTTCTTTGCTGTCTTCTTTTTCTGTTGATTTAAACTGTTGGCTTGATTGCAAAATCTAATCGCGTCCCTGCAGCAGATCTTCAGCAAATCTTATTCGGATAAATAATAATTTCTATTTTATTTCGATTCGCTGATTGCAAATTGTGATCGTAAAGCAAGTTAAGTTGTGCGATATTTTTTTTATATATATCTTTTTTTTATTCATGCAAGTTGTAAAAAGATAAAACATTCTGTCTTTCCTTATCAAAATGAGAAAAAAAACATTTTAGGCATTTACTACTTTTATATATTCCTGTTGTAAAAAATGTATATAAAACGTAAAGTATGCAAAACGTAAAGTATGTAGTTTAACATAAATAAACATAACATATATATAATTTAAAACAAATGTAACGTATATAGTTTAAACAAATGTAAATCACCGTTTTTTTACAATTAGATAACAACAATTAACAAGGATAAAAAATAGTAATGTTCATATATAACAATTGTAAACTTAACTTTTACAGCGGTGAGATAAATGTCTTAAATAATATTGTCGAGCAAAAATCTATTTACGAAATTTATTATAAAATTATAAGTAAATTCTTAAAGTATTTTTGAGCAAAGTATTAACCGATAAAAAAATTAATCAATCCTTGCAACCTCCTCTTGATTGCTAAAATTGTTCAGAATGTCACGACGAACGCAAGTGAAAATTGTCACAAGAGAGAAATCTTACGATGCTCCGTACATAAGGAAAAATCATTTATCGAAAGTTTTTCCTCACTCATACGACGACTACTTGCTGGCTCGTACGTACATATCGCTCGGGAATCTCCGATGAAACCACTTACGCATTTCTCGACGAAGCTGCGTACGTACACGGTGGAATTCCCTGAGCAGAGAGAACGACAATATTCTAACGGCCTTGAGCCTCCCTGTGCCATGTATTTCGCCCTTGACGTTTTGTTCCCTCCGCTCATTTTCCAGAAAGGATTCCGCTATTCTTTTCGCGTGGCAAACAAGGTATAGACGGCGGCTCTTAGTCGTCGACACAGTAAATTACTAACAAGACGTAAGAGCTCAAGAATGAAGTCACAAGCCTTCGAAATAATCCTCTAAAAGATAATACAGCAATAAAGAGAAAAGTAAGAGAGCGAAATTAAATTAGACTGAGAAACAATCGCGAGTTAAGAAACGTAAAAGAGAAACTCTTCTGATTTTTATGTAAAATTATGAGACAACGAGATTCTACATGGCATCGTGTTACTTAAACTTTAATACGTATATTCACTCGACATAAAACTTTCTGTTGGCGCGAACATGAAAAGCGGCACGTTCTTCACGACAGACAGAGAATGAAAAGTGGCCTTCAAATTAATATCTCCCCCTTTTGAGCGGCGTGATCGCGCAGCAAGCTACATTGTAATTCGCATCCTTCATACCGATGCGCGCAATAGTAATGACACCCTCTCCGATGGCAGACACTACATGTCTTTTTCTTACCCACCCACGACATGGAAATTACTGAGCGATTATGCATATCGCGGTATTTATTCCCTTTCAATTTCCACGAGTAATCGCAGGAGAGACTCGGGCGTTGGAATCTTTGCATGGCACGATCGAATGCCGATTAATAACAAAAAAATAATAATAATTCGTTCACGGTCGCCAATAGGAATAAACAACCGTGCGGATCGTGTCACTGGGCGTATTCTCGCGGAATTCGAGGACGCACGCAATTTTGCGCACGTTTTCCATGCCGTAACATTCACTTTTTTCCATGTTTTCGCGGGTGAGCGAATAAGATGCGCATTCAATCAAATATCATGGAGCGTTCTCATGAAATATTTAACTAAAATATTAATAAAATTCAGACTACGAAGAATTAAATATTAGCAGTATATTAAATTAATATATGATGTCGAGATAATTGATAATTAATTATTTATTAATTGTTGTTAAATTAATTATTGATCATTCTAGCATTTGCAATTATTAAAATCATCTGGATATCACTGGTACACACTGAACGGTGCGTTTCTTTAAACAGTCTTAATTACGGAATATATCAGAGGATAATTTATACATGATGTATATCACACGACAAAAATCTATTTTTAATGAATTCATTTTGCGAACGAGGATACGACCACGAGCGGACGTATCGTGTTCCTTGCGGTCGTTTGACTGCGCATTTCTTTTGCTTCGATATCACCCCTGTGCGGATCGCATTACAGATACGCAGACGTAATTGCATTTCAGTCATTTTCTCCAGGAGAAAACAATTGACGAAGCATTTCCCTCGTAAATATTTACGCGAAGAAATAGAATAAGCCTGTAAATATTTGCGCGAGATACGATTTCACTTGCGTTTCTCGCAAAAAAAATATTCGACAGGAGATATAAAAAGTATCTTTCAATGAATATACAAAAAACGAGCTTGAAGATACAAAAATATCTGTAAAAATAAAAAAAATATAATTTATTAATTAATGAATTAAATGTTACTACAGTTAACATTTACATGCCGTTATTGCAATGTAATAAAAGGTGGGACTCGAGCGAAATGAATTCTATTCATTATTAAAATTAGTTTGCTGGGTAATAATTAACCTGAGATATCTATCTGAGTAAAAACCTAATACAAATAACATTTTATGATATCGAACTCGTGATAAGTATGATATTTTTCTGGACTATCGGACCATAACGTAAGAAATCTGTTACGTTTGTAATCGACATGATCTTTGAAGAATAGCTTCGAGCGATTGGAAGCCAATCGATCGTTAGCTGAACAAACAAATACCTCTCTTTCTCTCGCTTCCCTTGGAAAATAAATTACATTTATTCTAAATTTTGCATAAATGTACTCGGACAAAAATGCTGTAAAATACAAAGAGACGAGCTGGTTGTCGGCGACGTTGACTGTATATTTGAAGGAAATAAGATTCCGCCATATAGAGTTCTATTTTATTCCTTCCGATGAATCGCTCGACAAACCGGGAATAGGTTTTCCTGAAGGAAAATGAATCGCGGACGCGGACATTCGATCGACGACGAAGATGTCATTTGCAAATAAATGACGCGTTGCGTTTCTCAATATTTATACAAGTTTATCGAGTGCCTTAAAAAAGATTATAAATTACGAATAAAGCTTCCTATTTAGAGAAATCTAAAAAGTATATTGACCTCTTTTCTCTTTTTTTAAAGAAAATGTTTTTTCCTATTTATTTATCATTCTCTTATATTTTATTTATCTCAAATGTTTCAAATAAAATTAGGAAAAATATATTGTTAATATTATTTGTAAGTGGAAAAAGTATTTAATTAATTAGTAGAAAAAGTATATATATATATATATATATATAATTAATGAAAAAATCGCAATGTTAATAAACGATTCATTAATTAAACTGGCCATGAAAATCTGAAAGAGATTTAAATCGAACGATCCTGCCATTCCCTTACATGTATATATATATATCCACATACACATAAATATTTGATTTAATTTTGTTTTTTTTTCGTACGAATGAATGACAATGCGTTTCCATTTCACGCTAGCAAGTGATACAGATCAATGACCAGAGCGAGCGTCTGTCCGCATCTTCCCGCCTCATTCGTGTAAAGTGCAAGGATTCGCGATTGAACTGATTCATTAATCGTTATTCCTAATTATAGCTGACATTCGCTGATGAATTGACAAATCAACTGTAGCAGTGCACACTCGTTGTGAGAAATGTTCCATAACTCTCTGTGACAAAACTTCTATTTTCAATAGACACAAGTTGAAGAGATTTAATTTGGGATTTAATAAAGCCTTTAACAGATCGTTTGAGATGGATTTAAATGTTACACGCGTTAATCACGACGACACGTGGACGGGCCGGTGGAAAGAAGACGATCGACGCAGACTGAGTGGAAACGTCGATGCGAGACCGCTCGCTCGAGTCAAAAGCCTAATGGCAATCACGCTTCATTGTGAACAAATGTAATTTAATAACCTGACAACTGGCCACCACAACAGTATAATTCATGAATTCACCAGTGGGGGGATAACGGGACGAAAAGGAAGGCGAAGGAAGGAAAGACAAAACGGGCGGGCCAGGGGAGGAGGAAGAGGAGGAAATCCGTAGACGGCGCGTCAAAGGGGAAAGGGCGAAAGGGGGAAACGGAGTCTCGCGATATTTCTGCGAGATGTTGCATCAGTCTCTCCCGGCGTTTCTTCTTCCTTTTGTTCTAAGCATCTAAGCGAATCCGTCAAGGACGCTCGGCGTCTTCGAGCGACGACGAGAGCGAAATCTTTTCGCCAAACTCTGACTAAGGGACTAAATCGTTTATTCGATTGGCATTATCCTTTGCGTAAATCGAGCATTCACGATTGTCCCTTTAACTGTATGTAATTCCTCTATAAATGAGGAAACAAAGTACTTAAAGAGGCTGAGGCGAGTAGGCAGAAGAACAATAGATATTCAATTGAAAGGCAAAATAATCGTTATGTGTGATATACAAACCTTTGACTATATAAATATGGACTGCTAGTCCCCCACTTTTATTTACTATGTAAAAGACATATACCTGGTGCCGAACTGAAGTTGGTTGAGGTATCGAATTTCGATTTTTAGGCTTCACTCCAGTCAGTAAAAAAATGTTAAATATGTCAAAATGTATTAAATGTTAGAGAGCCGGAAAAAATCTCAAATTGACGGAAAGAAATTAAAAATAGACTAAAACCTTTCGTTTACACGTCGTAAACACGCTGATTTCACAGGTGCTTTTCCCCTCCCCGCAGAAAATTACTGACTGGGGTGGAGTTTACATCTTCCAGCTTAGCGACACGTATGAAGTTAATTACTATCGGTCCATACTTATATAGTCAAATACATTTCTGCCTTTACTTTAAATCATATTTTTTACCTAAAAATGTAAGTGAATTTTTAATTACAAAATATAAAATATATACAAATGCGATAAAATTCGTAATATAAAAAATTAGAAAAATTATAATCAAAATTATTATTAAAACAAAAACCTATAATTTGTTTTGTAAAAATCAATGAATACCATGAATTTATGAATTAATATAATATTTGTATTTGTGAAATTTGGAATCTTCAATAAAAGAGACAATCGATCAGTCGACCACAAATTTTCTCCCTGCTTCGTAAATTAGAATATACCCTATTTTTCTAAGAAAAATTGATAACACGTATGTTTCCACTCTGTTAAATATTGATAAAGTGACAAAATTACAACCGGTTCGAAGCTAACATAACTCAGGGAACGATAATGATCTCTCGTTATCATAAAGTTAAGGTCACATAAGTATTTCAAAGTGAACAACACACGTGGAACCGGGTGGCACGCGCGACACCACACATGATTCTTAATTAGATTGACTTGGGTGTCGCTTATGTGAATCGTAATAGGTTCATACAGCACACTTGCTGCAGGCGATGTATTGAGCGTTGAAAACTAAGATTTACTCACAAATTGGCGGCCCGAGGTGCCTTTTCAATCTTGCTCTTAACGAAAGAAATAATATATATGCACACAAGCGTTTGAATACATCTTGATTGCGGGATAATTACCTCGACTATTCGCGTTGATTGTTTCAGGTATTCTCGCTTTCATAAATTGCTGGGACGTCAAGTGGGCGACGAGAGTGCAGGATATCTTCACGTACGCGAAACTACTCGCGCTATTCGTAATAATCTTCACCGGGGCGTATCAGCTTTGCACCGGTAAGTTTGTTCGTTATCGTAAGTATATTGACAAGATAAAGTTTCGCACATAGAATTTAAAATTCGTAAAACAGATGTACGAGTTTGGAAAAAAATTAACAAAAACTAACGAATAGGAAACTAAAGAATAGGAAATGAAGGAAACTATACATTTAAAAATATTAATGTGTATTAAAATAAATACGTCTACAACGCAAAATAATCCAATTTAACGAGATAACTATATGAGCATTGTATTTTTTTTTAATGTTATAATTTGATGAAGAATTAAATAGTTAATATCTCTTCGTATCGCGAAATATTTCACGAAGACGGAAAATTAAATCTCTTCTATCCAATATCTTCGAAGTAGCACGCGAGATAAATTAATAATACAAAGCGGATAGGCTTGCTAGAACGTATTACGAGGTGAAAGGTCAACGACATCGCTCGATCGCGTGCAGTTTGCGGCGATTTGCAACGATCCCGAGTGACGCTAATCAGCGCCACGTGATCGCGTTCTCCGGTTTTCGTGCATCGTGAACTTTTCTCGTTCCCCGTAACGCGAACGATTTCACGAAGTATCGAGGCACCGCGGTCCACGGTGTATTATGTATGTACTTTCAACAAGTCGAAAGAATCGATCGATTGCGTCAGACAGACTTTCTCTTCGCGAACGAATTGTCTAATCGGTCGATAGTTCCAAGTGTTTTTTCGACACGCCGATCGTATCTCTCGTGACGCTCCTTCCGTTTTTGCTGGCAAGAATAAAATCACGAGGTGCATATAAAATTAATTGAATAGACACGACTTGTTCTCTGTTGAAGATATAAGATTCCATTACATATAAAAATATGCAGCTGAGAAAAATTTCTTGCAAGAGCGCACCCGCAACTAAGCTTAGCATTAAAAATGAATCAAAATTTTAAGAAACGTCACATAGGAAGATTTTGGACGGAGAATCGAATACGCGATGGAAGTTGGACGTTTTTTCAGCAACGTACGCTTGCCGGACGAGACAATTTACCCAATCAAAAAGGTGCGCAGGCGATGCGACGTAGTCGGTGTGCGTGCAAGGAATCGCTTAAATTGGACTATTCAACGAACCAAATGGTTCCTTGACCGTGGCATGCGACAATCATCTCAATTCTGACGAAACTTTTCTTCGATCTTACACGCCACGGAACCTCATACGCGCGCCTTTCGTCAACGGTCCCGCTCAAAACCTCTTTCCGCATGAAAGAACTGATTAAAAAGAGACTCTAATTGAAATACAGTAAATGGAAATGTCAGTTAGAACTAGTTACTACGATTAAGATATGTAAATGAATCATTTTGTAGTTATACGCCTGCGTTTTACGTAATGTGAACAAGCTAGAGAAAATATTAAAAATTGGTTGTCACTTAAAATTACACGTTAATTATATATGTTGAACATTTAAGAACTAATTATATTGACCATTTAAAAATTGATTACTCTCATACGAAATAAATATTTTCGACGTCGATGAAATTTCATTTTCTCAGGACACACGCAGTATTTCACGTTCGACAACAGCAACACGGAAGTCACGTCTATAGCCCTCAGTTTTTATTCAGGCCTGTTCGCTTACAACGGCTGGAACTACTTGAACTTCATAATTGAAGAACTGAAGGACCCCGTTAGGTGAGAACCAAGCCCGTCACGCATTAAATTAAACGCGATTCAAAGTTCATAATTGAACGTTAATTCGGCGACAATGGTCGCCACGGAGAATCCGTTTTACTCCCGCACGCTTATAACCATGCATTTATTTAGGAATCTGCCGAAGGCCATCTACATCTCGTGCGCTCTCGTTACGATCGTCTACGTCTTTACGAATATGGCCTTTTACACGACTCTCAGCCCCGTCGAGGTGCTCGGTAGCGAAGCTGTGGCTGTGGTAAATAACAGCAAACATACCTTTCCTATAAAAAGCGTAGTTTCTTAAGCGTCTTAATTAAAAGAAACGTGAATTGAAAAATACAAAAATTAAATTTTATCTTAATAACCAAATAATTTTCATCTATATATTGTTATCATAATGTATACTCATTCATTCTAGTCCATATCTATGAGTAATATTTATATATTACGTCCATTTGCGTTATTTTCACTTTTACTTTTTTGTTAAAATTATTAACCGTATTAAAATTAACTATTATATATGGACTGATAATTTTTAATTCTAAAATAATTATTTCGCTATTTAAAACTTCTAAATTATCTTTATCATCCGCAGACATACGCAAACAGATTGTTCGGCGTAATGGCGTGGACGATACCGGTCTTCGTGGCTCTATCTACATTTGGTGCGGTTAACGGCATTTTACTCACGTCCTCGCGACTTTTCTATGCGGGTGCCTGCGAGGGTCAGATGCCGGAGATACTGACGATGATCCAAATTAACAGAGTGACACCTGCGCCCGCCGTAATTTGCATGGTAAACTCAATTCTCTTTAATTCATGTATAAGCTTTCATAAAAATATAAATCGGCTGAAGACTATGATATTGGTCGCTAACATATTAATACGTCGTGTAAAATGCATTCGATCAATAACATAGTAAATTTTTCCTAACAACGTAGATACGTAAAATCATATACTTATGTGATCATATATGAATCTTGTTAGTGTAGGTAAGATAATATTTAATTTTTTTTAAGAAATTTATCTTTAAGCTAATAAAAAAGTTCAATCATGTAGAAATTACTAAATTTATTCTATTATTAATTCTTAATAGATCATATATGATTTCCTTTCGACAATCAATTTCGCGTCGATTTTTTTTTATATCTCTATATATGTTGGGAAACAACTATTAAATTTTCGCGTACAACACAAGCCAACACTTCCTGCTTGTTGACCAACGTGATTGCTGCCAGACTCAGCAAACACAGGAGCACAATTTAACGGATAAAATTGTTTCCACCACCTTGTTGCGGCGATCAAATTTACTCTGTCAGAATTAAAGGCACCGTCTGTCACGATGAACGTTAATTGAAAACACAATATTTTTGTTCCAGGCCCTGCTGTCCATGCTGTACCTGTGCTCTTCCAACATTTTCCGTCTCATCAATTACGTCGGCTTCGCCACATGGGTACGTATACGATTTTCGCACTCGCCGTGTTTTCTCTTATAACGGAAATAAGTGTCGCGTAATGTTTTCATGCGCGAAGAGATAGCCGTTTCGTTACCGTGGCCATGACTTCAGATTTTTTTCCTATAATTAACTCAAAGCAGCCGACCGACTTTCTCCCCAACTTTGTTACACGAATGATACTTGAGTTATAAAGGTCGCGCAGCGTGATTGTCACGCGCGATCACGCGATAATTATTTCTTAGAAGCTTATGTACCTGTCCACGATGAATTAGCTCAAGTGGAACAGTAATAATTTTCCAATTAGTCGACGACATCACTTGATGCAATTAGCTTTGGATCGTCGTTGGATCGGTACATATAAGCCCTCTTCATTAAAATATAGCTGCTCCGTAATGCCGCGTATTATGTTGTCATGTAGCGTTACTATAGAATATACATTCAAACCTATCTACCAACAGATATGGGACAGATTTTTGTTTGTAAATTTATAATCTCGATTCTTATGTCTGTATAATATGTATATACTTGATCTGTTTTCGAACCCTTTCAACATTCGTACTTTAATTTTAAACATTAACGTTATTTTTAATCTCGACACGGAGATACACATTTGTACATTATTAAATTGAAAAAATTAATGTGGCTTTTATTAAATTATAATTTCTAACTTTTTAATTGTCAAATAATTTTTTGTCCCACTTTAATTCGTCACGTCTAAAAAATTGTAATATCTCGTCAGCAATATTATTTTTAACAAGTGTTTAAAATATTACTGCTTAATATCTAAAAAAAAATAATAAAAAATTAAATATTACTTTTCAAGTAATTATTTTAATTATTTACAAATTCTTTTGATTTCTTTTAGGATTATAATTTCAATTTATATTTACGACAAAATTTTTTAATTCAATTTGCAGCTCAGCATAGGCGTTTCCGTGCTGTGCCTTCCGTGGCTCAGGTGGAGTCAGCCGAACTTGCCGAGGCCGATTAAAGTGAATCTCATCTTTCCGATCTTCTATATTCTTGCCACTCTCTTCGTTACGATTGTGCCGATGTACGCGAGTCCCGTTGAAACCGGTGAGCATCCCATCATCGATAATTCGTAATGATTGTTTAAAGAATATCTCAAGAAAGCGCAATATTCTCTCTGTCTAAGGATACGGTTGTCTGATGATATTCTCCTCCATACCTGTCTACCTCATATTCATCGCGTGGAAAAACAAGCCGAAATTCTTCCAAAGAGGAGTCGGTAAGTTCAACGAACGAAATACAATACACGATATATTATCAATTTTAATTAAGTATTAATACATCGAACGTTATAATAGATGCGATATTCGCAGAAATTTTCGGTTGTTGAAAATTATGGTTGAAAAAATATCAAATAACTTTCTTTGTTTTATAAAAATTAAGATTATTGACCGTACTGCTTTAAGAATAAAACTGGAAGATAGAGAGAGAAAAAATAGCAAGCGCTCTAAATTTACTCCAGTCAAGATCGCAGAGTAATTTAATAAGACACACGTCCGTTATATTTTAATCTGTAATTTAAGAAATTATCTGTACGGTCGCGAACAATCTTTCGTTTCGTTTTTCTCTTTAACTGATTTATTCCCGCAGGCGCCGTCACCCAAACTTTGCAGAAGCTGATGGTAGTCGTGGGGCCACAAAAGGCAAAGGTTTCAAAACACTTAACATAATTTTACTCTTGTCATGTCACGCATGTTTAGCACCCATCTATTTTCTTTGCTTCCGTCTCTTATCCAATTGGAAATATCTGGAAATAGGATTCTCTCATCTTTCAAAATCTCATGATTTATGCATGCATATCTCTAATTGTTATCACGATTTCTCTTCGATCTATCATGCATTTATATTTTATATCGCACACTTATTAACTGTCTTTTATTATATTATACAATATATTATAAAAATATTGTATTTTATAAGCTTTCAAAAATAATGTATTTAAATTTTTGCTTGCCGCCTGTTCATCTTGCCTATCATTTCTTCAGTTTGGAAACCAGCGATCTTTTTAATGCACATCGCGACTTTGTTTCAATTTATTCTACAGTACATAATCTTCTAAAATCTTGACATTTCTTTCGAACTTGAAGAGTTTAATGATCGTTTTATCGGTCGCAAGTAATTAATTGGGTACAATTGCCAGCGCTTTCACCTAAGTTATCCAGGGCATCGTTGAGATTTGATTTCGCACATCACACATACACACATCGACATCACAGACACACATTCAAACATACCAGATCGAATCTCTCTCTCAGAGAGCCCTATTAACTCAGATATCAGCGACTAACAGACGCGATTGATCGCGCTCCCTTTGCTAGAACCGCACTTGCATCTATAACGATCTCGGGTCACCGCGGCCATCACGTTTGTATAACACCTCGCTCGCTCTTGTTACAGTAAGCACGACAAGGCTGCTGCAAAAGATAATGCTGGTGGTCGGCAAGTCGAAACCCGCTCAGGTGTAAACAGTCAAGACAAATCGGATCGAGATCGAAACGGCGAAGGCGAGGCCTCTTTGGAAGCGGAAGTCGCGGAGGATTTTCGTCGATCTTCGAGTTGTAGTCGATGATAACCAGTCTCCTCCTTTTATCGAGAAAGAACGAGATTGGTTGGCATATCGGTCTTCTGCTGGATCGAGCGGAATTATTCTCTTGACTTTTCCGGATTAGAAAAGGAGCGTCCTAGAACAAGAGGCAGCCATATCGAGTGTTAGGACGCCGAAGGGAAGGGATGAAATTAGGACGAAACGGCTCGTCTTCCAGGATTCGGATCTCGTCCTTGGCAGGCGCTCCCGGCAGTACCTGCTCGCCTAAATCACGAAGCAAGGCTGCTGTCTCTCGTACGATTTCACAACGAAGAGAGATATACGCGAGATGACACGACTGCACGCTTCTGAATTAATTAATCTTACTCGACAGCGTCGAAGTTCTCATGCTTTCACAAAGATAAGTTAAGTGCGATCGATAATTTTATATTAGCGCTGTCAGTATATGCAATGCCGTTGTTTCTCTGTGTTGCAGATATTATCCGTAGAATAATTGTAAATCTTTAATAATTTGCTCGAGTACAGAATATAATAATTATAAAGATTTATATATATATGTATATGTTATATATATATATATATATATATAAGATTTATATATATATATATATACATATATATACATAATAAACTAAATATTGCGTATTTCTGAATTATCTGAATAATTGATAAAATAATTGGATATCCCTTGGAGATATGTGATTAATTCATCGCGAATACTGATAGCGTTATTATTATAAAGCGTCATGAGGAATTTTTTTTTTTAAACACCAGTTACGTCATGTTTGTAAATCCCACATATATTTGGATATCGAGATATCATTTATCGCCGTATGAAAGTGATTTCCATCGTGATTAAATTTGATTCACTCATCTTGCGGAAATTAGAAATAATACGTGATGCGTTACAAACATTTTTTGTAAAGCAAAATTTTAATTCTAAAACTCATAATTCTATTTATATATAATTTAAGAAACTAGTTTTAAATTTTGATCTTAATGAATGAAGAATTCATGTACGCGTGTGAATTACATTATGCAAAAGAGAGAGAGCCTTCTTCCTCAAATTAAATTAATTACTGAGTCCATAAGTGCGAGCAGAGGAGAGCTTGATAAATAAATTATTACACGCGATTCTAATATATACTATATGAATCAAGAAATCGCGTCAAAGATATGTGTATACTTCTAAATAGCCTACAAGCAATACACGTATCGTATTCGGGACGGAGAAGAGAAACGGTTGCGACCGCGAGTCTCATCGCGGTTTACATTTTTCTCCGTGCGAATGACCTATAGAACCAACGGAGGAGTTGAATTAAATAATCCGACCGGCGTGCCAGAAAGGTTGAGATAACGTGTCACTGTAATTAATTAAGCACTGTTTAAGCTGTTAGTCTTACAATTATAGTCGTAGCGTTCGTTCAATAAGCGATGTTTGCTGTATGTTGTATCGTGATCCTCCTGTTGCCTGTTCCTCGTTATCTCAACACCGTTGTAGCTTTTGGCACTCGGACGCGTTTGTAATTGAACTCTAACCGAGAATCGTCCGACATACGCTGGCGAACATTCCATACATTTACGGTGCCGCTTCTTTTCGTTTTCGACACGCATCCGCGATCCGGTTTCGTTTTAGATTAAAACTAGGGATGCAAATATCCGCAAACGATATCGTTCCTGCTCGTTTGCTATTACTTTAATATCCGTGGAAAATAAATTTTTTTGCAGGAATAGCGTAACGCGTTAACGTTTTCAATTATCAAATAGCCGAAGTGCGTGCCGCAAACTCGCTTTAACACTAGAACCGCGGCGATTTGGGCCTCTCCTAGAACTGCGGATGGATTATTTATGATTTATATTACTTTTTTTGTGATTTTTTGTCGACAAAGTGGTCACTAAATAATATATTTTTCTTAATACTAATAATTTAGTCTACGCATAGCTACAGTCAACGACAATGGAAAAGAAAAGCTATCATGGGTAAAAAATGGCACAGCCGCGGTTTTAGTTTTAAGAGAAAAGACTTCTTTAGAAAATTATTAAAGAAGGACTAACGAAAAAACTGTGATTAAATATAGATGCTAACATGTATACTTTTATCCCTCGAGTATTTTTGTGGTTTCGCTGAAAATGTTGTAATGAAAATATCCGCAAAACATGACCGTAGAAACTGTGTAGTGCTATTTTATCAGAATTCCGCGAGAAAGTCGGTTGAGAATACCTTGTGAAAAAGTGTTACGAAAATTTTACGGAAGAGAGTGATTTCAAGCAACAACCGTAGCAAAATTATCTCCGCGTCTTATGGCAAGAGATCTAGAATATTTTGATATATCGTTAACATATCTTGCATCCCTAATAGAGATCTACGTGTATGTATGCAGAGATTTAACCCTTCGTTAACGCATTTTTAACGCACCATCTTTCACTTTTACCATTAAGTCAAACCATTAATTCCTAATCTTGATTATTCGTTAACGGTTCGTTGCGTTTAAAACGAGGAAACGGGGGGTTAAAAGTGCATTTGTTACGCGCTGACACTCGATTGTCAACGTCGCATAATACTTTTATATTTTACTGCCACAGGTGATTAAGTGCGTGTATATGTGTGTGTATGTGTGCGTGTTTGTGCGATTCTGACAAAATGGGAGCAGTAAAAAAAACGGCTCTTCGATTCCATTTGCGTTTAATGCATCCTAAGGAGAAATAGTGATGTTTGCAGGCAATTTAGAGAATGGAAAGACAAGCTTCACAATTGACAAAAATAATAATTTCTAGGAAAAGTTTATGCGCAAAAATCTTTCAAAAATCTCTAATAATAAAAAAAAAGAATATCGGATAAAGTATATTACTTTACTTACTTTTTTTATTTAATGATATAATTTTAAATTAAATTAAATTTTATAGTTATTTAATATATATCCTTTATTCCTTCGATAAATTATAACTATTACTATTTCTCCTTGCAATCTTTTCATCTCGTATGTGTTGAAAATCGCATGAACTTATAAACGTATGATTATAATTATCGAAAAATATGATTATCAAATTTCTAAAATTTTCATCTACTCCAACATTAATGAAGGAAAGAAAAGTTCTTGCAAAAGTCGCCCATCATCGATTACGCAAAAATGCGCTTCTATTGACAAGATTAAACGCGTGTGTACATTGTTCGATCTTTGAGCGCGTATGTGCCTCTCAAGATGAGATTATACTTAAGTCTCGATTTTTTTTGTATACAAATAATAACGCTTAAGATGCTCGGAACATTGGATGAAATTTCAGTTTCGACTTTACTCTAGGTCTCGTCATTTGTTTTAAATTATCCCGGCGAAAAGTTTTTTTTTTGTTTTATTTAATATAGTAATTAGCGATATTATTATTGTATTATATTTTGCACCTTTAGAATTTCATTCTTAAAAGCGGAAGTCCTCGGTCCAGGAAATGGCACCGTCGCACATATCCCTAGCAGAGTTGTTCTAGGACCAAAAAGAAAATGTGTTTTTTACAGAATATTCGTGAAACGCCGATCTCGCCTAATTGAAGGAATTCATCCTAACTTCCTACACATATAGTTTTAGTTACCGCAATATCGTATTTACGAGGCAGCTTGGCGATTCGTCCACGTTTCCCTCCGCTAAAAATTAGATACTTAAATTAGAAAGCATAGTTGTGACATTTTTTACTACAATAGCTTTTAGTGGCGTAGCGCAGACAGTAGAGCTGTTATCGTCGTGAATTTTTCACGGCGCGCAAGACAATAACTTTCTTTCGCGAACTTGAAGACGAACGTACGTTTGTAATCGAAAGGCGGATCGTCGATGCTGCTCTCTCGCCGCAAGTGATAATTTCGTAAATCTTCGTCATTTTAGCTGTACTTTATGAGAATCACGAACATCCATCAATGCTCTTCAGAATGCCTGCAGGCGCGGAATTACGTAAAATATAAAGTTCTGAAATATCGAACTTTATATATACATTAACAAACTGTTTTAAATAAATGTCTTCGATTATGCCAAGTGTTTAAAATTCTGTGCCATTTTTAGCTGTTAAATATCAATTGAACATATAATCAAACATATAAATAATTAAACTAATATAACGATTACGAATATTATTATTAACCTTAATAAAAATATTTTACGAAAAAGAAAGTGCGGCGCTTTTAATGGAACTTTAAGTAATCATTGAGAGAATTCACGATATGGATTTTGATAAACAATATTTAATATTGTACAACATATAGATGCCAGCAGGCATTCTGATTCGTGACAATAAAACATCAATGAATTGATAAAATTAGGTGAGAAAGAAAGCGAGAGAGAGAAAGCAGTGAGGAAGAATATATTATTAATATTGTGAGTGCATCTTTTATATTAATTTTTATGTTGAAGCCCGTAATAAGAGTGTATTCGATTTTGGAAGGTTGACCTTATATCGTGCTTTATATCGCGAATATAAAGCGTCATTTTCTCTCGTTACAGATTCAACAATCTTGCGAATTAAGAACTGTAGCTTAGGATCTGAGCACGTAAAAAAAGTGGGAAAAATGAAGAAAAATATATATATGTATAAAGAGCGAAATAAGACAATATATTATATTGTGTAAATACCTGTGTATTGATTACGCAATTCCCTCGCTCGTGACCGAGTAAAAAGTCAGTCCGGTCGACAAGTCGCGAAAATTCAGCTGCAACTTTTTGCGAATCATCCTTTAACTGCGAAAGTAAAGAAGATAACGAAATGACATTAACGAGACTACGCTTGTGTCTGGTTATATACGTCTCTATATTTGCATGTGTATAAACATATAAGTTATAAATACAGTAGATATCCGCGTATTTATAACTTACACACGATAATATATATGTATATATATATATATATATTTATATTTATATGTATAATATTTATAGCTTTTTCCCCACAGCAGTCGTACAACATATCGAAATTGTAAAAAAAAAGAAAAAACAAGAACATTCAAATTTTTGGCTCTCCGTGGAACAAAATACTATTTTACATTTTCCTGTTCGGTGAACTTTTTCCCCCGAGGACTGTTGACTTGCAAAACGAATCGAGATATCATCGGCCTACTTAAAACTTACTCAAGATCCGCGTTTAAGAAGCGTTTCGAAGACATGTAACTTCGCACGTCACTAAAGACTTTTCATATAATAAAAAAATGTCGAAATCTGTGGCGAGGATTCCACACGTATAAAAACGAATTGATATAAGCGTGTTGAATTCAATCAATCGCCCGACGATCCTTCGTCCGGCAATTACTCTCCGGTACTCTTCTTCCTTCCCTCGAACGATCAAATCGGAAGAGGATGCAAGCGTACAAATAATCACGCATTGCCATTAATTAATCAGCTTAATTAAGCGTTTTAAATTGACAATTTAAGGCGCTTAACTGAGCTTTCGGGTTACCTCCCGGCCTGTCCTTCCGTCGACTTTGCCGGCTTTTCGCGAGTGACTCGCGGTCGACGGCAAACTAAACGATTCTAAATGCGTCTTCGCACGGAAGTTTATTGATGAAACTCGCCTGGATAAAATATCGCATGCTATCAATCTACAGGACGACGGTCACGCTAAACTACACACTAACTCTGCGGCGAGCTGCGATTTGCGATAAGACTCCCGTTGCAGCGGCGCGACAGCGCCGTTAATAGAAAATAAAGGCTCGGCCGTTTCGGGTGCGACGTTATACGCGGGCGCGGTGCAAGGAAGAAGTGCAAAATTAATTAGAACTGTGCGAAAGGTAAGGGTTAACTCTTTATATCTTCCAATGACATTGTAAGAGTCAGTTCTTGAATAATTTTATAGCGATCTCATTAAAGAGATCGTCGTCCTTCATCGGAGCCCAGGTGTAATTGCTCCATTACCTTCGGTCGCTGAAAGACATATCGCGGTGTCACAATTATTCCGGCGGTCCCTGGATCGCTTATATATATATACACTACTGCTATTGCTATTACGCGTTAACACCACCGCGATAAGTCAATCAACGTATTATCTCCATTATCTTGGCACGGCAAATACGACATCATCACAACCGAAGCGCCGAGGCGTTTATTACAGGTGTTGACGGCAACGGAACGGTCGAAGATGAAGAGAGGAAAGATGAATGGGGAGACGAGATACGGATACGTACGGAGCGATAATGGCGGTCCGACAGCGCCCCGCTTTCGCGACTTCTTCGTTCTAAAGTCGTAAAAATGATATGTAAAACGACACGGGCAACAATGAACAAACTCGTACAAATTTTACTCTTGTTGTACGTGTAATTTTACGTATTGTTTTTACAGCGTACAATACGTACATTTACATCCGTGCTTAATTAGTCCTTATCGATATTATTATTATTATTATTATCACTGACGTATTTACACAGGACAGTCAGCCTCTTCCGTGTAATGTTACTCACTTATAGTGATACAAGCGGGAAGTCGACGTGATAAACGACGAATCCGTCGTTACCTCTTCCGGTTATATACGGAAGAGTGTCGTGTGCGATATACCGATTCGGAACTTATCGTCACTTTATGCTAATGCACGGTTCTCGATTTCTCATTTAACGGATCGCATCTGACGATGCGCCAAAATTGCGGTTAACACAGACGTCGTACGGAAAGAAAAATACTCGAGTGAGATATATAAAATATAATATAAAACAATAATTAGATGGTACATTGTTTTTTTCATCTACCTATATATCGATCAGTCCTAAAAATTACTGGCACATTTGAAGACCGCGCGACACTTGCAGAACACGGTCACGCTATCGAAATAACAGACGCGCAAAATCGGACGCGATCCCGATCAATTAAAATTTATCTCGCTCGCATCCCGCGAGATCGCTTCCTGCATATCTACGTCAATCGTCTCCGATAACGACGGAAGCGCGTCCTCAAGTTATCCTAGCTCGCTTCGCAAGATTCTTCCCTCGTACACGCCTGATGAGACACGGGCAAGCGATATACTTATTCAGCTATATTATATATTTAAATATATCGTCTAATTTATTCTTCTCGGATTCTTCTACCATCCCGCGAGGGAGTAGAATGAAAATGCGTTACACGCCTGGTAGGATGGAATGATTATCGAACGATGACTGTAGCGCGGCACAGCGAATATTAACGCTGAGGACGAATCCATCACCTTAATCAATAATTTAACGCTACAGTTATTAGCCATTAATTAATTAATCAATGGTCATCATTCGTCTATATCTGATCTCGAACTGGATCGACGAGAGAATTCATGTCCGAATGATTACGTAATAATCAGGAAACAGAAGTTATTTAATGCGATCCAAAGTATGGGATTTTGATGAGATTTTAATCACAGAAAATATATCTGTATATATATATATATATATATATATATATATATATACATAGATTAGATATCTTCTATTCATGTATGCTTCGAATTTTTTGGATCAGATTAAATAACTATATTTCGCACATGCATTTATCCACCCTCTCCTCGCCCTCCCTCCCCCCCACCATACATATAAACACTCGCGCGCGTGTGAATTAGATATATGTAACTGCGTAAATAAAATTCTTACGCAGATCCATAATAATTTAAATACAAGAGAAACGAACACTCTATTTGCAAAAATGTATTCAGCAGTCTATCGTATATGTAATACTTATTTACGCTACGTACACAGACAGAAAAATATATGTATATTTTTATGGGAATAAGAGAGTGTGTTACGCGCTTGTTTATCCTTAGAAAAGTTATTAAATAGTTTGGTATTCCTCTTGCGAATATAACAGTTGGACATCGTTATCTACAAGTAGATCTCGCGACGGATCTCGTTAGAGCGATGTATCTCCCTTACCCGCGTCGTTATACGTATATAAATAATGCGAAACGATAGGCATGTAACACGTCTTACGATAGGAAGAATAATGTAAAAACGATAGGAAGTAAAACGTCTTAAAATATAATATATTCCTGAAATGTTCGCTAAACAACGGGATTAAACAGGACACGGGAGAAATCACAGTTAAAAGATAATGACAGAATTCTCTACGCTAAAAGAGTGAACTCGTGCGTTGCCAGCAAAGAGAATAAATATTACAAATCGATAATGCGTTAAAAAATTGTACGTCCCTCCCGCTTCAAGTATCTCCCCGCGAAGACAAATAAATTAAATCAAATAGGCAGGAATCCATTTTCACGTGAAATTAAATTATTATTGATTAATTTACGATTTGCTGTATATACGTAGATCGTGAATTATTAAATATTGGTTTTCGATATTAATTTATAAATTTTTTTAGACAGAATTAAGAATCTTTCTGTTTTTTTTTGTTTGGCGTATATAATATTTTTGGCATTCGCGCCGGGAGAATTGCGATTTGTGCGATATAGTGACTATCTCGGGCTATTTGGACTATTTATCTAATGAAAAGTGTTCTAGACCGTCGCAAAACCATCCCGTTTTGCATGCTTTACCGCAGCACCAACCTCGAACGGTTGCAGATAGAATAGTGTTTCCCACATTAATTATATGCAAGATACAATACATGTATATACCGATGATTTGAGGCTGCATCGACGTCGAGGAAATTTAATTACCGGTTAACTTAAATCATTCAGTCAATCATCGTTCTGCTACAACACGCATCTATTTAAATATCCAATATTACGCGTGGATGTTAAAAAAAAAGAACGTTAAATGTCAGTCAAATGTCAGAAATAATATTCCAAATTGTAAGGGAAAGAGCTTTCAAATCTCACAGTTTATGGAAGTATCGCTTATTAAATCTGTGCGTTTTTCTGTATGGAAACTCAAATAAAAGTCGCTTTTCTTAATATTTTCTTAAAATATGATATGTGAACATTTTTTATTCATATTTAATACCTGTAGTATTTTAATACAAGTAAAAAATTCAATATATCAAAAAGAAAGTACATAAAACAAGTTTAGGAATAATAAATCTTCCTGGCGCTCATTTAAGAGACACTTATTTGACTCACATTCTTCAGCTATTCTTGTAAATTAAACTTTGCTCATTTTATCGTAATCGTCGTAAAAAATAAAAATAATTTACAGAGCTATATAGAGCTATGAGGCGAAATTTGTTCGGAGTATTGTTCACGAGACGATCGTTAGGCGTAATTTGTGCATCTTATAAAACGTCGCAACAATAAGTCGTTACTGTAATTAACAATAGCAAATAAATTTCGCAATTTATATTCAGTTCATTAATTCGGCATAATAATTGTGATAATATAAAATTTTGTCATTCAATCCACAAAAATTAATCTTAGTTCTTGCTTATCGATTCAAAGAACTAATTTAAAAAAAATCTCGAATACTTTCGTTAATTCACTTCACATGAAAGTGTACGCGTGTGCACCTGCTTCTACTATCGTTTGTGCGTCTCTCTTTCTAACAACACCGAGATTCTATACAAATAAAAAAAAGATAAAGAAAAATCATTTATACTTTTCCTAGTGCCGCTTATACATGTAGGAGGTTCTCCTCAGGCATTTATTATAATTGAATAATTTCGTCTACTCGTCTTTCGTACCTCCTCGACGAGAAGCTGTACCTACTTGTCTGATAACAAATTTCCAAGACTAATTGCGTACAATGTGTTCACTTGATACAGCAGTCATCGAGTTAATCCCTATAAATCCCTTCATAAATGACGGAAATTCGTTATCGCGTTAGGCAACGCGTAGAACGTTAAAGTAAAAATAAAGTTTCCTTATTCAACATTATTTTTGTCTGACGCCGATCGATTCTTCGATATTATTTTAGATGACGAGGTCGAGTTTCGCCAAGAGGGATTCTCGGTGAGATTAAGAATTCCGAGTGCATCGGCGATATTCGCATCCGGATTTACGAGACGCATCAAAGGGAAGTGACGTATTCGACACGGTGATTCGCGACGACTGCCTGCCAAGCAGAAGCGCCGTCTTCGACGGGAATCGTTGGCACACGATTCGCAATTGGAGAACGGCCAAATTGCTCGCGAACTGTCCGAATGTGCCCGTTAATCCGATTCGCAAGAGCTTCTCGCTCGCTTTACGAACAACGTTTTCCAAAGTGCACGTGCAAGGATTTAATGCGATATAGAATAAAAAGAGATAAAACATCACTGAGATATCTTGTAATACAAGTAATATATTAAAATCCTCCCCCTTCGATTAGGGTATAGGAAAAATCTTAATTTTAAAACGTCAGATTTTTCTCTCTACAATTTATCAGAATTTTGAATTTACTGCTAAGTAAATCATTAAATCATTATATTGAGATCGTTTCAAATACTACTCTGAAGTGGAAATTTCTCGTATCAAGATAATATAGAAACAATATACCAAAATTAAAACTATTAGAACATTTTAAATATTAGAACTTATAAATATTAGAACATTTTGAAAAACACCGTCGTGAAGAATGCGGATGTAACGTTCGACCGTAACGCGATCTTTCAAAACTGTCGACAGATACAATTCTCGTATGTTACCCCTTATTCCTTATTTTTTTGGATGATTGCCCAGCCTTAGGACGCTGTAACGCCAATCCGCGCTCCGTGGTTCGACTAAACTTAACAGCGTGTTAACAGCGTCTGAGATGAATATTATTTTTACCATTAGTAACATACGCTGCCATATGGTGTCAGTGTCATTAAACATTCAGAAACGTTTTATTGTGAATTTGTCATTCGTCATTTTATCGGACTTATCTGGCGTCTCCATTTGGCAACGCTAGATCAATATATTTTACTACTAATCCGCTCGTCGCGCACTCAGATGCAGCGTCTTCTCGGCGCCGTCAACCCGCGTGCACATGCACATGCCTCCGTAATTACAACCTCCAGATACATATATGTATCGGGTTAACGTTTATAAACGCGCGAGTGTACGCGAGTGTTTATTTGCCTCGCGGTAGTGTCGGGTGTCCGTTTACCGGTAGCTTACTGTCGCGATACGCGAGAACGAGCGAGGAAACGGACGTGCGGGCGGGTGGACGTGCGCCGCCGTGCTCTTCACGTGCTCTTTTACGACCCGTCCGTTCCACGTGCGCGCTCGTTATCGCTCGTCTACAAGCTCTCTTCCTACTCTATTTCGGCCCCCGCGAATCCCATTCTCGACCCTCTATCGCGCGCGTTCATAAATCCTCGAATGCGCGAATGCGGTTACGACCGAAGTTCTTGGCCGACGTAGCTTACTCGCCTCCGACAGATACGAACAGATACAGATCGGGATCGTTGACGACCCGAAAAAAGTAGACCGAGGGAACGCCGACCGTCTTGGAAAGTACTTAAAAGTACTTGGAAGCGATTTGGGAGTGAAGAAAAAAATTGGATTGCAGCATACTCACGATTTCTCACGCTTGATCGTGCGCCAATGTGATTCTCGTCGATTTCTTTCGATGGAATGGGGCAACGAGCTCCTCGATCATTAAGAATAAAGCGATACGAAATGAAGATCTAGCCTAAGAGAAAACGGCTTTTTGAAAATATAAATTAAATTTCTGTATTCGTTAATTTAAAAAAAAGAGATTCGTAAGTACGTCGAAGAAGTATTTGCAAATAATTGTACATACGTTTCGTACACCTAAATGTACTCGTTCGTTTCAACTTAAAATACGGCCGAAATTTGAGATTGGAGATTTTGTGCGCCATTTCGTCGCTTAACGAGAGAAACAAAATGTGCTGTTACCACCGGCTACACATTCTGAAAATGGAATATTTCCGTCGCGTTCAGAATTATTACATGTGCCACGTAATCGCGCTGTGAGTGACACAATCATTTATCTACATATCGCCCTAAATTTTCTCTCGCCCGCGACTCATGAATCGGGACACATCGAAGCTCGATAAAACACGTTGATACACGTTGATGGACGTGCAAAAGTGCACGTCGAACATTCCCGCGCTCGAGCTCGAGGAAAATATATTCGGTAACGAACGTGTCATTCGCATTTGACATACAATGCGTTTGGCTTCCGTGTGCCGCGCTTGCCCGCCGCGTATGCGTAGCTGTACGCGCGCGCGTAGAATCGTGCGTACGCGCGTTTTGTCCTGGTGCGGATCTCTGATCTCACCCCGATAAACCTGAGAGGATGCCTCGGACCCGCCGCGGTCGTTGCGGCTGCCTATTATGCGAACACTTGCCGTGGCTTCGGGTGCTACCGAGAAGGAGAATGAGATCGGCTTGCTCTTAACGCAGCAGCAGCCGCAGCCAGCGGCATTTGGACGCGCGCCGTCGGCAACATCAGGATGGCGGCAACGTCGAAATGGCGACGACGTCAATCGATTCAGACTGTTATTCTTGTTCACCGTAGATCAGCTGGCTGGCATCTCCGAGCTCTGCGTCTGCGACAGTTCCAGCAAGTGGCACTCCGACAGCGGGATCTCTCTCGTGCGATCGCTCTGCTTCCTCTGTAATTGCAGTATGACGATAGTACAATATATTCTAACATTTTTTTCTACGGTAATTATAAAATTAATTTAATAACACAAAGAATATTCCACAAATTTAAAGAATATCCATCTTTCAAGTAGCTTTTTCTTTTTTAAGTATTCTTTAAGTAACTTTTAAAATTCTTGAAAATGTATTAAAATATTAATACGTTTTAATCTCTCTCTCTCTCTCTCTCTCTCTCTTTCTCTCTCAATTCTTCAAGTGTTTTTTAAATGTTCTCTTTAAATGGGCTTTTCTCGAAGTTATTTTTCTTCAAAGTTAGATTTAATTAATTTTGCAAAACTCGAAGCTTCGTAAAATAATTACCTTTCTCCGAAAGGGAAAGCAGCCTCTGTCGTCATTGTTGGGCGGTGTATGGTTTATCAATAAGTCTGGGGTGGGCGTGTTATTAGGACCTAATACGTTCAGTTCCTTAAAACACTCAGTCTCTATCATCTGCAAGAAGAAGAAATGAGGCGCGATTAGATTACGATTCGACAATCTCAACTCCGCGAGGTGCGTAGTAAGTGATTTAAGATCGGCAGAAGCTAAAGGTGGCTCGTGCGTAATGCGTCTTACGCAGCGTCTCGCGGCTTTAAATACATCTACCCGAATAACGCCAGTGATAACGAGCCTCTCGCGCTGCCTCTGACGTAGGAAAACACTTTGCACGAGCTCCATATTTTTTCATCTAAGTGCCGCTCTCCAGATGTTCCGCGGATGCACGTGTAATATTTTCAGAAAGCGAGACGAAGCAAAAACCTCTAAAGTGCAATTAAATAACGAGACTTTATTGTTCCCTCGCTACGCTTTAAATTCAAATTAAATTTTATTTTTTCAGAATTTTATCTCGATGAGGCTTTCAGCAGGCATACTTAATTTTTTTAATCTCACGAGGACGTTACATAAATGATAACGTGTTCTCATCTCTATTAAGTTCGCCGTAAAAAATTGGATAAGAATAAATTGGATTGAAATAAAATATATGCTAGAATTAAGCACTCTTTAGAAGTTAATTTATTACTTCATTTTTTACTTTAGTGCGCTGTTTAATAAGAATTTACGATTAAAATCAAAGAATAATATTATTTTTAATTAACAGAGACTATTCAAAAATTGTTTTTAAAAGAAAGGCGAAGCCTAGATGAAGAACAAGTCAAAATTTGTCAAAAATATTGTTAGAATTATTTTGGATTACATAAATTACTTTAATTATATAAATTTGAACCCTATTGAAGTATATCGATATCAATATAAGTGGTTAAGACGCGTAGGCGGTCGAAGAAAGTGATTTACATTCATGTTATAATGGAGATCTTGTTAAGTGGTCGTCTGCTGCGTGCCACGTAGCAACAATATTATTTTTATGGGAAGGGTCAAAGGCCTTCTCTTCGAGACGCAACATGTCTCACCATGATTATGATTATACAAACGTGTGACGTTTATGGGTGTCTCACCTCATTTTGCCATGGAATGGACACGCTGCCGGTGTTAAACTTGCTGTAGAAGGTATCGTCCGTGGCGTCCAAATTGACACCTTTCACCGTGGAGAATTGTTCGATGTCCAGAACGTCTTTAGCGTAAACCGCACGAGGCTGTAACAAGAGATGTATTAACGATTAATAATTTTCTCATCTTCCATATTTTCATATACACATTAAATCTTCTATGCAAACGTTATTTATATAAATTAGCATAAAAATGTAATAAAACGAAAATATTATAACGTTAAAATTTTTAGTAATTTGTGATCTCTTAAAAATCATAACAATATATGCTAATTAAAAATTTGTTAATATTATACCGAGTGTAATTATTGAAATTAGTGTTAAAGTCATGTATACATAATTTATATTGAGCTTTGTGGCGATCGTGGCGCGAGGAGCGGCGCGGCAGCTTTATATGCTAAGGATCCGGGTTTAAATTCACCCAGAATAATATAACTTTAAAATCGATTCGGAAACGATCGTCACCTCTCAGAAGGCAACGACAAACCACCGAGAGTATCTTTGCTAAGAGAATCTCTACTTAAAAAATTGCCGCCGTTCGGAACGCCGGCGTTAAACTGTAGATCCCGTATATCTGCGTAAAAGTGTAAATCGCAGAAATACGAAGAAGAGAGGTCACCATGCTCTGACAAGAGTAATAGGATTGAGAGAGAAAGAGAAAGAGAGAAACTCGCATTTATGAAGAATACATGCATTTATGGAAGGTACGACACCTACTTACATCCGGCACAAACGGTGGTTCCCACATACCGGCCTCGACCCTCTTCCAGTTTAGGCACTGAAAGAAGCTATGGAGCTTCACTTCCTTCGCCCCGTGTCGGCCGCACTTGCAACCAAGCCTGTTCTTCGGGCCCTTCTTCAACAGCTGCTGGCACAGACTTTTGGCATCCTCGCTGAACTTGGGCGAGTACCTCTCCTGATCCTCCTTGACGCGTCTGTCGACCTCCTCGCGTTTGACCTTCTCCTTGCGAGCGCGGAACGGCGCCTGGCCCTCGATCATCTCGTACAACAGGCAGCCGAAGCTGAACCAGTCCGGCGAGAAAGTGTACTTCTCGTTGTCGATCACCTCGGGCGCCATGTAACCCACTGTGCCGACCCTACCGCGCACCATGTCGCCCTCCGTGATCTCCACCGCGAGACCGAGATCGGATATCCTCACGTGACCGTGATCGTCCAGAAGTATGTTCTCCGGCTTGCAGTCCCTGTAGACGATACCCTGAAGATGAAGATGCTCCAGACCGCACACGACCTCGGCCGCGTAGAATCGGGCGCGATTTATGTCGAAACCCGGCTCACCGCCCATGTTGTATATGTGGAACTTGAGGTCGCCGCCGTTCATGATGGTCAGCACGAGGCAGAGCGCGTCCTTCGTCTCGTACGCGTACGCGAGCGAGACGACGAACTTGGAGTTGATCTTCTGCAGGATGTTCTTCTCGATCAGCACCATTGACTCGCCCTTCCGCTTCTTAATGCGTTTCTTCTCCAATTTCTTGCACGCGTACATCTTACCGGTGGCGCGCACTTGGCAGGCGCAGACCTCGCCGAAGCCGCCCTTGCCCAGCACCCGATACATCCGGAAGGTCTTGTACGTCACTGGTTGCGCCTCCAGCCATTTCCACTGGAGGTACCTGAAGAATCGTAGGAAAAAAACGTTGTTCTACAATTCTCTCTCGCCTCTCAGAATCGTATTTCCATCGAAGGAAATTTTTTTCAACAAATTTATATTATCTATTTGCCGCACGATTTATTCATTAGCGTTTCACCTGTAGAAGTAAAAACTGCTGAGGAAGGCCGAGAATGGTTCGCCGGCCAGGAAGTTCTTCACGGTCTGCGCGACCTCGGTGAAGAGCTCCTTGCCGCCGGTGCTGAGTCGCTCCTCGCACTGAGAGATCAGGGAATCGTTCAGGATGTCGACCACCTCCGAACCCTCCCGCTTCAGGTACTGCTCGAACAGCTCCTTCGCCAGATCGATGCGGGTCTCGTCCAGCTCGATCTCGTACTTCTCGATCGCGTCCAGGAAGAGGTTGTACCGGTGGTAGGCCGGCTTCTTGTCCTGGCAGAATTGTCGAAAGAGCAGCCGCCCGATCGGCTGCTGGTCCACCACATAACCGTACCTGATGTCTGTCCCGACACCGCGAATTACGTTAATTATACTCTCGTACATCAATTTCAAACTTTGATTTTTCAGGAATTTTCCCGAGATGAACTATACGCGCGCAAATACACATTTTCGATATAAATTTAATTTACATCCGGGAAATCTAATACCGATCCTATCAAAAGTAAATTGCAGATTGCTACAACTTGTTGCTTAAAGAGACCTCAACCGACTTTTTCTTTCTATCAAAAATAGACTTCAATAGACTTCAATAGACGGCTTCAAATAGTACATAAAAATTATTTCCTACTTATGTTATAGTACCGACTCATATTCGCGGGTATAAAAGAAATGCATTTATTCGCAAGTTTTGATTACTTCAAATCAGGGGAGAGTGTTATCAGAGTAGGTTAACGGGACACGCAGCGAGCATTGTCTCGTTTCTCCGTCCCTTGCAGCGTTTTTTCAACTGCATAATGCGCGCTACATGCTGCAGACCGAGATTCAATAATCGCATGGGTCTGTTAAGCGGTTTTTTACTGCGGTTATTTCGTACACAACGTCTACATTGCCGGGAAAATTGCGACCGCAAAATATTATTTAGGTCATAGGTGAAATGGCTTTCGATTAAAGTCTATTTTTTTTGTTTGTTTCCAAGCTTTTGTGATCTCAATTATTACTGACTTACCTAGTTTATCTTTTAGGCCAATGCATTGGGAAATGTGTGGGAACTGAAGTATCTTCCGCCATTTCTTACTCTTTCCCTTGTTGCTGTCACCACCACCTGTGTCCACGAGAAAATAAGAAAATTTTTCACTTATACGAAAACGTCAAAGTACACCAAGCGAAATAGTAACAACACGAAAGAAGACTTATCGCACCTTAATGATTTTCAACAGCCCGCTTTCCCTCTATTTTGTTGTATTTTATTATTTTCGTACCGCTGAATTTCTGTTGTGAGTTATTTTAAATTTTTATCGTCGGAAATTTTATCGTCATATAAATGAACGGCAGAATTCTCCAATTTTCATCCGTGACGCTGTACGTTAATTAAAAACGAATATGCGCATGGTTTTCCTGTTTGATGACCATTAATTAGAGCTCGAGTGAAATTTGTGCAGTATACTCCCGAGTGTGTGCAACTATGCGTGCGTCAAAAGGTAGATTAAAAATGTGATAAAATTTGTTTTATTCACTGTCGATGTAACTTCTGCTCGAACAATAAAGCGACATATTAAATTCGCGCATTTAGGAAAAAATCGCAAATCTTTATTTCATAGAATGTAACATTTCGTGTTAAAAATTCGTTGACATTTTTTAATGTAATACGGGGCAATGCGGAATATTAAAAACATTTGTACTATAAGTTTAAAATTAAACTAAAATATTCTGGGAATATAAATCAATAAGTTACGCACCCTGAAATAATTTCGAAAAATATAGCAAGTCATTTGTGAAAGATTTTACGTAAAAAGGTCTATTGCATTCTGGTGCGGATACATCATGAACATCTTGGCGAAAGCGAACGGACACGGAATGAAATACTGGATTGAAAAGTGCCGGAAGTTACGGAATTCACTTAAACGAGGATAACGGCAGATATTGGATCAGCGTTACGAGATTTATCCCGGTAGTTCGTAGAACTCGAAACGACGTCGAGAAATCCGTCGCGACAGAAGCTAAACGAGGAAGAAAGTTATTCCTCCCCTTGCCATTCGTAATTCATCGTCGGAAATATACGCACAATATTTCTACGTACAATTCCTGCGCTTCTCTTACCGCAGTTCGAAAAAACACGTCCGTTCTCTTCCTCGCTGCTTCACCGCGTATAGAAACGCGAAGTCAATTTCAAAAGTAATTTTGCGCTATTCTTAAGTCTTCTCAATAATAAATATAAATCCTGCATACAAAATTTTCCACGACTACGCAACAAATTCAATTAAAATTAAATTAAACTAAAAATAATGTGAAGCAAAAAACATAAATTTCGTAGCACAAAATGTTAAAACTGATGAATCGTAAATCTCTGAAATTTAAAATTTTGTGCACAAAAGTGTAATTATTAAAGAATTGTGCGTTTAATAATTCAATGTCTCAATATCAATATCTCATTAGCAATAGTAGACAGTAATTTTAATCGATTCGTTTAAACCTGTAATATAACTATGACGTCAAAAGTAATCGATATTCATCGAGAACCACGGGTCTTCGTTAAACCAAGCTTCCGATTTATCCTCGTCCGATCGCGAAACTTGAAGACTCGTGAATTATTCCGTATTCCAAGGTGTTGCTTGCGACGGCAAATAAATCCCGGCAAAGAAAAGTTATCGTGCACGTCGACAGAAATTTATTAATATCTTCGAAGCGAACGTCATAACATTAGATAACGCGTTGCAAAAACGCGCGTTGCGTTACAATGCACATTCTACGCGATGACGCGCGCTGATAGCCAGCAATAATGATTTATGACATATTAGTCGTCATTACGAGCCTTTCTATCGAATAAATCCCGCTATTCAATGTGGAGGCAAAATAAAAACAACGGCTTGAAGAGTTTATTGCCGATTACTAAATTGCAGGAATATAACGATCCGCGTATTATAAAATTTTGCAGCAGAATATTTAAGATTCTTCAGCCACTCTTTCATATCTGCGGATTTTTCCATCAACGAGGAGTTAATTTATCGCTAATAAAGAAGTATTTAAATATTAACATAGTACTGTGTACTGCATAAACGATGAGAAATCTAGAGAACTTCAATCTCAACGAATTAAATTTAATTTCCACAGTAGAAATAAAGAACGCAAAAGCTTATTCGATTCCAAGTGAATCTTGATCCGTCGGAGAAATGAATTCAAAAGTTAATTGGAAAAGCATTTAAAAACGGCCGATGAATTTGAATTAATCTCGAAGAACAATTCGCGGATAGAAGAGACGGATGAAAGGCGGGAGTTTCTCTCGAACACTCTGTACATTCATTTGCGTTAAACGAATTTCGGTTATGACAAAAAAAAAGACGCCTCGGCTTTCGCCGAGAAAAATCCCTCGCGACGGCGGTATCGATCGTGCGGAAAAACGCAAGGGAGACACGGAAAAGCGGTGGGAGAGAAGTGCGAGAGACGCATGGCCCCACGATCCCAGGTTTTTCGCTTCCGTGAACAAGCTCGTCGTACAGATCATTCCAAGAAAGCTGATATCCCCGCCGCACCGAGAGATAATAGATTATCTGACAGAAAGTCGATTTAGAGATAGAGAACCATATATCAAGACAAGAACTTTCTATACTTGTTCCGCGCGTTTAGAGCGATGCGTCGGGACAACTTTGACGAGTAATGAATGGAGATGTCAAGGGGGCCGGTCCAGAAAATTCGAACAATGAAAAATTGATTGAATAAAGTATATCCCGTGCGGTCCGCGCAGTTCACTTTCATTGTCCGATGAACAATCATCCGCGAGAAATATATCAACGGTGCAAAATAATCGACAACGTCGTGCTTTTCTTCTCATTGACGCGCGAACCGAAGTTTACGTCGATGGCAATCAAGCGGGTTATTCAATATTGAGGCAGAAGTTATTACTCAAATACTGAAACTTCGATATATGAAATGAGACTTTGATGAATGAAACTTTCGTCAAACTCGGAAATACCTCGGTTTCGAGAGAACATCAAATATACAGTTCTCGACGCCGGCTTATACGAACACTTCGGGACACCCTGTACCTCGTCGACGCGAGCACGGGCCCGCTCGTTCGATCCCCAACGAGCGGAAGTCGAGGGTCGCATAAGCTCCACCTTCTCTTCCACATCGGCGGAGGAAAAAGGAGGAAAACGGGGGAGGAAGCGGGTGCTTCGATGCGTGCGAATTGCATCGCGCGGGACGAGGACCTGTCTAACGCACGCCGTATATTCTCTACCTACAGAACAACCTTATCGTAACTCACGATCAGTTGTTAAAAGTGAAAGATGTACTTTTGAAAGTAACAAAGACGTATGGTTTATGACTCGGATATTTCGCTTAAGAAAATTTTATTTTTTTTTGTCTTTTATCTTATATTAAGTGAAATTGCATCAAAATAATTGGAACACCAAATTAATTTTAGACAGCCATAGTGACGGTGAAAGTTTCAAAGGAACAGAAATGCAATGTTACTGTTTAATTACTATAGAAAAGAAAATAATGGAAGTTGAATATCTTGCTGATCAGACGATGTAAAGGATTAACGCGAGATCCACGTACGTAAGCCAACCAGATTTCTTCACGTATCTTACGCGAGAAAGTTTCAACGATTCCACTTGTAGCGGACTACCCCCGTACAGCTGTTGCCGATCCCGTTCAATCGGTGTGCAGTCGTGTCGGCAATGCCGCGAAATGAAAAACCGCACTCGGCTCAGTGAGTCGCGCGAGGGGGAGAGATAAAACGAGCTACACAACGGATCGACCACTCGTGCGCATCTCGTCCAATCCCGGAAAGTGATGGAAAAAAAAACGAAAAGAACGGAAAAAAGGTATTCGACGAAATCATACGAGCGAAAATGAAGAGCAGAAGAATTCGGAATCGAAGGCCGGAATAAAATGATTCGCAAGAGCGAAGCCGCGCTTAAACCGGATCTCATGAATTGATTTATTACGAATTCATTTCAACTCGAGTAAATCTAAATAAATTTCGCGCGTTCCTTCTTTTTACGTTAACTGATAGAAGCGGACATAATGCATCACATTAATGTCCGTGCATATTTAATTTGGCGAATAACGTTGTAAAATCCACTCATTCGCTATTAAATTGTATTCAGCTTCCAGGTACTGTATGGTACGCACGATTATCGTTAAGCATATCATTTTGAATAATTATTGTCATCCCGAGCGCGGAAATTCATTCGCAATAGTTCGCGTCCCCCCGTCCGTCGAGTTCCCGCGGTCGTGGAATTTTCTCACGCCTCATCGTCATCACGTAATTATATCAGCATGCGCGACGGGCATAACTCCGTAGTTTCGTTCACTCACATAATTGCATCGCGCAAATCCTCATTGCTATCATTATAATAATTGAAGTTCCTGCGGCACGACAAAACGTGACTTTCGATTACACGAAACACATACGTCGATCCCGCGAAACGCATCTTCGGCTCACGAGGACAGCCGCGTAATACATCATCTCGACATTATTGCATCGTTATTTCATTTGACGTCATTGCATAAATACATCTTTATGATCTTTATAAACACATCTATCATATCTGTAAACCGCACCTTCGTATATAACTCGGAAGTTCTCTAAAATATTTTTAAAATCAATGTTTCAAAAATGCAAGGAAAAAATTTTTTTTTATTATTATCAGGAATTCCTATAGGAAAAAATTGCGTGGAAAAATTACAATTATTAGACTATTATTATTCGACTTGAAATAAAATTTTAAAACATCTTTTGTTTTCTTCGCGAAAAGTTGGAATTCTTCTCTTTCCTTTTTGATTATCAGACAGTCTAGTATTCGTGAAAGAAAATGTATAAGCGTTCTTCTCGGAAAAATAAAATTCGAACTCGATGTTAAACGTTGACACTCCGATATTCAAATACGACTTCGTGTGTTAATTTTTGAAACTTTTTAAAGGAGAGTTGGAACTCTCTCTCTAATGAATTGAAAATTATCGAGCTTTGATGCCAGAATCCTAACTACGTACGCGAAATTAGCCACGTCCAGAACTAATCCAAAGGTAGTTCAGGATTACCAACGCGACTCCCTCGGCCCCTCTACCTCGTTCACGCATACGCTCGGCGACAGAAAATAACCGGTCGTGATAAATTGGAATTTCGTAAGTGGGAAAGTTTTTCGTCGGCGCAGCAAATTGATTACAGTCATTTCCCGATCGAGCGGCCGCTAATTACGTCGCCGCGTTACGGCGAGCACGGGAGACCGCTAATTAACCCGTTATCCCTGTATGTAACCGTCCGGTGTTCTGTATACTTACGTAATTCGCGACCGGCCGGATCTCCCGCGCGAGGCTTTCATTTGTAAAGTTTATCAAGGCGACGCGATTACAAGGCCATTGACGTGGCTCGCTATCACGCGAACCCATTTACCTACTTTCCTACCGTCAACACGCCTGCACTCTCTTCGACAGGACGTCGTTCGTAATGTACTAAACTAATTGAATGCCGGCCGGTGGTGGGTGACCCTTTCCCCGTTAGATCGACTGCTTGCAGCCGATCGCAATTGCGGTGATCGACAGAACTTCGTCTCGAGCTAGCGTAACCTCGTGATCTGTATGCAAATTTTATTCGACGATTCTCCCGGGGGAGAGCTTTCAGGCTTTCAATCACTCGAATGAAAGTTTATACTCGGGGATAAAAAAATAATGTATCGTTTCATTCGTATCTCCGAAACTTAATTCAAAATAAAGCTTCTTAAATTTTATGTCTATTTTGCTGGAATAGCCAGCATTTAAATTTCGAGTTTGGAAGAAAAATTTTATGCCTTCTTTGGTTAACCTTTCTTAAAAATTCGGGAACATTTTATGAAATATATATATATATATATATATATATATATATATATATACAGAAAATATAATCAATCATTAGAGATATTAAGTCTCAAAATCAAATCTTCAAAACGTTTTCTTCTCTTGCAAATAAAATTTTTCAATCAAGAATTTTCTTATCAAAGGTTTTGTTTTTGCAAAAAAAATCAACTATAAATTCTCATGGGAAAGAAAAAGCGTGAAAAATGCTGAAATACCTGTCCCCGTACGACCTCGTAGAAGGGAGAGGGGGGACACGTTACAAAGCATAACGAGAAGTAAAACGTCACGTTTTCCTGTCAGCAGCGAAGTTCATTGTACCCTGCATGTAACGATGCTAAAAATAGACGGCAAGCAGGACAGAAAAACAGAATTGAATCGAGCGTTTGTCCCTGCAAAAATCTCACAAGAGTCCCTATTTTTTGGCGTACGCGTGGTCTGAGGTGTGCGGGAGATGTTATTTTCGTTCGGCTCGAGTTTCTCGCGAAATCGCAAAACGCTGCTAATTGACGGAGAACTAACCGCTCGTATCAAAGAGCTTCACACGAGCTATGCAAAGAAACTGATTATAGATGATGATTATACATTAAATAATAATTGAGTTAAAGAATCAAAAAGCTCAAGCAGGATCGATTAGCTAATCCGAGACGCTCTTGTCGACATGATTCACTTTTTTCAATTTGTTATTATAATTTTTAAATATTTTTCTTCGATTGTCATCGATCGTTCCGTCTGCAAAAGCGAAAAAAAAAATAACGAAGGCTTCGCTATATTGCGAAAAGCATCGAAGCATTTTCATACAACTTGGAATATCGTACTGGCGATATTTTTAATTTCCTCTCTTTCTCTGTCTAGTCCTGTACATGAATTAAATAACGAATATACGATGATGATACCGAGTCTGTGCGCGTTTAATATACACCGTAATTTTGTGTAGTTTACCAACGCGTCGGCGTAGACATGGCGCGACGCTGCGAATACTCGAGTCTAAATATGACGCCGTTCCTCTTTATAGAATACTACTTAAAGAAATAAATGCGATTTACTATTAAAGACATTTCTTTATCTTGTGAAAAATTATATTTCGAAAAAAATCACATTAATAAATTTTTTCCATTCTTATTTTTACATCTTAATTTACTAATTCCCTTTCATATTTGTCGAGTATTTTTTTTCGTTACACTTTTACGAAACTTGCTTTTTGCTTCGACAGATCGAAGAGAGAGAGAGAGAGAGAGAGAGAGAGAGAGAGAGAGAGGCTGAAGAATTTAGAATTGCGTATAGCACACATTCACGAAAATAAACGACGTGTCCGACGAACATAGGTCCACAAATCAAAAATTCCGACGAAGATAAGGGGAAGTAAGAACGGCTGTTTATTTTATTTTGCGTTCTACCGGCGCCTATGACGATAGGTGTGCTAAAACACGCGTCGGGTCGAGCGGCGAGAAAAAGACGATCCTCTCGCCGTAAAGATTTTTTGTTTCGATCTATCGCTCGCGTTACGACGCTTAAGCTGTCGGCGCGAGCATCATGCTCGTTTTACGCGCGCATTAAAACACGGACACCTACAACAAGCCATCATAAATGCTTTAACGTTCACTGGATAGGTATACTTCGATCCAAACACGCACGTGTCTAGATAAATGTACGTATCTGTAATAACAACTCTGCAAACTTGCCGTCTTCTTTTAATAATAGTTAATAAATATTCCCAACGAATTTTTCGTATTGATAAAAATGCTTGAATTACGTGCAATGCATACAAAATACTAAAAGCGCAAATCCCCCACGTTGTTTCCATTACCTTCCGCGCTGTTTTAAAGCTGTTTAAAAAGTCTCGTAAAACGAGAAAAATTGTAAAGAGAGGAAAATTTTTTATTCTTCAGCCGTAAATGACAACTGAATCCCCTCGAGAACGTAATCCAACGGGCTTGCGGAAGTATTTATTCCGAAACGCGCGTGCTGATGCACGGAAAAAAAAAATACGCACCTAATGACCTTAATTTTCCCGATGACGGCAATTCGAAACGCGTTAAACGCGACAGTAACGATATTGCATATTGCGCGTTAAACCCGAACGTTCAATCTCGCGGCTAAAACTGCGGGGCGACTTTACGCGCGTAATAAATGTCGCCCGGCCGAACTCTCGGTAATGAAAGCACGGTATAGGGGTGTTCCAGGAAGGCCATTATATGTAGATACACAATGCCAGAATTGTACATTCAGCATGCGCGCTAATCGACCGAACTCGATAACTGTTCTTGACACGTGTTATAACCGGCGCGCAATTATTACACGTCATAAAACAATTCTTAATTGTCGCTGAATTTTCTCAGCTTCCTAATCACCTCGCCGCTCTTAAAAGAGTGGAAACGATATAAAGTTATCAATTACGACGTCATGAAAAAAAAAAATCATTTCCATCAATATATTTCGATATAAAAGCCACGCACGAATCTTTTTGTTATCAACCGCGCATTTAATTATTTTACGCTTAATTATTCTGCATGCTGGTCTTAATTGTTCCGCATGTCGCGTACGATAGCGAATCGATAATTCCCGCGGATAAATATACGAATGTAAAATCTGAAAACGAACGGCAGTATGTATGAAAATAAATGGCAACGCAAGCAAAGAGCTATAGACTCACCTTCTCTCGCTTTCAGGTACACGGTGTTCGCAACGATATTCTCCAACTCCATCAATTCCAGCTTGATCGGATTTACGCGACCGAATCGGGTGGGAGAAGAAGAGGCCTCGTGGTTGACGGCGACGTCGGTGGGCGACGTCGGCGGGGGTCGCGGCGACGGCCGTGAAGTCGATCGCGGTGAACACTTTCGATTGTTGTCGCACGGGGTTGATGGGACTTCTAGACAAGCTCCCATCTGCGTCCCCGCGGACACCACCGGGGACGTTCCACGACCGGTCGTCCCCTTTCACGGAGGCTCGACGAGGACGGGGGGGTGTCTGCGTATCTTCTCGATGTATCTCGATACGGAAGCACCGCGGCGGCACCCACGAACTGCTGCGTCAGACGGTTCTCCGTTCGATCGATCGACAGGCTGGACTCATTTGAAATCGATTCGACTCCCGGGGAGAGAACGCCTCGAATGAAGAGACCGCGCGTTCTTACGATCGGTAGCTCCTCTGCCTTGATTCCTTGAAGGAAAAACAGCGCCTGTTCTTATAAGATGAATTTGCGCGAGCACGAGACTCGGTGAGTAATCTCGAAATCGTTCTCGCTCGCAATTAGGCTAATTAGGATGAATAATCCCGGTGCAAAGCGACGTTGCTGAGGCTCTCGATCGAGAAAGACTAGATCGCATCGAGCTGAGGCTCTCCGATTTTATTAATTGGTGGGATAATTTTATGAGACTTCTTTTCTATATCTTAGTATATAGAAAAGAAGTCTCATAAAATTATCCCACCAATTAATAAAATCGGAGAGCCTCAGCTCGATGCGATCTAGTCTTTCTCGATCGAGAGCCTCAATATAGGCAAAATTAACGGCCGAGTGGTGTGCGTAATGACACGGAGGAAGTTTTATCGCCGTTCGTAGATTGCTCAGTGGGATCCACCGAATCTCCGAATCCGATGGAATTAGATCGCTCGGCGCTCAAGCCTCGTCCGCGTCGATTGCATAATCGGCATTCTCCGCGATCATCCTCGCTGGGTGAGCCACGATGGTGAACGATCAACGCGGGCCGGCAATCGTCGATCCTCACGGACACATTCGTCGACTCTTCCTCAATCGAACATTCCATCAATCCTTTCCCCGATAAAGACGGCGAGAGCGTCTCGCGAGCACCGACAAGCGTGCTCTTTCACCACAGTCATTCAGATAGAATTTATCATCCCTATTCACTCTATGCAGAATCGTATTACGGCGAGTGAGAAAGAACGAGAGTCGATCGCGAGAGATTACTCGGCCAAAAGTGAGAGTGCACCCCGACGTGACTTGAACTTGCGCTTAAATTCGCGTGCGTTAGCGGGACGTCACGCGACGAGGCTATCCTTTATAGAATACATGTATGTATGCAAAGTGGCGCGCTATACATCGAGGCGTTAATGGACGAAGGAAGACTCCGAGCCTCAGCGCGTGCCTCGGCGTGACCTCGCGAAAATAACGCGCCGGGATGCGCCTCGGGAGAGGCGCCGCGTGCTAGCGAAGTGCTGCCTTTCACTCTTCAGACGCCGGCGCGGATTGGACGGGGCGAGGGGGGGAGGAGAAATCGGGCCGACGAAACGCGCGTTAACGGATGGCCGATCTCCGACGAAACGCGGAGATTCGAACGACGACGAATTACCGAGTGCCGAATCTCGTGTGCGGGGCAAATTCACTCACTTCTTCGCTTGATCCTCTTCCGCGGCGATGCTGCTCCTGCTTTTTCTTCTTCTTTTCTTCTTCTTCTTTTTCGTCTTCTTACGGTGCACACGCAGGGTGAATGACATTCGCCGAGAACGGCGGATTCCTAATGGCTCTCCTCTTCGCGCATTTCATTTCTTCGCGCGTTCACCGGCGCGTTACTCGCGCGCACCGCCTCGCGGACTCGCTCCCGTGCACGCGCATCCTGAAAAACAATCCCAAATTCGGCTTGTCTTTATATACTGCAAAAATCTGGATTACGATTCGATCGGAGTAGCTATAAGGATACGGGAAGTTGGATCCGGATTAAGCAAAGAACGCAAACGAACCAACTGCTGAATACGTTCAATCTTCTTCCGGTGTATCAAAGAAAAACAATTTGTTACGTTCTTGTTCATTCATGATCGTTCGTCCTTATTTGCTTAATAGGATCCTTTCAAGAGGGTTTCTCTACTTATCATATTATCATTTATCGAGATATTCTTAGCACTCAAATCATTGTGAATTGATACAATAAATTAATATTATAATATTACGAGGGTGTTTCAAAAAGTAACAGCAAGTTAAATATTTTGAAATACATAATTGAAATAAAGATAAAAATGCTATGTCATTTTTTTAAACAATCACCCTCCTTTTCAACATCTCACACCGTTGCAATTTCTTTATTCCATCGGAAGAAAATATTTTTGGTTGTGCCTCGAGCGTTCTTCAAGAGTCCAAACATATGACAATCACAAGAAGCAAAGGGTCCCTTAAAGGACGCTTTGAGAGGATGAAAATTTGAGAATAATGAGGTCAAAGAAGCGTGCATTCCTGCTTGAAGACACAATCGATATTTTTTTCTGATGGTAACACAATTTACTACTATTTACTACCGCTAAAATATTATTTTACGTATAAATTATTAATTTCACAAAAAATTTTCACTAAAAAAATAAAAAAGTGAAATTTATAGGAAATATTTATGGAAATTTGCGTGTCAAACTTCCAAATGCGAAAGACGACACGTTAACTATAATAATTCTACATATATCCCATCATATTAATAACTCTTATTAGTACTTGGAAGCGAAAGCGCCCAACGGGATCATAAAACAGCATATGAATCTTTATACTTTTGATAAATATTTTTTTTCAAAATCTAAGAAACCAAGTGAATATCGTGAAGTCGTTCGTCGTCAGTGGCACACATGTGCGTACGCATGAATGGCGAATGCAGCGGACAGGTGCATCGAAGAGGAGGAGACGGATGATAAGAGGAGGAGCGGAGAGATAAAGATAACGACGCAACTAACGCGGCCGCCGTTGACGACGACAGCCGACGGTAATCTAATAAGCGCTGCGGAATGCGCGTTATTTCCACGTATTCATATCCGGTCATGGCTTTTAATGAGCAACTCGCCCGCACCACCGCGGGGATATAAATTCCGAGTAACCGCGGAAACGCGCGCGGAGATTAGAAAACCGGTGGAATTAGATGGATTTTCTCTCTCTCTTGCCCGCTGCAAATTGGACCCGCGCCCTTTCCAATTATCCTCTCCGGGCCGGCGAGACGCTCTCTTTTCCTTTAATTCTCCCTATATCACGCCCGTCTCGCTGGAAGTCGATTCGATTAATTCTGCGGATCGCCCCGAAGCTAGACGAACGCTGGGAGAAGGAGGGAGGGAACGGGAAAATTCGCGGCGCATTGAAATTGGAGCTTTTAGCCGTAATGAGCAAATGTAAACGATCTTTTAAACTACAGTGGAGTCTTCTTTAACGTAAACCACAAATAATTGCAGATTATTATTCGCAACATATTGCACAGCACGTCGAATGCGAGCATGCGTTTGACATATGTTACCTTAGCTATGTGCATTCCTATTTATATATATATATATATATATATATATAAAATATAATATAAATATAATAAAAAATAGATAATAGTGTATATTTATATATATATATAAATATATATATATATATAAATATACACTATTATCTATTTTTTATTACAAAATACAGATATGTTATATTTTTAATTATTTATAGGTATTGTATTCCTTAAAGCAATGTTATCGAGGTATATTATTGTAAATCGCGCGTCGTTATATCGTATAGAATTACACAAATGATGTACATAGAGAGCCGCGTTTTCTCGCAACAATACGTCGTCTCGTAAGAAAAATTTTTCTTCCGAAGGAAATATGATTGGGAAAAGAGGTTTCTGAATGGCGAAGAGTGTTAACAATTTGCGATGCAACGTCCCGGCGCGCTCTGGAATGCGACGCGGTTTTCATGCTCCATTGTTCGAGATACGGCGATACGCGACTGTAAATTGACGACACGACGATGCGCAACGTGTCGAGCGTGTCTGGATTCCCGAGCACGCTAACAGAGTATCCCCGCTATTAATTGCGATCGCATTCCCTCCCTCGGAGAGCCATTCAATCCACAGCGCAATTTCGTTTAATTGCCTTTTCAAACATAATTCCATTTCACCGCTAATATTTGCTCCACGTCGAAGAAGAGAACGCCTGGAGTACATTCTATGTACATCTTTCTCCGTTTTCCTTTTTTCAAAGGTCCTTTCGGCGCAATTAATGATTCCATTCCCTACCGCAAACTCGTCCACTCGTTCAGCAGTTTTTTTTTTCTACCACGTAGCAGAATTACGTACATTTTATCACGACGTCAAGTGGAAAAAGAGAGACGAAGAGAGAAAGAGAGAGCCAACTTCGTAATCATGCGTATGACGAGCCAGTTCGCGACTCCACGAATGCGCCTCCACGCTGAAAATCGACAGCAAAACACGCGTACGTCGACATGATAAATCAATTTGAATGCCATGATGACCGCGAACGCGATAAAGCGCGATTCGAACGCGATTCAACGCGGAAAAAACGGGAAGAAACGAGGAGAGGAAAAAAGGGAGAGACGAGTCGCCCGCCTTTGAAATTCTGTCCTTTGGAAACCGAGAACGAGGCGAATCGCTACGCTCGCGTGCACGATCCTCTTCGTCGATCGCGATATATGCGTTGCACGGTGAAATAGAAATTGCCAATAACGGCGCGACGGAACAATACGCACCGCTGACGTTGATATGCATTAAAGGCGTTCGCATTGTGTCAATCAGTAATGCAGTTTATACGTGACTGACGGTATCATAGGCAGCGTAACGCGGGCGCGTCCACTCATATATGGTGTCCCAGATCGATGGTGTTCTTATTTTTTTTTTTGGTAACCGATTAATTTTTCGGTCAACTTCGAGTCGAATTTTTCTTCACGTGAACGTCAAGATGGTTTTTATTACGAACGACTGAAAACGAAGAGAGAACTCTTAAAAAGCTAAATGTAGCTTTTCGAAACAATTCAAGTCAAGCTTACTTTAACGTTTGATCCCTGGGATATTGAAAAATTTAAAAAGTAACGGAACGATGTCTCGTCCAATCTTCGATCTTCGAGAGAAGAGATTTCCCCCGGAATTGACCGCGGGTCAAAAGAAGTGCAGTTAGTCCGGGACACCATATGTGCACGTATATGGGCACGTGTATGGGTGGGCACGATATCGTGTACGTATACGTGTGTGCGTGTATACGCGAAAAAGAGGGAGAGAAAGAGAGACGCGAGGATCCGAGGGGGATGGAAAAGCCAATTCCGTCGTATCAGCGCAAATGGCTATTGGCCGACAGGAAGGAACGCCGTGCGTTCTCCGCAGAAGACGATAATAATAAACGTTTACGATCGGCGAGCTCTCCAAATTGGAGCGCGAGACTCTTTTTTTACAATCGGCCCTTAACCCACGCGATATTTCAATATCCGCGGCACCCCTTTCTCCACGTGCCGCGGATTATGGATCACTTTGGCGCGCACTTTCGTCGGTCTCAAACGCGGGCCGGTGTAATTTGCAAACGCGGCGCGGGAGATGAGTTTTTCCGGAATTTTTAGCGAGGCATTCAGCAAGATAGATTGTCGGCTCAAGCTAAGGTTCTTGAAATTTATCCGAGAGAAACTGCAATCGTACACACACACACACACACGCGCGCGCGCGCGCACACACACACACGCACACACACGTGCGGGAGAGAAAAAAAGAGAAAAAGCCGTTGCAACATCTCGCATTAATCATACTCATATATGAAAGAGTCAAACTTTCGAGCACACAAGTGCTCCGGTTTCATTAAAAAAAAACTTACATTTGTTTAACCTAAACTCGTTCTTATTTTCCTCTCAATATTTTTTTATACGTTTAATAATATCACGCGTATATTTTACGTATCGCCAACTATAATTATATAATTAAAAAAAAAGGGTATATAAAATTGCAAGATGTTTTTGAGATAGAGAAATGACGTGAATGAATATTAATCGCGGCTTTGTGTGCATTGTTAGGAATGTCTGGATATAATAATAAAGCAGCCTTGAGCGGATGCGCTACTATTACGCAGGATGCAGAGCTTGCTTTATTTTCGGCTGACAAATGCTCGACGTATAACGAGCGTTGCGAAATTAGTTTAAGCTAGACGAAAGTTGCACGCTCCGATGCGAGCGACAACGGTCGACCGAGTGGAACGCATTGTGTTTCGCTCTCGTTCTATGCGAGAGTAGCATAATTAAATAGCAATCCTTTTGTTTCTCCGTGGCGCACCGAGTTCGATCTACATGCCTTCGTCCTGAAAATATATCGCCAAAGGTACATTACGCGAGACATGAAATTAATTTCGGAGAAAATTAAAAGGTAAATTATAAAGCTCGCTTTATTTGTGCCTCGTGATTGTTTTTATAGTCGCTAAAAATTTGCATTTGTGAAAGTTGCGAAAAGTTCGTTCGATTTTATGTGGGTCACGTTAAAATGGGGATAGTTACTCTTTATCGAGATACAGTATTTAGGATACGGTAATGGATATCTTTGATATCGATATTTAACTTACGATACGATATTAGCGAGACCTAGAAAGGAGTATCGAATTTCGCACGATATCGCCGCGGCTGATGCGTTCAATTTCGATCGCGCGTCATATCGCGCGGAAGTTTCGAATTCCGTGTCTCAATCTCGGATTCCAGCCCGTAATTTGCAATCCACCGACGCGAACTTCATTATAGGATGACTTTGCCGTATACGTCGGCGGTATATTACCGTGTCGCGACGGTTTTAGCGATGGGTAAAGTGCTCGACGGCAATTTGTGACGCAGATCGCGGATGGGTCGTAAGAATATTTCCTCGTCTGTGGTTCGTCTAGTGTGTCCATGACTGCGGTCCAACGGTTTGCGGTCCGCGCGATATCGAACTTACGTGCATAACATCCGCGCCGAGACGAGACGAGGGCCGTCTTGAACGAAATAACGGTAGAAAACCGCGTTTTCCTCTCCTTCAGGAATAGAAGAGAATGCGTGTATAAAATCCAGCTGCTTTAATATCTACTTAATACTTAATAGCGTTAATTGGTAAGGCGAAAAATCTGCGTCACGAGACGCAATCATGCGTACAAAATATAGACATAATTAAAGTCGTAAATATCATAAATTATGGTTATTATAAACCTGTTACTTTACCGCGTCTGATGTGCGCTCGTGCGATTTTTCGTTCGGAAAGAAAAAAGTCCAACTGATTGCGTAGGTGTAATCTCGATTCAGCAGATTTCCTATCTCGCGTTACACAAGGAGAATCGGAGTTTACGTCAACGAATCACACACGCCGCGTCTAAAGTGAGCTCGCGCGAGCGGGATTTATTTCATATTTATTCATACGCGATATCCGACGATGTGTTAGCGTTTGCAGTGGAGTAGAGTAAGCACTTCGACCGACCGACAATCAACGGCCGACGGGCACGTGCGCGCGGAAGGACGTACGTACATAGTACGCCTTTCCGTACTACCAACTCGCGGCAGCGGCGGCGGCGGCGGGCAGACTTTGGGATGTAAATGAATATTGCAAGTCTCTCTCACTGCCACCGGCATATATGTCATGCGCGCCGGTCGCGTCAACGAGGCGCATATAGTGCACGGTATGTACCTCCGCCTCCCGGAAAGCCTCGTTCGACGACCCTGAGGCTCGCTTTCTCTCTCTCTCTCTCTCTCTCTCTCTCTCTCTCTCTCTCTCTCTCTCTCTCTCTCTCTCTCTCTCTCTCTTTCTAATATAAATCGCTCTCACTCAGGACAAAAGCCGAATTTTCACGCGAATTTTCGGACGACGTGATTTACTGCCAAGGGTTTCTGCTCGCTTCTCGGTCTCGCGTTGACAAGCATTACGTTTTGTTGCGTGTGTCGAATCGAAAAATGCCATTGTCCGCGGTCACGTTTGACGTTAAACGTGCAGCGATAGCAAGGGGGTCCAAAAGAATTTTTCCAGAATTTGGGGCCTTTATAGAAACTGAAAAGAGAAAACTGTGAAGAGCAAAAAATTTGCATATAGAGATGTTGCCGAGTCGCGGTCACGTATCTCTTTCAAGCGCTACGCGCTGCAAAGAACGATTTTGAAGAAGAAAGATTTTACTGGAAAGTCTAAAAATTTTACTGAATACAGATCTGAAAATAATTTTATTGGACCACGCATCAAAATAATTTTGTTGGAAATTCAAACTGGTTACCAGAATATCAAAATGTTTTACAGCAATGCTCTGCAGTATTTTTGAATTTCCAATAAAATTATTTTGATGGTCCAACAAAGTTATTTTCAAATCTATAGCTCCAGCAAAATATCACGTTCTTTCCGTGATATTTTATATATAAAATTTAAAAAAAAAAAGATTTACCGATAATTATCTAGTCGACCTCTTAATGCTATTTAAGCACATTTTAATTTACATCTTATGTAAATTTATCGCACGTCACAGATATATCTTACGTAAACTCTATAAATATTCGAAAGCAAGTCCATCGAATCGAATACCTGAGGTGTCTTCGCGCTGCATCTTAATGCGAATTTGCGTTCGACGCTATACTGCATGGACGTATAATAGATAAACGGAGGTGGACGCGGTGGAAGACGACGAATTAATCGCGCATCTACGACCGATAATAAAGCTGTCAACCGGCGAAATATCCGACTCTCATCTCGCGCGCTCTAAAGGCCCGACCGGATTCTCTCTTTGCGGAGCAAACACTCGGGCAATCGCGTCTAACAACGACAACGACGGTTTAATACGGCCACCTATTTGCCCTCGTCGGCGGCAAATAGAAGAAGAAACGCACGATCGCGCGCGCACTTTAAAAACCCCTTTAAAACCCGAAAAGTTAAAGCCCCAATTGGGACAAGTGTTTAGCGTGCACGTGTCCCTGTCGCGCGCTGCGAGCTCTACAATCGATCGGAACTTTTTCACAGCCAGAATAATTAACGATTAAGAGATGATTCGCTTCTATAATAATAATTAAATTTTAGATGAGAAAATTAACAGCAAAAGGATACTTTTCCCGTTAATTTCCGATAAATTTCAGTAAAATTTTTTCAGTTTACTTACGAATATGTTCAATATTTTGCGAAGATAAAAAGACGATATTTTTGCTAGGAGAAACAACTTCAAATTGGTGAAAGAGAGGATCAGGGGAATGACATCCGAGTATTCTGAAACACTTTACGCGCAATGTTTTCACGAATCGAGATATAAAAAAAACATTGATTTCAATAAGTCACTTTCGCACTTTCAGCCTCAAATCGCTGCTTAATGTTCGCGCGTGAAATTCTCGGACGATTCTACAATGTTATAACTGCTACAACAGAAACCATAATAGACACGAGTTGTTACCGAGTATTAATAGAATGCGGATGAGATATCCGCATACTATGATAAATAATGTGATATTCAAGCGCGTGCCGCGACTTCAAGGGAACAACAATCGAGATAAGAGTGAATGCGTCGTTGTCGTCGTCGTCGTCGTCGTCGTCGTCGTCGTCGAGCGTCGTCGAGGTCCGAAGGATCAACACGCGACACTCGCGGTTTCTCCTGTTCTGCACCGAGACAGGCACCTGTCCGCGACAGCCGTGAACTTGAGAGGTCGTGTCTCTCGTGCGTGCGTGCGTGAGTGCGTGCGTCGCGAGAAACGCGGGAGCCGCTGCTCGTGAGATCGAAACGTGAGCTGTCTCGTTCTCGTACCCCCCCTCCCCTCCACGCCCCCGCTCCCTCACCCCTCCATCGGCGCCTTACCTCGACGCCGGCTCGGGATCTGTCACGCTGGCTCTCGCGAGGGACGACGATCGAGGAGGCGCACCCGGAGCCACCGGGATTCGGAGTAAAGACGAGGGCAAAGACGTGACCCGGCGTGACCAGAATGGAGCGTGTCATCCAGGGAGAGAGGAGAAAGAGGAGAAAGGGGCAAGGACGACGCGGGAGGAGGGAGGGAAGAGGGATGTCGTTACCGACAGAGTCCCCGCGTCGCGCTCCGCTCAGCTCCGCTCCGCTTCGAGCGAGAAAACGCAAACGATACGAGAGTAAAACCATCAGCGAAACGTTTTTCGTCCTTGTCCGTCTCTCTCACCTCTGATGCTGGCTAACCGCAGACCGAAGGCGCCGATGATGATGACGATGATGATGATGATGACGACGACGATGACGACGATGACGACGGCGGCGGCAGCGGCGGCGGTGCAGCACCGACAGTAGTAGTAGTAGTAGTAGTAGCCGGGCGGCGAGATACGGCGCACGTACACGTCCCTCTCGCAGGTTCACCCGGTATAAGCCGACACTGAGCACTCAGGCTGACAGACAACGCGCCGATCGTATCGGCGACACGAAGAAAGCACAATGGCCGACCGCGCGCCTCCGGTCTCGCACGGGGCCCACGAGGCGCGCTTCTTCTTTTCCCCCTCCCCTCCCCCTTGCCCTTGGCAGAGAAAGAGACAGAGTGAGAAACGCGACTTGTCTTTTATTTCTCTTTTCCTCCTCTCGATCGGAAAACGCGCGCCCACCCCCCACGCGACACGCGGCACGAAGAACACCGGGCGAACGTGGGAATACGTCCGCTTGGCGAACGGTTTCGTGTCACCGTGCGTGCGTCCGATCGCGTAAAACCCCGGTTCAGTCGCTCTCTCGCGGCGCCAAGTCGCCGCACGCCGCACCACGCGATGGACAAAAACCGACTGACTGGCGTGCCGCTCCGCTCGGCGGCGAGGCACCCGCGCCGACGACGGATGAGAGAGGTTAAGTGGTGGGGAAGCGGGAGCCGGCGCGCTCCTTTGCGTAGCGATGCGGAGAAGGATACGGCGCGTCTGCCCTGGTCTGCCGCCCTCGAACGGCGCGCGCGGACGGGAGAGCGAGACGGTGCGCGACGCGACGGCGCGCGGCGCGGACGCCCGCGATTGGGCGTGGTAGAGTCCCTAGACTCGTCCTCGTATCGACCGCCGCCGAATGCGGCCGCCATCGCTCGCCGCCGGCCGGCGCGTCAATTTCAAACGCGCGCGGAGGACAATATTGAGAAAACGATATATAGCTTACAATTAACAGTTTAGATATTCCCGTGTGACGTACAATTTTGTTCTCTAAATTTTTCGAGCTTTTCGTGTAAAACTTTCACATAAACTTTACGACGGAATGTTTTACCTTATTGTACAATAATAATCGTTACTATTTAATAATTGATATTAATAACAGTAATTTTGTTATGGTTTCTATATTGTAGCAGTAATTCCGAGAGAAGAAATAAATGTTATTCAATAATTATATTGTTTAAAATTTATTCAAGTATGAGATATATGTAATAAAGTATAAATAATTTCAAAATATATTGATCATTGCTATATTTATCGGAAAGCTAAAACTGACGGGCAGTTCTAATAGCAGCCGGCAGACAGGCAGCAAGCGATCTATGCAAGAAATGCGGAGCGGGGAATGTTTGCGAGACAAACAGAGCGCTTGGAATGTCCGGAAGAAATCAAGATCTTTCTTGGGAGTTTCTCGGTGGATTTCAGACGACGTTACGAGCGGAACTTTTCTGGAAGATAGCCCGCGCATGTTCCGATACGCGAGCGATCACGGGTGGTACAGATATAATAAATATTGCACCAACGTCTAGACTCGTTTTTACGCGTAAGTGCTCAACAACGAGTAAAAATGACACGACGTATAAAAATGATATACCTCCCCTCGAAGACCCTTGACAGACGCTGAATATTGTGTACCACACACATCTACGCGGTCTATGTAAACGTAAAAGGAGATTCATGGAACGAATAAATTACACGAAGTTCCAAGCCTCAGCCGGGTGTAAACTATTTCGAAATCCAATTTCCGAACAACTTTCCAACTGACGCGTTCAGTTTCAGTTTAAAATTCGCCTTCGCGGCGATTTACGTAGATTATTCTTGCAGCAATATAACGATTAGAGTTTAGAATTTCAAGCGGATATCACAAAATTTGAATAATTAAATATTCTTCCCCCCCTCCCCCTGTATTTTTCTCCTGAATTTAAACGAATGGATAAAAAGAAATTCCCATAAATTAACTTCGCTATATGGTTGCAGATTTCTCGAATCGCTTTCCGAATCCAATCTTTTCTTTCCTGAGAGATCGCGGTATGCCATCTTTATTAATCCGTAATCTTTCTTAATCGGTTATACTTTCGCCGATTGTACAACCGAACGCGAAGAAAGCGCGATTATTATATGAAGCGCACTCATCGAGCGAACAAATCGGACGATCGACGAGCCGCTCAACGACGCTGCGTGCTTAATCGGGTGAAACGTGCACTTGCGATCAGACGGCGAACGCCAATCGCCGCATCCAGCACCTGCAGCATCCCCGTGCCGTTGCGCGCACGATCGCGATTTATGATGCCCATCGCCGTCGTGGGCGCGACAAAAAAGCGCTCCACTTTCGCTTCTCCATATTCAAGTCTTTGTAACAACCCGATACTCACACTCTCGTCCACACAAATACATGCACGCGCGCTCCGTCAACAGCAGCCGAATAGGCTCATGCCGCCGGTATCGATTGGACATTAATAATTCAGCCTGGGAGCGCCGATAGTAAACTTTTACTTATTCATCGGCGTGACACTTTTTCGATCGTCTTTGATTCGTCGAACGATAAGTCGCAATTAAACTCTAGCGTTTTACTTAGCGAGGAAGAAAAAAAGAAAAGAAGATTACGTGACTCATCGTCACTGTTCGTGTCTCTTGGAAAATAAAGATATAAAATCATAAATTAGTTACATATTTGTTTTAACTATACAAAATCGATTTCTGGGTGTGCTCTTTTTGATACCACATATGTTTACATATACACAACTTCGAATAAAGATAAAAAGTATTCGGTAAAAATAATGAAATATACAATTTCGTTACATGTATTATACAGTTAAAAATAATTCGTAATTATTGCAGATTTTTAATTATATATCTCTGTTATGCACATTAATGTCCAGTTTGTCGTCCATTGAAAATCTTGAATAGAAAATAGAAAAATTAACGGAAATGGACCGTCTTCGAGTGACGAAAGCAATCATTTGCGCTGTACGAAAGAGAGAGAGAAAGAGAGAGGGGGGGGGAAATATCTTTCAATCGTGTGCCATAAGAAACCGTTTACGGGCCAGATAACATCCCTCGTGCCTCTTCATCCCTCGACGTTAGAGGCGCCTCATGACCTAAGTATGTCAAGAATTTAGCCGTGGGCCGTTTTCACTAATAGCACACGATAATTGCTTCACCACGCGTTCGTTCGCGCGATTACGCCACGGAATGAAGCGTGTCAAAAGCGCGGCCCATTATATGAATTATACAAATCTTTTTTATACTTATCTCGTCAAATCAACGACAATGATGAAGTGACCAACCAATCGGAGAAGTGAGACAGAGAAAAAATTGACACGTGCTTGGCAAATCGTTTTGGAGTTGTCGTGTTTGGAGAGAATATTTTTTTATGAGTGTTTTTAATCTATAAATAATTTAAAATGTAATATATATGATAAGACATATAAATTAATAAAAGATTAAATAAATAATAATATTACAGTTAAAATAATGTTATTCACAGAGTTAAAATCTGACACTTTCTTCATTCAACTTATTTAATATATAGAAATATTATTAGTCTAAACATTATTCAGAATTTATAAGAAATTTTCTCAAAAATTATTCGCAATATATTTAGTGCCATAAAAGCGATTTAATTACTAGCGCAGTAGCATTCTTTGGTTTTTCTCATCGGTCTTCCACTTGTTAAAATATAAAACCTGTGAACCTTCCGAATGATAATTGCGCAATGATTACGAATGATACATGTTGAATGTCGAGAACCATGTCTCACGGAGGCTTTCTAAATTGCTTTTTTTTTTTAGATCGAGCCACCTACCTCTCACTTGGCAACGGATGACACCCGAACTCACGTCCATCAGAGCGAAGAATCGGAAGAGAAAACACGCAAGTGCACTTATTCACATTCTCGGGACGCGTACATTATCGGAACGACCTACTGATAATGAAAAAATATGAGATAGAACGTGACGTATCAGCGCACGATAAGGATGCTCGAGATCAGTTTTTCACCCGTAAAATTAGACAATTTGGATAAGCCAGTTTTCAAAAAGTAATCCCAGGTAATGGAATGTTTTGATAGTCTAGAAAGCTAAAGAAAATTAATAGATAATATTAACATGTAATTTTATTATATTCGACGATTAATACGAAAGATAATGGTCCTTGACTCTTGGATTTTCCGATACTTTTTTACATTAGATAACATTAATAAGAAGATTAAAATTGTCAGATCCATCTTTCTATTTTTATTTTCTATCCATTAGACTTTAATGCTCTCCAACGTGGGGCGATGATAAATTGCGGTATATGAAATATCCTATCTTGAAAAGCCGCCGCAAGTAGATACATATGTATATAGACGTACCGGCTTTCGAGTACCATAACGAGGTCAAACTTGCTCCGAGATATTTCGAGAGAGATTATCAGAGTGAGCGCACGAATGGTTAAAGCTTATTTATTTCATTTATCCCTTTTTTTATGTCATCAGATCTAAAGGTATGACATATTATTATTCTCTCTCTCTCTCCTCTGTCTCTCTCTCTCTCTTTCTCTCTCTGTGAAATGAAAGATAGATAATAATAAAGTCAAAATTGCTTTCCAAGTGCCATTAACGTAATTTATTATTGGGGTCGCCATGTGACCTCATCACGATTACCAAATTTAACCGTAGTAATTGAGGGTTAAACTAGTTGATTCTCATCTACGTGCACGACGAAACAATATGCCGCGCGTTTCCGGAACCCGGTTACGAGACCCGAGGCGTTATAAACGGCCGATCCGAATCGTGTGCCAGTATTAATCATTACGGTGGATCACATAGTTCATTCGCAAATTCAGCAAGATTAGTCGATATCAATCAGCCAATCGGACGTGAAATTTTTCGAAACTGAAACGCAGTTATTGCGCGAACAAACGTTCCTTTTTCCCTATCTTCTTTTTGTCTTTGATAAAACAAGCCTTATTCGAAATAAATATATTTCTGTTATTGTGTATTTATCTTAGATATGTAACTTCTACCTGGACAATAAATTCCTTCGATAAAACAAGTTTAAACTTTATTCGAAATCAATATATTTCTGTTATTGTGTATTTATCTGAAATATGTAACTTTTATCTGAACAATAAATTCCGACCTTCACCGTCAACTATCTTTTATGAACTAACTTCCTATTTCGTTTTTGATAATAGCGTAAAATACGCACGGATAATGATAATGCACGGATGACGATGACATTTTTAAATAAAATTTTTAGAACCTGGACTGTATTATAATATCTCCCCTCCTAGGGCAGGGTAAAAAAAAATAAAAACAGTTTTATAATGTAATTCAAATCCAAGCTATTAACTAGATCTACTTAGAATTTGATTTGAATCGACCGTTACTGATTGTGAGCTCTGATAATCTCGGATGCCCATCGGCTCGCGTAAACGTAGAAATATAATGTACACGGTCGGTCTCGTTTATGGGCTGACTTGACATCGAGACACTACCGTGTCTCCTGATAAGCCGGCGTCATGCTACAAGCGTGCATTACGAGACAAGGAGCGAACGCATTGCGTACGTGTTGCGCGATCAGTAGCCCACGGAATCGTGTGCGCACATGATTTCGGTAGACGACGCAAGTTTTTTTTTTCCCCGTACTCTTCGTAACGAATGAGCAACCCGAGAAAAGTGTGATGAAATCGTGAGTGCTCCCCTTGTTCTAAAAATATCGCGTGTAATATCGGATTTTGAATCCGTATCGTACGCAACGTCGATTATCGTGCAAATCGTGATTAGACTCTGGCAATTGACAACGTTAAAGCTCTCGAAACGCAAGAAAAATGGAACTGCAACTGCAACGAGTGGGAATCGCGTTTAGCTTGATAGTGCTGTTTTCTGTATTTGAATTTTGCACAAGCAACGCCGCTCCCTGGACCGGTAACCATGACGAGCAGACGCACGTAGTCGGAAAGGACTCCCGAAAGTTGAAAAAGCTGAACGGAGCGTTAAAGCTGGTAGGAGGAAACGGCGATCATGAAGGTGCTATAACTAAAATTCATTTTATGCGAGATTTGATCTTTAAAATATTTACAAAAACTCATTTTATACGAGATTTGATCTTTAAAATATTTAGTATCAACTAAACGACAGCGACTAAAAAAATATAGTTGACAAGAGGATTATAAGTTGAAAAAATCGTCGGGACTTGACTTAACGTCGACAATAGATGATAAATGCGACGATAACGGTAATAATAACGCGAAGTTCTCACGTTCAGGTTTCATCTCGTTTTATGTATTATCCCAGGATAATACATTCCGCATAAAATTACGCGATTCGAGGAAGCATTACGAAGCGCGCCGTGACGTACGCGGAAACAAAGGAACTTAAGTCGTTCAGTCGGATCAATTGGTGCACCAATCAATTACAGGGAGCGTCCTCTCGATCTTCTTACTACGACAGACCGAACGCGGCGGGTGTATCGATTGTACGCCCGATGAGACGTGCCGCAAAGACCGTGGCGCGCCCCGTAAATCCGGCCGGGATGAAAAGCGCGACGCACAACTCGCTCGGGGTTGATATTTTCCCCGCGATAAAGCGCGCGGCTGCAATATAAACGGGTTATAAATCTTTTTACTCTCTCTACCCCCCCTCCCTCCTCTTTTCCCGCTCCGTTTCGCGGGGATAAAGAGCGAGGCTCGCGCGCGCAAGTTTTATCGCGCGGCTCGCCCGCTCGCAAGTCGCTCACATCGCGCGATGACGATTAAAAAGGGGTCAACTCGAGGAAGATTTATGCCAACGACCATATGTCAGAGCGCCACATACGTCACATACGTACACGCAATACCGGGAATCGCCGCGTAACATGGTCACCGTAAAATCAGACCGTAAAATAGGGTCGCGATCTCCCCGACGCCGCGCGCCGGCTGGCTTTGCCGGACGCTCTTCGTGTATTGTTAAGACAGAAGGTCGCAGGCGATTTTCCTTCCGCGTTTTATGGAACCGCACAGTAAGCGACAGTAAACAGTGCTGCAATAAAAATTGTAGCTAAAGTTTAGAGCTACAAAGCTTTCAATTAAAACAGTCAAATTGTTACAAGCAGAACAGATATTGATTTTCAAAACCGTCAATAAAAAGCATGGTAGAAAATATATTACGTACATTTCTCTGATTATACTGCTGTTTAATATTCGTAATGGTAAAATCAATTATTCCATAAACCAAATATTAAGAATCAAATTTAACGATTATACAGATCGTGTGTCTGCACAAATAATAATGCGAATTTTCTTCTAATTATTTAATAATAGGCCGCAATTTAATAATACTAAATATTTTAATAAACTCTGTCTGTAAGTTGAATCGTTTCTCATTATCGTTTCTCGTTGTTGAAATGTCAGCATTGCTGACAATGCTCTCCATGATAAATCGAAAGTTTGCAAATCGATTATTTCCTCTTTATTGCGGCAAGTTGCCGCAACAGGAAAAACGTAAACACGAGATTTTATTGCTATATGCACAGGAAACGTGGAAATACTTCACGATGGGAAGTGGGGCAGTATATGCGACGACGAATGGGACGACTCCGAGGCCAATGTGGTTTGCAGGCAATTAGGCTTTAACGGTGCAATTAAAGCAACGACATACGGCCACTTCGGTCAGGCGAGAAGTGAGATATTTATTGTCTTTTCATCTTAAACCACTATAGCTGTCTTTCACGGTCGAGCGCAACAGAGTCGCGTGTACTGAGTCGAGTGTAAACGAGCCAGATCGTTTACAACAAGCCATTCCGTTTATTCCAATTTACATGCGGCCGACACGCGTCATATTTTTAGCGTGTCGCGTTAAAATTTTTATCTCTGAAAATCCATAGTAATAATATCGGAGATATTATATTCCCAATTTCATTTTATTTTATTACACTCCGTTATTTGTTCAAGCATGAACAATATTATTTTATCAATCGACGCGCTTAATTAAAATAACGAAATACAAGCGTGCGACGTTTTGTTTTTATATTAAATATGCCTCGAAAGGAAGGTACTGGATGGACAACGTTTACTGCGACGGATCCGAGATCGAACTCGCGAAATGCCGTTTCGACGGCTGGGGCAATTCCGATTGCGACACCAACGAAGCCGCCGGCGTCATTTGCTTGCGCGACGAGGAAACGAGAGCATCGCCACCAATTCCGCAAGTGAAGCCGAAAGCCAGAATAAAGGACACGTACCAGCAAGGCACGGCTCTACAATTATTCGGAGGACGTGTATATTCCGAGGGCCAGGTGGAAATTAAATTGGGCAATACAGGTATAGCAAAACAATTTACTCTGAGAATTATAACTAACTATATAATTATAACTGTAATTTTAAGCAGAAATTTTAACTTTGTCTAAAGAAATGTGAAAGATATAATTAATGAAAAAAAATAAAGACAATTGACATAAATATAGATCATAAGAGTTTTCTTTGCAAATTACAATATTTCACTCGCACTATTAAATCACCAAAGTGAAACGAAAGTAAAAATGACTCGAATCAAAACTCTTGTTACTTAAACGATTTTTTTTTTATATTAGCGAGAAAACTAGGGTATGTTCAAACTCGTCAGACGCGTGAAATTCGCATGGCCATTCAATTTCAGATTGGGGTGTCATCTGCGGCGACAGTTGGTCCATTCTCGAGGCCGCCGTGGTTTGCCGTCAATTGGGCCTCGGTTACGCCTCTGACGCGGTACAGACTAATTTCTTCAGCAATGGGAAAACGATCCCGATATCAATCAGCGGAGTACAGTGCAATGGGAACGAGGGAAATCTGGCAGAGTGCCTGCATGACAAGGTTACAGATTGTCCAGGTACTTCTGACATATCTTCGATGGAATGTTTATGAAAGTATCGACAGTACTATTAAAAACTACTATAAAAGTAGTAATGGTATCATTGCACGATCATAGTTATACCTTATTTATAAAATAACAATAATCTTTGCAAAAATCGATAGGAAGATTTTGAAGTACGAATTATTTTCTATAATCGGCAGTATTATAGAATTTTTATGGCGTATTCTAAAGATTAATTAAAGTACTCTGTGAACAAGAAATATTCCATAAATGTATAAAAGAAATAAGAGCGGTTTACGGAAGTTATTTTTTTTCCTTATCTAGATTTGCATGGGAAATCAGTTACGACAGAAGTCTGCAGGAAAAAATGTTAATGTGAGAACAAAGTAGATTTCAAACGAGCTCTCTTCCGATTGTCATAGCTCATGGAAATCCGATAATAAAAATATTATCTTTCCATTTTCTCTTATCTTCTATGCAGTATTTGTCAAATATATCGAGTGTGTATAGAAAAAATGCTGACACGCACACGCATTTAAATAAAAAAAATAGAAAAATATCACAAAAAGATATGTGTTTATCTCAAAAAGCACTTTTAGCGTCTGTACTCGATACCTATCGCAGGCACGGTATCGCGTAAGAGCACGTTGAAAGTAATCTCATCGCAATTTTAGGGATAGCGGAGAATGTGGCGGGGGTGATATGTCGTTGGGACATGCCCGATCTCGTGTTGGATCACATCGAACTGATGCGCACGGCACATTTGGAGGACCGTCCGCTCGCCTGGTTGAATTGCGCGATGGAGGAGAATTGTGTGGCCTCGAAGGCCTACGAGGTGGAACGCAATTACGGAACAGGGCTGGAAACGAGACGACTGTTGCGCTTCACCGCGAGTGTCTTGAACGCGGGCACCGCGGATTTCCGTCCGTCTTTGCCTAAACATGAATGGGAATGGCACATGTGTCATATGTGAGTCAATCGACAATAACGATGCCGATTAAGCGCCGATAGCGAATCCTTGTCCGCTCTATTTCGATATAATACGTCGATGTGCACCAGAATATTCTTAGCGCATGAGTACTTAGCCGTTAATGAGTAATAGCTGAATATCCGAAATCGATGAGTTTTATATAAAGAAGCTTCAAATGCATTACGAATTAAATTATTCGGAATGGAACGGTTGATTGTTAAGAACATTAATAACTTCATCTAATAAAAGGTGAAGTAAAACTTTAAATAAAAACGTTAATACGGTCCGAATTAAAATTGGAAAAAGCTAAAATTTATAAAAAATTATTAACAGGAGAATAAAATGTTTCAATAAACTTAAAACGTCAAGCGAGGAATTTCATTTTGTAACAAACGATTCGATTTCAATTGAATGCATCGATTTTTTTTAATGACATTAAATTTTGTAATTATTTTCGCAATGATTACATTTAGACAGATGGACACCAATTCTGAACATTTTCCTTTCGCAGGCATTATCACTCGATGGAAGTATTCGCCACTTTCGATGTAATCGATTCGAGCGGCAATAAAGTCGCCGAAGGCCACAAAGCGTCCTTCTGCCTCGAGGACAATCTATGTATGCCCGGTGTCCAACCCAGGTAAAAATTCTGATAACACGCGAGCTGATAACGGGCGCAAATCTCCCTCTTTTCGCGCGTGGCACACGACGTGTGTATGTAGTTTTGTCGTTACTCCCCCTTATTCGTTTCCCGATTGTAATCGCGATTAAATTCGCCTATTAGTCGAAGTTCATAATTTGAAATATCGTTACCGTTTTAGATACAAATGCCTCAATTACGGAGACCAAGGTATTTCCGTTAATTGCACTGACATTTACAAGTACAATATCGACTGCCAGTGGGTGGACATTTCCGAGCTCGAGCCAGGACATTATACGCTCAAGGTACAGTCGTAATAGAGCCATTTTCATAAATATCGAACACGAGATCTCTCTAGGCGAGTCTCTCGAGTGCCTCGCGGCTCCGGAGAGGATTTCGATATCGTTACTTAGTAACTTCTCCTTTGTTTCCAGGTTGCAGTGAATCCCGAATACAAAGTTGGCGAGATATCATATGATAACAACGCGGCGATCTGCCGTCTGCTTTATACGGAAACTTTTGCGACTGTCCACAGTTGCATAGTGGGACGTCCTTGACACGATTGCGGAGATTTTTCTGGAGCTAGGGACAATCTAAGGGATGAGAGATTTCATGTCGGGCGCGTTGGCGTTGGCTGGACATAACGAAACAAGAGGGCGACACCCCGCGACACATTGCGACCTTGCGAGTGAATTTCACAATTCAGAAACAGAACTTTAATCGAAACGCAAGGAGTGTCATAAAATTGGAAAAATGGCAAACGTTAGAATAACTGGAAAAAAAATCGAAGAATTAGATTTAAAATTGTTACGTTACTTGAAAGACCCATATTCAGATATGTCCAACGTATTGTTATAATCTCATACATATTTCAAATAAAAAAATTATAAATTGAAAGAGTAGTTAATACATAAAAAATAAAAGTAAGTTTGAAATATATTGGTTCAACTCTAATTTTTATCCTTGAACTATTAATATGATTCTATTTACTTACAAAAGCAGATTTAAAATCTATAAAAATGTACTTTACTTTATTATATTTAACTTTACTTTATTATATTATTTAACTAATATATATTTTATATATAATATTATACGATGAATTAAATTATCTTACTTCATAAAAACGAGAAGCTAAATATAATGTTAAAAATTATATTAAAAAATTTAAGAGAAATTTCCTTTATATCTTATATTTTGTATCTTCCATCTTTCATACTATATTATGTATGATTTTTTTAGAATTATCCCTCACTAAACTCACAGACTCGGCGCAATTACAACGATAGCCAGTCTTTAAAAAAAGGCATCTTTCGTGCCCACTGAATAACCGGTCTCCGCTCTCGGCTTTCTAAACCCTATCGTCTCCATTCACGCGACTTTTCGGATAATTACAGAGCACTGTGGTGCGACCCTAGCCGGGTGTAATTACTAACGTGGATCGGCTATATAGATGTTCTAGGCCTGTTCTGTACGCGCCTAGCGAGAAGCAACCGGGTGTGCAGATCGAAGCTACCTGCCAGCCGACTACTTCCTCGCCCGGCATGCTGGCCGTGTACGGAATCACAAGTTTCGGAGTCTAGGACCAAATTTATTATTTATAGTTATACTATTTATAGATATTTAAATTACGTCCCTCGAGGGAAGAAAGAAAAAAAAGAGGACTCTCAGAATGATAGACGAAACGCCTCCACGCCTCGATAAAGGTCGATTCAGACTATACGGCATAGACCATCACGTTCCGGCAACGGCACGTACCGGCACTGGCACGACAAAACATTATTACATGCGTTTTAATCGTTTCAGTGCTGATCTGATGTGAATGTGAATGTGAATTAGAAAACGATAGAAAACAGAACGGCAGAAAATGAATTAAGAAAAATTAATTAAAATTAATTTTTTAATTAAAGTACTGATAAAATATGTTATCACATTTCAATAAGTTTTTGAACAATATCCAATGCTCTCCTTTAAGTTTTTTTCTTTTAATATTGGAATACCCATTTTCGATTTCTTTTCTTCATTTTTTTGACTTCGGCTTCTTCATTTAAAAAGTAAGGCTATGAGAGCCAATTTATCGTCGCTGAATAATTCATCCATTGTGACTACTAAACGTCAAATCGGACGATTGCCGGAACAATCTGAATATATGCAAAATTTGTCGTGTCGATGCCGATACGTGTCGATGCGGGAACGTAACGGTCCGGTGTCGTATAGTCTGCAGCGACCTTAAGAGTCCGAAGCGAACGTTCACGCTCTTCCGAGGGTCCCGATAGCACCCTCCCCTGAGATTGCCTAATCTCGCGTGCACAGCAACGTTAATTATGACCCCTAGGAAAATGACTATCGCGGCCGTATCGGGGATACACAAGCTCGCCTCTAGGCCAAGTCTAGGATAGAGGCGTGCTGCGTCACGCTCGAGTACTATGATGGATATTATCGTCGACTACCTGCTACCCGCTGGCAGGTGTTTCTACACACAGATGTATCTACAGCTAGGACGAGTCTCTCGTTCCCGTATACAGAGTGTCTCGATATTATCATCAAACATATTACGAAGCTTTAGAAGACGAACGCTATAATTGATCTATTACAAGTAGCGATTTACGAGCACTCGCATTAAAGAAAAAAACGGTATAGCAATATTTTAGTTCTCATCAGTTGGAGACTTTCTAAACTCCCATGACTAAAAGCTTTGTATGAATCTTACATTTTCTCTCAGGCGTCTTGAATAACGTATACATAAAGGTATTATGATAAGAGCATCAAAATGTATTTATTTTAAGAAATATTTCATATTTCATTATATCAAAATGTATCAAGATAAATATACATTTTTTCGACGAGAAATATTAACTTTTCTTAGAGTATCTTACTTAAAATAATTAATTATAGCCTCTAGATTTTTACGTCTATAAAGCAATCAACCTTTTCATAGAAGAAGAAATAGAAAAGAGAATATATTTAATATTTCAAAGTCGGCAGAAAGGTTTGGACGAAGAAGTCTCCTTGAAGATATTTCTGTCAATTACTTTGAGAAAAAGCAAACTGTCACGAGGGATATAAAATAATTATAACAGTCATCATAACATTCGCCCTGTGTTTTAGGCGAATTAAATTCACGATCACGAAGAACGCAGTGTCGTAAAGCGGACTCGCGAAAATTGAGTTAACTTCGTCCTTACAATTCTCGGTCTTCTTCTCAACGAAGAAACAGCCTGACAGGCCAGAGGGTGATAAAACCGTCGTTCTAATTCCAATAAAATTAACATCAAATGCCATTTTTCATTTCTTACGTAAAGCAAGACGACATTTTACAGTATCTGTCTTTGTCTGTATATAATAATAATGACTATAATATATAAAGAAAAATAATTATGGCAATTGCATTTATAATTCTTGTGTAGTATAATAAATTTTTAAAGTATAGTCATGTACATGCCTAAATGATGCATGGATTAAATTCTATTCGATTCCCACTTGGACCTTTTTACGTAACGGCACTCAAAAAGAGAAGTCGACTGTCAATTAAGCATCACGTCTAGCAGCAACGTGACGGAGGTAATCCGTTTAAAAAAAACATAGGGGATAGTCCGACAGGGATACGGCTTCCGTAGATAGCGTCGAACGTCGCGCAGTGTCGCCGCGACTTTCACCCCGCACGTCGCGGAAAGAGAAAATGCGTAACGATCCTTGCGACGACCTATCGCACTTAGAGACCTATCACAATTGTTTATGGAGGGGGGGAAGGAGAATTTTTTGAAGCGAAAACCGCCGAGAATAATTTATAATTTATCAAGCGCTCGGGGAACGAGCGTTCGAAGTGGCGAAACTTCCCGAGGGATGGAAAAGCACCTCAACGACGTCGTCCGAAGGGCAGTCAGTTGCGTGCACCTCAACGGAAATTATATATTCGTGGAGTAGAATTTTTCCAAGCGACAAGATTATTCAAGAGGGAAGATCGAAGTTAAGTTACTTCGGAGGCTTTAGGTCCGTCAGCCGAGCGTAAAATAGGCCCTGACGTCCGCCGGTAATCACAAAAATTGGAACAGCGAAGGTAAAGTGGGGTGCGCGTGTTTCGTACCGATTGTTGAACGGCGAAGTGGCGCTTGTCACGCGACTTAATAAATGCCATCGAAATTAATGCTCGAGAGAGCGGACTTTCTTGAAGAATGCCCTTCGTGCCTAAACGATTCTCTTTGCGACCTACATAACGTCACAATTGCTGAATGCTGAGCGTTACAGCTAATTACATATAATTACAAGTAATAGAAATATACAATAGTAACACAAATATATGTAAAATAACGCAAAATGACAGCAGAAATTATGTAATCGTTAATTTATTGCATAATTAACTTTAACTTCTTCTTCTCATTTTAGTATTATTTTAATGTACAGAAGCTAATGAAAAAGAGTTTAAAAAATAATTAAAAGCTATTAGTAGATAATCAAAATAGTCAAAGAATATTAAATACAGATTTCATTTGCGACGTTCGCACATAAATTATTTATGCCTTAATGACAAATAAATAAATAATGGCGAATAATACACTGATTAAAACCTTGTTCTTATTAAATATCGTTCTGTTAACTTTGTGCACGAGCAAGCAAATATTGTGCTGTGAAAATAACGCGTTATTGGAAACTACGGGTGACGCTATTTTAACTGGTAAGCTGTTAATTTAGCAATACTGCAATTTTCTAAATCTGAAAATTTTTACGTATAATTATATTTACAAGCAATTAATAAGTTTGCACTATACTGCTAATTTAAAAATTAAAAAGTAATAAATGTAATATTAAATATGATATACGTTATCTCTCACACATACATACAACTGTAATTATTTCTTTTATAAATTTGTAAATCTGCCTATAGATCGAAACAAACATGCACATATTTTGTTATATAAAAAAAAGTTGCGTAAATAAAAATAAGTTTTTCTCTATCTCTCTTAAATTTTTTCTGATTTCTTTTAATCAATAAGAGGAATTGAGAAAAACTTTTACGTTTTCTTTTTCTTACGTTTCTTACAATTGGGGCAACGATCATCGATATTCGATCAGTCTTTGTGGACACGAATTACGGACAATATTGCAATGTATCGTCATCTAAAGGCCTTCAACAAATCTTGACGATAATACACGTAGTGCGAACTTTAAACAAATATGACTACATACCAGGTGTAAAATTAGGTAAGTAAAATAGACATAACTTTTGTGCAAATATGTTAATCAATACCACGCCATGGCAAAAAAATAAATTGCGAAATAAGAATATCATGAAACTTTACATAGTAATTTACGACTATTATTATTTCTTTTAATTTGTTAATTTAAAAATTTTAAATTTTCTACAGAAATAAACAAATTCCTTATGTATACATACTTTTGTACGACTAACTATTATGAGAATTAAACTGATCAGATATTAATAATAATTTGTTAATAATTATTGTAACAGATGTTAATAATTTTGATCATTTAAGTCAAATAATATTATGGCAAAGTTATCTAAAATTGAAAAAATATATGCAAGTAAATGTATCAAATACGTCAAAATGTCAAGATACGTCTGTATGTTAGTTAATTATCACAGGGATCAAGGTAATCCTCAAAGTATCCCCGAAGTGTACGTTCTCGTGAATAATTATTGTGTATGTTACACAGGGCTAAGAATCTTCGACACGTGTCACGATGGGATTACGGTGTTTAGACAAGTTCTGGGAGTAGCGATCGGGCAAAGTTGCGCGCCGGATTACGAGATGGGTGTACTGGTGCCGTCCCAGTATGGACCCATGATGGATTATCTTCGCGATCACGGCGGTCCGCCGATCGGCATCTACGGGGAGCGGGACTTCACGGTGCCCGCGATCGATATCCTGGCGCATTATCTGAGCACCAGATACGGGATTGTCGATCTGGTGCGCGCCAACGCGGACTCCGTTCTCGATCGTTTCCTGGAAGCTACCAAGGACGCCGGTGTGTGCGTGAAGCGAAGTGACAGGCGCGTCAACGGTGACAGGTACGCGAACGTCACGGAAACGGTGATAGTCGCAATCGGCGAGAGAAATGACGTGTTACGATGGTTGGAAGAGAACGAGGGATCGAAGGGTTCCAGAGAAACGTGGTTCCTGCTGTCGCTCGATAATTTGGATATTGATGGCAAGTAATTTTAAAGTTTTATCGACGAAGAAATTGCGAGGGAACAGTAGTTTGATCTCTATGCGATGATATATTTTACAAAGGAAAAACATCTATTTTTTCTTTTATTAAAAGGAAAATGATTTATCTAATGTCGTCATAATTTTAAGACAACTTGTCTGTTGTGAACGTGTTGGAAACATAAATATAAATTAATGCCAACTATTACATTAAATATTGACGTCGAGTTGTGCTCGTAACAGCAGCTACATTACCCAAGTTTAGCCGTAGTAGTTGAGAGTTAAGAGACAGTTTCACCAACATCGTTCAACTTTAACCTTAGTTTGCGCGGCCTTTTGTTTCTGTTCAGAATTAAAGCTAAAATGAGACAACGGGACGGTTAAACTACAATTAAAGTTAATCGATCGATGTTGCTGCAGTCATTAGATAAATTAACTCACGTCGAATCTAACGTGCAACAAGAAATAACTCTCAACAGCGTCGCAGCAAAATTGAAATCTGTTCTTGTTTTAAACAAATCTCCTGTTCTAAAAATTCAGCCTCGATAACTTAGTATACCGCAATAATCCTAGATATCTAACAATAAGCCGAAATTTGGATACGAGAGGGATTAATCTAAATTTAGCATGCCGACAACGTCTTCAACTTTCCAGATCTCATACCATCCGGATCGTATGTCATTAAGCCGGAAATTCCTCGTCTCGATCTTGGCGAGTTCTCGAGCGCGGGCGAATTCCTGGAGAACTCCGACAACTCGGCGAACCACTCTCCGTATCTCCTCGACATTGGCAAGGCCGTCATCAAACTGGCGGAAGTCTTCCAGGATTTCCGCAAGAGAAACTGCCCTATCGGCAACGAGGAGAGTAGCATCGTGACGCAATCCCCTGAATCGCAACGGGAAATTCTTGATTCGGACGTTTACGAGCTTCTTCACATGCAACCGCGGTCACACTCGGTGAGATACGTGGTCGCCACGAAAACGCGACACGAGCTCATCGACGTCGCTCTCTACGAGATCGAAATGCCCGAGTTACGCGTTCTCACAGAGAGGACAACGTCCGGAATGCCGGGGCTCTGTTTGGAGCATCTCGCCGAGAATTGCGAAAACTGCACGAATTTTCAGCGACGCGACGTTACGAAAAGTAAAAACGATATAAATAATACGAGTACTTATAACCATACGGTTTATCGTTGAATTATTCTTGTGAATTATGAGCAATATGTGATAAAATATGAAATCCTACTCTTCATCAATTATTAAAATTATCCACCTTGCTTTTATAAATTTTTTTCAAAATTATGGCAATCATAATTTCTGTTAAATTAAGCATGCATATTTTTTCGAGAGATCAGCATTGTTTGCCTATATAATATATATCAATTTTTGATTTGACATTTCAGTGGATGTCGTTGGCAAAAGTGTTCTGCTGAAGAACAGTATTTACGTTCCTGTTTTCTTGATCGCCATCGTGTTCGGCACTTTTGTGTGCTGCGTCATAGTGACCTTTATCATCTATCGTTTTGCGACTGAGGAAATTCTCGACGGCAATCCAACCCTAACAATCGTCCTCGTCTTGGCCAACCTATTTACCCTACTAACAGCACTGCCCTTCTGCGTGACGGACGATTATTTCGGCGCGGAGAACCTGAACGCCTGGAAGATCCTCCTCACCACTCTCGCGTTCGGCCTCACGTTCTCGATCATGCTCTCGAGAGCACTCTTCCTGGCCTTGTCCACTGGCGGTGTTTTTATTATTCACATTAATGGATACTTACAGAGTTTTATGGCGCTCTTCATGTACGGCGTGCAAATCGCCATGTCGGTTATGTATTTCGCTCTGAGCGCAATGGACTCAGCCGTGGTCGCCAGAAGCCTCATCTTTATTGCGTTACTAGGTATATTGACCGGATTATTTGTTAATTCTACATTGGTTACGCAAGCAATTGTGATTTAAATAATTCTAGTTTTTCATTCATTTCTGAATCTTCTAAATATTTTTTAGAAATCTTGATTGATTTAATTTGCCTTATTTTGATTTCTATCTGAATTAATATTAATATTATATTAATATTATACGTTTTCTAATATTTTGACATATAAAATTTAACGTTTTAATAATGGTCTTCTGAAATTATTCAAAAGCAATCGCAATTACAGCATTGCTTTATTAAAATCTTCAATATCGTTTTCAGGATACGATATATTTTTATTAACTGCACTGTTCGTCGCTTGCTACTTCATTATTCGAATACAACGCAATTACTACGAGGGAAAATGTTTCTTCGGCACTGCTGTCGGTCTGCTAGCCATATGGGCAATATGGCTGATTTGCTTCATGTTGATGCAGCCGGAAAATCGTGACGCAATCGTTTTCTTCGGTATAATTTCTACGGCTTACTTAATTATTTTCGGTGTCTTAGTACCAAGGATCTATTACATGATCACGCATACACCCAGAAGAAAAGATCTTGGACAAAGATTCAATCCCGTCAGTCTATTGACCGATTCGACTGTTAATACGATTAGGCAGGTCAGGACGTTACGCGTTTTCTCCCGATTATTAATTATTAAAAATAATGACGATTTTTCGTGGTACTAATATTTTTGTAGTTATAATTGTATTATCGATTATTAGCATTTTAATTATAAATATAATTAAATTTCTTAATTAATATTTGTATTATATTATGTAAACTAATTATATTATTAATTACAATATATTATGAGAATTAATTTATTGAAAAAAAATTTAATTTTTCTTGTTGATAATGAGAGAACTCGATTTGCAGTCGCGTTCCTCCTTTGATTACGTTCATCCTGCTCGAGAAAGTCAGATTTTACGAGTGCCATCAGCATATTCAAATTATTACGGTAATTCAAGCTCGAACTCGAAACATTTCGAGAGATGCAAAAGTCCAAATCACCACGAAACGCCTACATATAATAGTTATGAATGTCAAGCGGAAATGAAGAAGATCGACGCTACCTACGTCACGCCGCGAATGTACGTCGAGAACACAGAGGTGAATATTCATCAAGCCGCGGAAAATTAATCAAATATATTTTTCATAAGCAGATAATAAACAGAAAACAGAATACCGTTTCCATAATATGCTCATATAAACGCAATTTATGCGCATATTGGGATATAATAATTTACACATAGTTAACGATTAAAAATTTTATAAAAATTTATCAAATATGCAATTTGAAAATTTTCAATTTGCAATTTGAAAAATTTTTTAAATTTCCAGTATTTAGCTACAAATGACGTCATTTACGCGCAGCCCAGAATCTATAAAGCTCAGAGGATAATTTTGGGAGAGAGAAACAATGCAGAAACCACTTGTAATAGAGATAATTCTTCACCTATCTCTAGACTACACGTCGAAATGTATCCTATAAGATACACTAGCCCAACAAAAATGACGACGGAACGAAGGATCGATCAAGACGAAGAGGATGAAGAGGATAATGCCAGTAGAGTTACCCGCTTTTAACAAATTGAATCTAGTGTTCAATTTTTAATATCCTATACATAATTTTACACAAATCTATTAGCTTCGTAATGTAAAAAGTAATCTTTTACTCACCGATACGATGCGCAGCGGTGGAGTTGTGACTACGTTGAACTGCAAAATAAAAATATACGTAATTAAAGCAACGATCGGAATAATTTTTATTTAGAAGAATTACTATTATCCGCGCAGAAAGTAATCATAAATAATTATCTCTGCAACTAACGAGTAAATGAAAAGATAATTTACTCACTCCATGGTTGCTCCACCGTCACTCGATGCCGTCCAAGTCTCCTCCTCCTCTCAGATTCCCTCGTTGATTAATTGTATACGACACAACGTAATTCTTGCGAAAACACGATTAATTACGATCACGAATGTTAATCATTGCAATAAAATAGTCGCTCGCACAACTCCCGACGGTAATCACTGCACGCTACGCGCTACCTGCCAACTTGAATCTCGCCGCGTGAATGACATCTCGGATCCTGACTCGCGGTGGCTCTCTTGCGCACCAAAACAAACGTCAAGGCCGTGCACAATCCAGTCCCGCCGACACGCGTTTAACGTATCCTGGAAAATAATTGTACATTAAAAAATATTCTATTATTTCCATTTCAAATTAGTTATCAATATATAATCGATGCAATAACGTAGCTTTTCGTTATTAGAATAATTCAATCGGGCCATGTCGTATATTATTCCGCGCTATCAATCGCAAATCGATTGGAAAATTACATTTACACCGAAAATTCAAAATGCGATACGAAGTTTATTGTATCTAACAATAAGTATCGTTGAGTACATCGCGACACGTAATTAATTATCGCGAAACAATAATCTATTATATTTCCATTCTCTGTTTCGTTCCGCGATTCATATATGAAATAAACCACGTGAAATATCTACTTCGCGATAAGCAATCCCAATACATTTACGCGAATCGTTCATTACGCGGACTAATGATTAATCAATTTATTCTAATAATCGTATAATATTCATGATAGTTAGACATTTTCTAATACTTGTCGCGGCCACAATACGACGGGGTAATAACACGACGTGGAACGACTCGCGCAACACAACCTGCCGACTCGAGTTTCAATGTGCGAATGATAGCGCGGTGACCTTGCGTAAATACGGCCCGCTGTACACCGCAATAATGAACACCAAGGTCGCGTTGTTATTATCACCAAGTCGTTATTGTCTCAAAATATTTAATGCTTTATAAAATGAATATTCACGCTGAATATTTCGTTCACTGCATTTCCATAAATAGACTATTATCACACATTTTGCGCCTTGTTTTGCAAACTAATTAGCGTTGCCTAAGATAATGATTAATTCCGTTAGATTGAGAGCATTTTGAAATTAAAATATTATTTAAATTCTAATTTATAAGGAAATCATTGAAATTACCTTCAATTTAACATTCATATGCGTATAAATTAACATACATTATACAATTAAAGCGTTATAAAATTTCCATGCAAGTTGAATCAATTTTTATTTTTATTGTATACAATTCAATTAATTGCTTCATTTAAAAAGATGATTAAATTTATTATTTAGATTAAAATTTACTCCACGAATAAAAACAATTATGTTTTAAAAATTTATTGAACGTTAGACTATTGTAAATATACATATAATCAACACACACACTCTGCTATCTAGTGTAAGATTTTAAAATTAATACACACATATCAGTTTTTTTCTAAAAAATTATTGGAACTATGAAATAAAACTTAGATTATCTCTCGAAATAATTTTCATCCTCATGTGAATCGCGATGAATCACGATGATATGTGAATCGCGGTTACAAATACGATATATCAAATATTAAGTTAAATTGACTCTCACGATCTATTTATTAAATCGTATCGTATCTCCAGATTTCAGCTATATTCTTTAACAGGAACGCGATTATAAATACAAGCATAAATCTGGTTAAATATTGAACTTGTTCGTAATTATTGACAAGCTCGTTGACCAATTCGGCGACTCGGAGGTTCCTCGCTGCATTAAGCGAGGAGGACACGAGCGAAAAGCTGCGCCGTACACGGCGCAGAATCAATTTGGCATGTACCTCAACGTCGAAATTGCATTATGGTCGATCGTAATTTTGCAAGCAGGGCACAGGTGTGTGCTTCGCGGGAATATCGATGACGAGATAGCGAGATAGCGGACATACAACAAAGGGACTGGCGAAAATGAAGTTTTCGTTCACCGCAATGCGATGTATGAGAGAACAATTTGTCATTTGCGCGTTTTATCCTTTTTCTTCCCCCGATGACGCTAAATGCAAAATATCTTAATTAAAATTCACTAATATATAGAGACACCATCAGGATGGTTGCATAATAACTCAAGTTTGATATCGATCAAAAATAAGATGAAAATAAAATTTTCAATTGTCAAATTTTCCTAACCGATCGCGTACGCATACTAAAAAAAAAAAGAAGATATGCAACTCTCCCTCGAAAATTATATCAAACGCGCATAGCTCCTTCGTCGATCTCGTCGCTGGCGTTTCCCTACGTCGTTTACGGTTACCACACATGTGTCAGGGTTTATTTCCACATCATAAGACCACCATGAAAACCGCGAAAATCAGAAGCGGCTGGCGACGGCCGATAAGTCGCTATAATGGAGATAAATCGAAAAGTGCATCGGCTCGTGAAACGGTACGCCATCCGAACCAACCTTCGCGTTGCCCCCCATGAAAAAGCTTCTGCGCAAGGACGAGCTCCAGCGGCTATAAAAGCCCGCACGAGACTCGTCCGCTTTCCAGTCACGTTTAGAACAGCCTTTCAAGTAACAAAAAAAGAGAAAAATTCGAAGAAAACTACTTGAATTACGTGCTTATCAAGCCGATAAAAAAAGAGAGAAAGCAAGACACGTGCAATTTTTCGAAATTTGAAAGAAAAATTCGTTTTAAGTAAATAGATTGAGAGAGAAATATAGATCGATTCCCAAACACATTTCTGAATAATAGGGCCTTATCTATTTAACTTACATTTCTTACATTTATTACTTTCCTCTTTTTTCGGAAAATTTATTTTGGAGATTTAATTGATGAACTCTATAAAAATTTTATTTTATATTTTGCCTTCATACTTTAATAATAATCCATTGTTAATTACCAATATATTAATTATAAAGAATTAAAAGATTAGGCGCACAAACTTCCGTTAAAGATAAATCCCTGATTTCTTCACGAATACACATAAACAGTGACTCGTATCAGCGTATTCAATTTTTTTTCACCCTACACCGAAATCGATGATTAAGGATGAGATTAGACCTGAAGAACAGTCGCATGATCACCGTTGTAGTGGTCTATCTCAGCCTCTTCCTGGATAATGTCCTGTTGACGGTAGTCGGTAATTACAATCGGAGGAGAGGAAAAGAGGGAGAGGACAAATCGCAAGCTCTAAATCATTTGCTGATTCGGAAATGTTTCAGTGCCGATTATCCCCGATTATCTGTGCACGCTCGACGCAAATACGACCGCGAGCGCCGAGGAGGACGAAAACGGTCGAGTGGGATTACTACTGAGCTCGAAGGCTCTGGTCCAATTAATATTGAATCCCGCCGTGGGCACTCTCACCGGCACTCTGGGCTACGCCAGACCTCTGTTCCTGGGAAATCTCAGCCTCTTGCTGGCTGCTTTGCGTAAGTTATGAACGACCTTTCACCCGCGGTGTTTGCGCTTTTCTAATGAATAGAAAGCTTCACATTCATCCCTAACAATTCGAATCTCATCTCACGATTTCGGAGAAAGAATTGTTTCAAATCAAATGATTAATTAAATTATTGGTTAAATAATTGTTACAAGTTGAAATCAAACAGAGAAATCTTTCGATTGTTTTGGTTAAATTTAATTTCGCTTTTTACGAAACTACCGTTTGTTAATTTAACGCTGATAGTAATAAAGGCTTCAAGTAAAAAGTAGCGTTTCTATGAACTCGAGTTTTCATTGTTATCGCACAGTGTTCGCCTTCGGACAAACATACGAGATACTGTTCTTGGCGCGAAGCATTCAAGGTATAGCTTCAGCATGTATAGCAGTTTCCGGCATGTCGTTGGTCGCCTCTCAATACTCGGAAGAAGACGAAAGATCTAAAATCATGGGGTTCGTTCTCGGTAGTATCGCGCTAGGCGTTCTCCTAGGTTACCCGATTGGCTCCGTGCTTTACGATCTCGAAGGAAAAATGGCACCATTTCTATTGGTGTCTAGCCTCATTGTTGTACTAATCTGTAAGTAATTCTTTGAAATTGTCGAAAGCGCATTTCTTTGCACAAGAATAATAAAATATTGAAATGCGTTATTTTCACAGGTCTGCAAATTTTGAAATTAGATGTTCAGACAAACATTGAGGTAACATGTAATATTTTAAAATATTAATACGTTTTTATAATAATATTAAATTATATTTATAAGTACAACTTGAATGCGTGAAGCATAATTTATAATTCAAAATCTATGTATAATTAGACGTATTCTTTCTTAAAGAACTGTTTTTCAAAATTAAGTTTAGAGTCTGTTATATAATTCTGTCATTTTTTAATAAGTTTTAGCCGTCAATAATATTATATTATTCCAAAGACTTAAAATAGCGAATTAATTTCTCGTACTTAATGTTAAAGTATATGCGATTTTATTTATCAAAGCTAAATTGTTTAATCAAATTTTTTTGTCACATCAGCCAAACGAGCAACAAACTACTTGGCTGCATTTATTGTCCAATCCACACATCCTCATTATCTCCGGTGCAATTTGGTGTTCCACGTCACCAATGGCGATATTGGAGCCTTGTTTACCGATTTGGCTTCGGACTCACATAAAACCCAAGGTATAAGACAGAAAATTTTTACTTCATAATAGAAAAATATGAATGGCAAGTTTCGTCAAGCTTTGATCTTGTCATAATTGATCTAATTTCAACAAATTTTTGTCTGTATTATAATTATTATCACAATTAACGACAACATATAAAGAGATCAGAATGCCATTAGATCATAGTTAATGTTGATGAGAAAAAGTGTTGAAGAAATTTAATTGAATCATTTAAATAACGTTCGACGCCAATAATTCTGCAAATTCGTTAAAAATGCGGAAAAGCACCGCCCTTTTGTTTAACGTCTCTTGCAGAAATGGCAACTGGGTACGGTATTCATACCAGACAGCGTTGGCTATTTAATCGGGACCAACTTCTTCGGCGTGATAGCGTATCGTTACGGGCGCAGCAAAGTGGCGATCCTGGCTATATTCGTGGTCGGCGTTAGCGCCATTCTAATCCCGTTGGCGAACACAATGTCGCAGTTGATATTCCCGCATCTGGGAATGGGTCTGGGCATCGGCGTCGCGGATGCAGCCCTAGTGCCGTTGCTGGCCAGCTTAGTAGACCGAAATGGCAACTACGGTCCCGTTTATTCGATCCAACAAGTGGCTGTCAGTTTGGCTTACTCCCTAGGTAAGGCGCTCCAACCGGAAAATTAAGACAGCTCCGTATAAATAGAACGGAAGAAAATAACTTTAGAACAGTAGAAGTATAAAGTGGAAGCTAATTCCGTCCTTGGAGAACGTTGCTTCTAATTGAGACAATTTACAGTTTTAAAAAATTCGAATATTACAAAAAATATATGTCGCATCGTTTTTTTTTTAAGGGCCCATCACGGGCGGCGAAATGGTCAAAGCCATTGGATTCCCGTGGGTCATGCGAGTCGTGGGCATCGTGAACATAGCGTACTGTCCGTTGTTGATATACCTCACGTTGGAACGGAAAAAGTTGTTGGCGAAAAAAGAAGGAAAGAAGGACTACGACACGTTTCAAAAATCCGTCACGCCCTACGAGAGATTTCACGATTCCGACGAAGATCTTTGACAGTAAATAAGACTCATTTAGCAATCGCAAAATTGAATATCATATTGATTAACTCGAGAAAATTTTGTAAATTTCTATATGTGTTAATACTTTTTTCTTTCCATGACAAGAGATAACATTGCTCGTGTCGGTTACTCGCTATGTTTTTTAAAACATTATATCACCTAATTGTCATATAATTTTCGCGAGTCATTGTCTCCATTCTAACAAACAATCGCGCGACGTCAAGTATCGTTAAATCCGCTTTTGGACACCCTCGAAGTAGTGTCTAGTAACGTTATTGTGTCCCCAATTAAGTGCGCCATGCAGAACCGGGTCTTCGTCGTAATTGGTAACCCAAGTGAATTATTGGGCGAACAACATCCCCCCAGGCTGTCATCCATGGAACGACGACGTTTCTCGGATCGGAGAGCAGGAATTTGCTGAATTCGCGAGAGCGAGGTACAGGACAAGAAACGCGCCCTTCTGTTAGTGGAAAATGACGACGATCGATCGACCGATGTAGCCGATAGCTCTGAAAGCTTATTAATGCACTCAATCTACAGCGAAATTCGTTTATGTTGCATTAACGGTCCCCACCGTCTGCCGCAAGCATTGACTCTCGTCATTAGCTTACGTAGATCGTGCCGTGCCGTATACAATGTATTTGATCAATGGCGTGTCCCTGCACGATCGGTTGCGTGCAAAATCGGATGTTCCAACGAATCCATGCGTATAGTTTCAAAAACGCGGAGAAGAACTAAAAATAATAATTTTTCACAAATGTTAAAGTACATTTCATTCAGGCTTTGTTTAATTTTGCGAAATTTTTCTACTCTCGTCGCATTCGAATCTTTTGTTTAAGTTATAGTAATGCTGGAAGTACAAATATTAAAGGGATTACTATATATAATACAGTCTGCATATTATTCTCCGCGCGCGCGCGCGCGTATACGAACAGCCTAATGATTTCGGTTTGTCCGATCAAACGCCGTAAATATTGATCGTAGGAAAGTCGAAGCGCATAGATAAATCCCGGCTATTTTCCTTCGAGGAAGTCGGAGGCGTAACGTAAACAGGGCGTTGGTGCCGTCGATGTTCGAAGGATTTGTAAGCGAGGAGCAGGGCGCGCGAGAGGAGGCGAAATGGGGCGTGACTGACTTTGCACCCCGGGGTTTATTCGGTGAACAACGCCGATCGTCATTAGTAAGGGTGTTAGACTAATCGCGCCACCGCCGTCGCCGCGAAAGAAGCCAACTTGCAGAGCCCCGTGGGCGACACGCGTGGATATTGCTTTCTAAAAATGAAGTGTCCCCTCGGAAAACTTTGTATATCAATTTAACAGGCAGTGCTGAATTATTAATAGTGCAGAGCTAACGTCATTAATTAATCAATCGGTGTTTCGCTGCGGAATTGTATATAATTAGCATTGCCTTTCGAATCTATGTTACGTATCTGTGCTTTTATATTATTCCCATTGTATATCCTGCAAGAGTGTACTAATTTCAGCTGTAAAATCGATAATAAATCGATAATGTTTCTTCTACGATAATAAATGACTTAATATATAAATAATGTAATATAATAGCGCATAATTTAATTTAATATAAAAATAATAGATCATCAAACGAAGATTGAAAAAATAATTATTTTATGATTGCATTATAATGTAAACTGTGTATTTTTATCCATTCCCATTTTTATTCGCAGTTGTCTCCGGAGACAACCCGATCATTCTTTTCATCATTTCGCATAAACATATGTCCGTAATTAGTCGAAGAGATTAATTCTGTTTGGTTCGTAACGAGCCAATAATTAAAAGTTGTTAAATTATGTCTTATAAATAGAAAATCGATTCGTGTGGGGTCCGTGTGACTTTAATTCCACACGAAATGAAGCGCGTCGTGCAAAGTTCATCGCATAAAAGCGGCCGTGTCGTTAGCAGTGAGGTAGGTAAAGAGAGCCGTGATAAAACGCAAACGACGACAACGAAGGGGAGGAGAAGTCAACGACTGAATGGACGAAAGAACGTCGCGGCACATATTTAATGGAGGAGCTTGATGATAGTCCAGTGATTTTCAAGCGCCCCCGCATAACGAAACGTTGATGGCCTCGTTTGGTGACGCAAAGCCTCGGAGTAACGGCAAGATAGCGTGGTAAGGTAAATACATGAGGTATATTGAGCAATAACGATCGTAGCATGCAGACGGAGATGACGAGGAGACGAGATCCTCTTCTGTAATCTTCTTAATTGTGTATACCTCACCAGACGATCATAAAATAATCCAATGCCGCGCAGGAAATTTTCTATTCGATACTCGCATACACATGCCATTTCTCGCAAAAGCACACATTTATCTATCTCTTTCATGAGCTTAGAAGTTATAATGCGTAATATATTAAAGACCACGATTTTCGCGCGTTTCTCTCGGCAACATTCGTTGCACGCGTCGCGCATTTGACCTTTACGAGCGATATCTTCATTCTCCTTTTCTTCGGCGAAGAAGAAGCCTTTTCAACTTTCAACATCCGCCACCTTTTCCGCGCGCTACCTCAATTCCGGCCGCCGATCTCTATCTTTGTATTCCGCGATCATGCAGCGGAGATTAGTGGCGCGGCGTTGCATGAAAGATCCGCGAAGTAAACGCCGCGATAAAACGTGCCAGCCCTCGTCGACGACCCTGAGCGAAATTTAATGCCGGTCCGCCCAATCCCTGACCTCTCTTGCCGCCTCGTCATCGCTAACGAGTCATTCAGCACGCACCCATCAAATCTTGATGTCCTTCTCGCGATATCTTTTTTCTTCCCTTCCACAATCTTCCTTCCTCCCATTCTCTGACCCGCTATCCCATTTTCGAAACCATAACTCTCTGGCCGGAATCCAACGGGACGCGAATGTCATCCCGGGCGATATCGGTGTCCCTGGCAATCTGTCCACCTACATCGGCTGTGCCGCACATATTTTATCGTGTGCGACTTCGCAAAGCTCGATTGGCCGATACGCGCAAATCGAAGCAGATCCCGGGATTCCAAATCCTTCGAATCCTCCTCCACACTTATTCAACATTATTGCAGAGAAGATTGAGAAAAGGATGAGAACAATACGTGAATTGTGCCAGTTTGTGCGAAACGATTACATCGTTGTCACAAAAAAAAGTTATATAATCCGAACAAAAAATCATAATTTTGCAAGAAAATATTAAAGACGTAGTTTTATGTCTTTAGGAAAATTTTACACGCGCTCTTTTATGGTTTATTCATGCCTTTCTCAACGGCATTTAGAGGCTTTCACGAATATTAACGTTTGAAGCCCGGCTTTCGTATTACAAAGCAGAGTCGCACAAGTAATTCCTTAGTTTGATGTTTATGCAAAATGTCTCTATACAACTTTGTAAGTAACGATAAGACCTCGCAAACTCTCATAAAGAAACGTCTTGCTAAACGCGCGATTTATTTTCGTAACGCGGCAGGAAGTGTAATACAACTCAATCCCGCTGCATTAATCTCGCACCAGAATTAGAATCGGTGTTTTGAAATCAAACTGCAGAGCAGATAATGAAAAGAGGAAGAGAAAAACCCAAGTAAGGAAACAGAGCTGTGACAGTTTGACTAAGTGACCTCGATGCTTCGTCTGCTATTCGCGAGGACACCCGCTTTAAATCGGGACAGCTAATTGTCGATTGGCTGTCCTAAAAAGGATCTCGAGAAATGGGAATCCAGAAATGCGTAATTTGATTTCTTGTCAATATAACAAACGCTATGTAAACACATTGATTTCGGCGGCGAGATTACGTCACAGATAAAAGCTCGTAAAACACTAATCCTCATCCGATCAATATATATGTATATTGCGAAAAATAAGCAAGCAAACGATATCTTTGTCATCAGACGAGAGGATAAAAATTTTAATTGATTAAGCAGATAACAATCATATTTTAACAATCATTAATAATAATAACAAGAGACCAGACGTGCATCAGTTCAGTGTTGTATAATCTTAAAATATTCAAGACAACTTCAAGAGAGAACACATGTTTTCCGGCTCACGTGTTAACATTATGCAAGGAAGAGTCCGAAGAATAGGGCATGCAACATCTGAATATACATACTGAATATACATATTCGGAAAACGCGTATACTCTTTCCCGTAGCTGAGCAATCTTTTGACTGAATGAATAATCGATAATGCCTCAGCTAAAGTTTGATAAGAGATTTAACTGCAGAATTAACTGCATGTAACATTCAAAATGTATTAATATTCAACGTTAAAACTTTATTGATTTTGGCAAATTAAGCGTCTCATCTAGACTCGGCCTCGACGAAAAGTTAAATTAAAGTCCGATTACCGAAGTATATTGTACCACCTTGAAAATTAAAGCGTTGCGCTAATCTTCAATGCCCGAACTGAAATGAGAAAAGCAGCGAAAACTGAAGTTAAGTGAATCTGATGGAAAATGTGCAGCACACCGTATACATGGTTACGTCAACGTAATCCGATTTTCGCGTGATGGACGCACGTCAAAGCTACGTACACGCACGTGCGTGTATTGCATAACAAACCGTAGAGCGTTAACACGAAACGCTTGCCAATTAGCATTGATAAGGGTTCATATATAATACCGAATGATTATATGGCATTACGGGCGAGAAGGATGAAATGCTTGTTAGCCGATATGTATCTTGTTTACAAGAGAGCATACCGATGCTGCTTATTTCCGTGGACAATATTTGAAATTAATTGAAACTCGAAGCGAAAGATCATAATTTGCGAGATTACTTTTAAATGTCAAGCCGTATTTAAGTAGAGCTTACAAGCTTTATACTCCTGCATTCCCGCGTGCTCTAATTTTCTAGGAGAGGCTGAAAACTGATGTCCACCGTAAACGCGATCATATAACAAAAAGTCACGTAAAACTGACAGGATCATTCCTCATTACGTTGGAAAACGAAGGATTAAATCCTTAAAGCACTGCTGCGGAGTCCACCTCCCTCTTTCTCTTTTTCTCTCTGTCTCTTTCTCTCTCTTTCTCTATTGCGCATTCGACATCTCAATTATTATATCGAATATCAAAGGCCACGCACGTGGAAAAGAGTAATCTCATTTATTTTAACGCCCCGGTATTAATGATAGATACATCGCGTAGCAACTTTTGCTATAATACTGCCTGAATTTCATGAAAATTTCATGAGTGGGATAGCGGCGCGCTTATAAGGGTTGAAATTCAACGGTGTGACGCCGCGCACCCGTATACCATTGCCGCATTAATAACGGCGCACACACGTCGATAGTTAAATTTTCCGAAACGCATTAGGCACAGGTGTTCGATTAACGGTTCCGCGCTCGTTAGCTTCCGCAAAACGCGCGGCGTAGCGCGGCGCGGCGCGGCGCGGCGCGGGTCGATCGATCGAGCGCGCGCGGCATCATCATCGAATATCGACGCACGTCCGCGACGGTCGGCGTTTGCGAAATTTCGAAGCCGAAAATCTCGCGGCGGCGGCAGGGGATGCTGCCTGCCTGCCTGTCCACCTGCCTGCCTGCCTGCCTGCCTGCCTGCCCGTCTAACCCGCCTGCCTGCCTGCCTGCCTGCCTGCCTGCGTCCGGGATACTCTCCCGCCGGCCGCTATCGATCTTTCCCAGAGCACAGCGAGAGCGCGCGCGAGAGAGAAGACATCTCCTCGGTATCCCTGCCGCACGTGCGCGCACACGTATACATATATATAGAGACATACACACATACACACACGTACACGGACCAACACACGCGACATTTGCCCACACCAATTGGAAGATAAGCGTCCGTGAGCCCTGCGCACACGCGCACATCGAGTGCGGCTACCTTACTTACGAAGACGATAAGCGTTCGTGAGCCTCCGTACACAGACGCGAGGACCGATACCTACTCGAGTAGTACTCACGACCACGAGGACGGCAAGGGGCGGCCGTCGGACTCACGTGTACCGAGGAGAGAGATACGCAAATACACAGACGTATACATATACTCGAAAACGCGCGTTCGATGCGGAGATAGTAATATACCCCAAGACGGTCGCGGACGGTAGCGCGCGTACGAGACGCGCGCGGAGCGGAGCGGAGAAGCCGTGGGAGGCTCGGACGCGTAACCAGCCGAGCTACACTCCGCACTCCTCGAACACCCGCGTCCGCCTGACCCGAGAGGGAGACTTCAGTAAGCTCGGAGCTTTCAACCGGTCCGCTGGCCGTTCGCTATCGACGTCGTCGCCGACCGCCGCGTCGCGTCGCGTCCCGGTATACGAAATCCGTCTCGACGGAACGCGATAAAGCTGGTGAACGTCGCGCATCGATCGACCCTGGACCCGGGACATCCTCCGTGCGAACTGTCGTTCGCGAAATCTCTCGCGTATCTCCGAAACTGAAACGGAAAATAGAGAGGCGTCCCCGAGCGAGTGAAAACTGCGAAGAGTATCAGCGAGCTGATCTCAAAATATGACACTGGCGGAACGAAGTAATCCTTCGAAAAGTTGTGCTCCGAGAATCAGCGACTATCTTACCGAATGATTTCAAGTTTCTTCAGAGATCAGTTTGTTACTAGACGGTTGCTGATCGGCATCGCGAGGGTCCAGCGGCATCGCCTTACTCACGAAACGATCCCGTCGGCGGGGAAAGGATGAAGACGAGGAAAAGGAGCTCGCGAGGACGTGCCGGTCGATGCGGTTTCGAGTTTGCGATCGCGTGTCAACGGGCTGCGCGCTGATCCTGCCCCGCGCGAGATCGGAGCGATCCTCGATAAATAACTCGCGGGGAAGGGGAGGGGACGACTTTTCTATATTTGAGGCCGACGACGTGGGGACGATCGAAGCCGCGTGCGGAGGAGGCGATGATCTCGTTCCCGGAAGCGGCCGGAGATCCTCCCATTTAAGAGCTCCACGTCGTCGATCACGCGTGATCGCGCGACTGTCCCGGCTAAATTGTCCCGTACGTAAATCGTCGACGCGCGCGACACATCGCATGCTCCTAAATAAATCTGACGTGAGAAAGAAATGAGTTAATTATAGTGTGGGAAGTAACGCAGGCAGGAAGATAAGAAAAACCGCGGTTGAGTTCAACTTTGGGAGAGGCGAAGCAGCTCTCCGTGCGCTCGATCGTCAATCTTGCGACGCCAAGTGATACGGAGGCTGGAAAACACGTTGTGACGGATATATCGAACGGCGACGAACTTGAACGTGAAAAAAAAAATACGCGAGTTACGCGAGATGCGTCTGCGTGATTGCGCGGTAACGCTCGCGCTTTTCGAGCAATCGGTTCCGTCCAGTCGATCGCGATTGAACGCTTTCGGAGGTACGATCGTGCTCGACGCACGCCGGGACGAGAACGAAACGCAGTAGACTGAATGTATCCTTGACATGCTTGAATTAAAGAAAGGATATCGACGCGACGGAAAGAAGGAGGGCATGTTTACCGAGAGGGAATCGCGGGTGGGATAAAAATAAAATGCAACTTTTGTGTATATTCGTACGCTCGATGACGCTCGCGTTGAAGGGAAATGGTGACGAAACGTCGAGGAAACGTTGCGGTCTGTTGAAATGACGTGTGTACGACGTGGTGGATGCCGACGAAGGACTCGATCGTGTACGTGAAGGCGAGCGTTCACGTGCGGCAGGAAATCGCGAATGACATTTTGCAGGAGTGATGGCTATTTCGGGCCGGACACGCGGGTGTGCTGCATTTATAAGACATTCCTCGCGAATGGTTTACTGCAGGTGAGCAATGCAGATGGCTATATTTATGCTGGCACATCAATTCAGGTATTGTAAGCAAATCAAACGCGATCGTGCACCAAAGGAAGTGACTTCATCGAGGGGAAGTCCTTGGTCGCGAATTCTTGAAGGTCTAGATTTCTTGCGTAAGTCATTCAATGCAACACGTTGCATTTAGAGTTGACAATCGCATAATGCGCAAATTCTATAAATACTTAATCGAAATAATACAAAATATATTTGCATCTTTTAGGAGATTAAATTAAACAACGTTAAATTGGCAACCTTTTCGAATACTTGCTCTAAATATGATCATGCCTGTGCTAACAAACTCGAAAAAACAGAATATAAAAATAAACATTATTATGAAGTATATTATAATACGCAGGAATTGAGAAAATAACCTTAGTCTTCATAAAGATTTTTATTTGCAAGAATATCCTTGTACTCTCTTCTCTTTTAATAGCTCTCGAGCTGTAAGCTATTATAGATAAAAGACTTTTAGCGAGTCAAACTTTAATACTGTAAATAAACGAATATATGAAATGCTGTTTGTTGTATTAAATTTTATTCAAATGTAATTTTATTAACGCGTAGATAAAAAAATATAGTCTTTATTTTTCAAAACTAAGTTAAAAGCTAAGTTAAAAGGTGCAATATGCGCTTATAGTGCGTTCGAATACTTTAAACATAATAATTTATTTGTGGCAAAATTAAATTTAGCGCGATAGGTGTCTCGTAAAGTAAAAATAATTGCGACGCATCTATGATGCACTTCAATAATATAATAGAGAATTCACAAAAATGCCCATTGAGCTCGCATCCACTCATGTCGCCGTGACATTCCAATTATTCGCAGTCTCGATTCCAATTTAGCGGATAAAATGTCAGGGTTGTAAGAGCGAGAGACGCGCGCGGGGAGGATAATCATCGACAGGAAACGTATTAACAAGGGACTTAATGCGAAGCGGTTATTCTCGTTGAGAATTGCAGACGGTGGCGGCTAGGCGGACTTCTTCATGAATATTGAATTGCGTAATTTCATAATTCAGTGATTAGACGTGGATTTCCCCAGTGGGTCGTTGCCTTCGACCCTTCGCGGGGGACGGAGGAAAGTAAAAGAGGACGAAAACGCGTAAGAGAAAGGGCTAAACTGGAGAGGAAAGAAAGCTCTCGCTCTGCCGTACACGAGTTAGACGACTCACATCGATAAAATATAAAATTCATGGGCTCGCCCTCGATCCTCGACATTCATAGATTACATTTCAGATAAAATCGTAAAATTTTAAAGCATATTCAACACAAGTCGCATGAGATCTTGTCAAATTAATTCAAGAGCGACAACTGAAAGATCGTGAAAATTACGTCAGCGTGAATCATATTAACCGAGGCGGTAAAATGGAAAATTAAATTTTACATATTGCCACACGTACCATATATACATATTTATATATAAAAATCAATGCAAATTATCGAAGAGAATTCCTATAAATAAAATGACTTCGTGCTGCAAAAATATAAATAATTCTGTATCTTTGTCGGCGCATTTGACATAACGAAAATTGTTTGTTTTAATTTATTTATATTAATTTAATTAATGTTCCTTCAATAAATTATTTCTACAAGCTAATAAATTGCAAAAAAATGATCTCTTAATACTTCTAACAATATAAAGTAGTCTGTAGAATATAAAGGTGAAATAAAATTAGAACAAAGTATATTCTTTTGCGTTACGAAGAAATCGTATACTTTTTCAGATTCGTATTTCCGGGACTCGCGAAGACGTGCGTAAATACCGGGAAACGAAAGGGCGACGAGATGTGAAGCTTCCTCTTATTCGCACGGCTCTCACTGAACGTTCCTATTGCGCTCGATGCACGTTACATTAAGCTCAAGGTGATATGGAAGCAGAAGACGAAGTGGATGATGAGTTGTCGGAGGCCGTCGACACGGAAGTAATTAAACAGTTTGCATTAATGCTTTCGTCGTTATAACAGTATGGCTGCAATTTGTACAAACCAAAGGCATCTTGTCACTAGAACCTGGATACTGACGACTTGAAATTTACGTGTAAAGAATCCTTAAATACCACTTTTAATACTTTGGACTAAAATAATTATCCAAAAAAGACCAGCGTTTATAATTCTCTTTCTATTGCATTATATAAATTTCTTACTGTAAAGAGATACTGATATATTTTTAAAAAATTTAATTTTTAAGTCACGTGCATAAGAATAATAATAAAAACAATATCCAAATAATTTAAGAAGCTATTCATCAATTGACAAAGCGTATATTTTAAAAATTGTACTTTTAGAAAAGTATTATCAAAATATCAGGTTCTGCTCATGATACAATTAAAAGTCAGTCATTATTCAATTAGAGTTTCGCCTTTCCTTTTCGATCTTTCAAAATAACGTAGTTACGAATCAGAGATTAGCAGAATAAGATAAAGACGTGGCGAACAGATAATTTCGATTTGCGACAACTTTCGTAGGCGAATCATAACAACAACCTCGAGAACTTCGAGACGATGAAGATCTCTACGAAACCGGTGTCCGGAAGGACGTCGGAGAAGGACGACTGTCCTTTAGTGCGCTCGTTCAATCCCGAGCAATCGGAAATCGTCGGCTCCGCCGACGACAGTCCCGAAAAGTTGAAAACGTCCGCGCGATCAGAATCAAAAGTACCCCTAAGTACAAGCACAAAGACTGATGTGAAGGAGATTGAGATCGTCAGGCTGTGCAGAGGCAAGAGGGTCAGCTGCCAGGACACTATACACGAGTACGACGAGGACGACAACCTCACCATGGATAGAGTTGGAAGGTAATTGATTCATATAATAATTTCATGAATTATTCAATAGTAGCATTGTCGAATTAACTTTATAAATCTTTTTAAAGAGTTTTAACATTAAAAATGTATTAGCGTCGTCGTACAACAATATTATATATTTTACACTGATCATTCTTATTTATTTTATTTTCTCATATCGTTTAGACATTTAGATATTACTATTATTACTGTTGTTAATTGCTATAGAAAATAATGAACAAAATATGATAAATTTTTGTACAACACAACCGTTGTCTATTAAACAAAGGTATCTGGAGGCGCATCCTGCTGTAGCCGAAACGTGGCTGCGGGAAAAAGCGAGTTTCCAGCTTCGACAGAAATTGCAGAACACGTGTATGCTGCAAACAATAACACCGAGCGCACCGAGCGCGCCCAGCGTGCAGCAAGAGGAGAACCTTCTCAATCCAACCAAACGCAACAGCGTCACATCCGATCTCTTTCAAACCTGGCTGGCCTCGAGTTCACCCGCAAAGCGCAGCAGGAGTCCCAACAGGTAAGCGATATTAACAACGAAATAATTTTAGCTCACATCTTCATGTGTAATCAAATCGCTCCATGTCACAGACGTGTTAAGATAAATAACATGTTAACATAAATAATATAAAATTTGATAAACTAAATAATATATAAATATCGTATATAAGGCCTTTAATATTTTCATAAAATAATAAATCTTTTAAAAATATTTTTGAACTCAATTGGACTTCGCATCGTACTTAGGTAGCACAAGTATTAAATCTTGTAGAACTTACAGCACATTGATGGATCGTCGCGAGGCGCTCGGTAGACTGGACGAGAGCGATCTGTTTATGGAGCTGATAAGGGACGTGGCGAACGAATTGGACATCAATGTCCTCTGCCACAAGATCCTAGTGAACGTCGGCCTACTCACTTATGCCGATCGCGGCAGTCTGTTCCTGGCAAAGGGGCCCTTGGAGGACCGGTACCTGGTGGCGAAGCTGTTCGACGTCACCCAGGAAACCGAGCTCGAGGAAGCCATCCAACGGGCTAAGAACGAGGAGCTCAAAATACCATTCGGAGTCGGCATCGCCGGTTACGTGGCGCAAACCAAGGAGACAATTAACATCAAGGATGCTTACAAGGTTTCAGCTTACGTTTCTTGATGGGGGGGGGAGGGGTGTCTAATCGATATGATTCACTGAGCATTGAACTTTCCGTTTTCGAACTCAGGGAACGTTGTGATCATTAATATACAACGCCGTAGCTCGATGAAGCAAAATTCTAACTATTATACTCTCCGAGTAATTGTCTAAGAGCTAATTAATCGATGACATTTTGTGTCTTTGTCGACAAGATGAAAATAGATATTTCTCCGTTCGCAGGATCCGAGATTCAACAGCGCCATTGACATGCAAACCGGATACAAGACGACGTTGATTCTATCGATGCCGATCTGCAATTACGAGGGCGACGTTATCGGGGTCGCCCAGATCATCAACAAGACGAACGGCAGCAACGAATTCACGGACCGGGACGTCGAGGTGTTTCAAAGGTGGGAAAATTGCGGAAGAGATACGTTCCGAAAATTTATAGCTTCGCGTATAATTGCGTGCGTAATAACCACGTAACCGGACGTTTAGACCAGGCGTCGGAGCATAGTTTGCATTAACTGATTGCATAATGGCGCAAGGCCAGTTACAAGACTATGTAATTGCCATGTAGACGCAATTATAATCGGCGCCGCGCCCGATCGATACGTTTATTAATACGATCGCGCGTCTAATTTTACGACGGCATCGATTATCGCAGATACCTCACATTCTGCGGCATCGGCATACAGAACGCGCAGTTGTTCGAGCTGTCCGTGCAGGAATACCGACGCAATCAGATACTTCTCAATCTGGCGCGGAATATATTCGAGGAGCAGAACAATCTCGAGTGTCTCGTCACGAAGATCATGACCGAGGCGAAGGAGCTGCTCAAGTGCGAGAGATGCGCCGTTTACCTGCTCGATTTGGACTGCGGCGAGGCAGTAAGTGTACTTTCTCTCCGTGGATTTAATTTTCAAATGATATAACACTTGTTATCTACAAATATTGTTATTGGACTGTGTCGAACAAAGTCGCAGAAAATATAGATCGACTTTTTAAATTAACTTAGCAAAACAAATTAGTGTTTAATTAATTGGATATAATATTCGAAAAGGTTAACGCCACCACGTGATTGTATTAAAAGCACAATAAAAGATGCTAAGCCTCGTTTTAGGGGCATCTCGAGAAAATCGTCGAGCGGCCCGGGAAGTCGGTGCAAGAGAGCAGAAAGCCGTTGTCGAGAAGAGAGGTGAGTGGCACCGCCACGTGTTACTCGAATTTGTAAGTCTGATGATCTTTTTCTCTTTCCTGGCGGCTCAGAGCAATAACATCGACATGGAGGACATTATTCAACAGCACGTGAGTGATCCCGATTTTATAAACTGAGTATATACATAATGTAAATGAGAAAATGCAATTTTTCAGCCCTCCCGACGAAGCGAACGTATATTTCTTCGTCGTTTCTTCCGTGACGTTAATCAATTCAATCTTTTCGATAGCTTAAAATTTTAATTTTTTTAGAAAAACTAAAGATCTATTATTCTTCGATTTTTACATAATCTATTTTTTTTTCAGGCATCGACCGAGGGTAGCAAATTTACTATGGTATTCGAGATGGAGAACGAAACGCAAGAGGCCCGGGTCTATCGACCAAGTAAAAACAATCTGTCGAGTTCCCTGGGACAGATCGCGAGATACGTCGCCGCGTCGGGTCAAATTCTCAACATTGGCGACGTCGCTACGTGGCTGAAGAAAGGCGTAATGGAGAGCGGAAAGGAGCCCATCAGAAGTATCCTGTGCATGCCGATTGTCAACGGACAGAGAATCGTCATCGGAGTTGCTCAATTGATCAACAAGGTTTGAATTGAATAAAATTTCCTTCTTAATTTTTAAGTAATAATCCGTAATAATCCGCAATAATCTTGAATAATCTAATATTAATCTGTTATTGATACTTTACATTTGCATTTAGATATATTTTGCATTTAATCCTTAATAAGTCGTTAATAATCTGCATGTGCTGTATTATAAATCACATGATTTTTATGTTATTGACTTTTTAAACTATGCATTGCTTGAAGACAGACCTGAATGTCAAGCAATAATATTGTATTATGATTAAAAAAAACAGATATTAGTGCAGACGTCATAAGGAATATTCTTTTATCCTTTATTAGCAATTCGCTAGATAAAATCATTAAGAGCGATGGATACTCGTTAATAACGGAAAAAAAATTCTTTGCAGGACAACGGCACAGCCTTCACCGACTCGGACGTGTCGATATTCGAGGCGTTCGCTATTTTCTGCGGCCTCGGTATTCACAATACGCAGATGTACGAATCCGCGTGCAAGCTGATGGCGAAGCAGAAGGTGGCCCTCGAGTGCCTGAGTTATCACGCGACCGCCAACAACGACGATGCCCTGAAACTCGTCTCCGATCCCATACCGTCCGCGGAAACGTACAACCTCTATAGCTTCACGTTCATCGACTTCGATCTCACCGACGAAGACACGTGCCGCGCCACCATCAGGATGTTCAAACAGTGCGATCTCATACAGAAGTTCCACATACCTTACGACGTCCTATGTAGATGGATCCTCAGTGTGAAGAAGAATTACAGGTGTGGCTATTTCAATCTCGTTTCATTTATTTTGTCCCACGACGCCTCTTAAAGATACTAAACGCGCAATCTTAAATCGGAATCACAACCGAAAATTATTCCCGACAGGCCAGTAAAGTACCACAATTGGCGGCACGCGCTCAACGTCGCGCAAACGATGTTCGCGATGCTGAAGACCGGCAAGATGGAACAATTCATGACCGATCTGGAGATCCTCGGGCTTCTGGTGGCCTGCCTCTGCCACGATCTGGACCACCGCGGCACCAACAACGCGTTCCAGACGAAAACCGAATCTCCACTGGCGATCCTTTACTCGACCAGCACGATGGAGCACCATCACTTTGATCAGTGTGTCATGATCCTGAATTCCGATAGCAACAACATCTTCCAGAGTTTATCGATGGAGGATTACAGACGCGTGATGAAGGTCGTGGAGAGCGCCATTCTGTCGACCGATCTGGCGATGTACTTCAAAAAGAGGAATCGTTTCATGGAAGTGATCGACGAGGGCGAGTTCGATTGGCAGAGCGAAGAGAAGAAAGAATGTAATTCCTCGATAGTTTTCATTCGGTGATTTTTTATAATGTCACAATTAATTAATTTTGTCCGTTTTTTTTTCACAGTACTATGCGGCATGATGATGACGGCGTGCGACGTGAGCGCGATAGCGAAGCCCTGGGAGATACAGCATCGCGTGGCGAAGCTGGTGGCCGACGAATTCTTCGACCAAGGCGATCTCGAGCGCCTCCAACTCAACCAGCAGCCGGTGGCGATGATGGACCGCGAGAGGCGGGATGAATTACCGCAGATGCAGGTCGGCTTCATCGACGTGATCTGCCTGCCACTCTACAAGGTCATGTCAGAGACGTTCCCGTGGATACTGCCGCTCTACGAGGGCACCACGGAGAACCGAAGAAACTGGCAGGATTTGGCGGAAAAGGTCGAGATGGGATTGACGTGGATCGATCGCGACACGATCGAGGAACCAGTCGAGGAATTCGTTTCTTACGAGCCTAAGGACATCGAGTTCACGGTGACGACTTTGAACTGCGCTCACGCCGACAGGAAGGAACAAATGCCCGAGAGATCGTCGCTCGGCAGGTTCGCCTCGCTGAGGAAGGGCGGGCGTACGTTGAGCAAAGGGGTCCGGCATCGCATCAGCAGGTCTCTCTACGCCAGGAGCAGCTCGGAGGACGCCGGCAAGTCGAAGGCACTGCTGCCGGAGAGAAAGAATCGGAACAAGTTGTGTCTGCTCATTTGACGGCTAACTTCGACGACGCTCGAGAGCATCCCCGAATGATGGCCAACGGGTGGCGATACTTGGAAATGGAGTATATGAATATACATCGCAGCTTCCAGGTCGCGGAAGATGGAATCTTTAACGTTGAGATTACCTGGAAGCTGGAAGTTTGACAGATCTGTAGACGAGCTGTCATTGAAAAAAAGAGCTTTAGGGTGAACCTAGAAGACGCTCTTAGAGGAATAAGATTGTCTGTTTCAATAACCAAGTCAGACTATTCTCGAAGAGTAGAATGATACCGAATGGAATTATTTCAAAAAAGCTCTCTTGAAGCTGCTTTCACTTGCAGCTGAAAACACTTACGGGAAATGAATCCTTTGGGAGAACTCTTAGAAGAAAAAATATTGATATTTGCAAAAACGATCATTATATGTCATCTTTTCACTCAAGATTGACCATATTTGATCAAATCTAAGATCGATCGAAATAAAAAGACAAAAAGAGAAATAACGATAAATTTAGCAATTTGTAAAAATTAAATATTCGTGCGAAAAACGAGTTTAATTAGATCTCAGAAACCTGACAATATCAACAAGAAGAAATCAAGTCAAAGAATAACTTTCAATACAAAAAGTAAAATAGATAGAAATGTGATAATTCACATTTCAACAAAAAACTGGTTTGATTTTCGAAAGATTCATTATGACACTCTATCATTGTTCATTTCACAATTTTAATTAAATTAAAAATCTCGGTATTATTTGATCGAATTAGACATGAATTCAAATAAAAGTATATTCAAAATTCAACGTCATGTAAAACTTTAGTATAAACAAGAAAATTATAGAACGAAATAAATGCATATTCACAAAAACTTCCGAAAAACATGCCCGGAAAGGAAAATACGCTCAAAGAAGATATTCCATTGATTCTGGCGCATTTTTCACTAACTCCATTGCCAGACGTAGAAAAACGACGAATCAAAATATCGAAATAATTAACGAAATGGCGAATCTTCGTAGGGCAAAAGACGATAAACTGCGTAGCCCGAGAAAAAGAAAGAGTAAAAGATCAGTAGAGACGAAACGGGAGTATCCGAGATAATCTCACGAGACATAAACTGTACATCGCGCATCGGATCCCGAGAAGACTGTTGCCCGTAGATTTTAAGGCGATAATACGTAGACAACGGTATTACGTATAAAAACGTATGCTTAGTCGATGGCTAGGTAGCTAGAGAACTTGAACGGTCGGTCGTTGCACCTCACAACGACATTGCTCATAATCGCAATCCCGTAGAACGCGAGGAAGCGTGCTGTATGTGTGAATGTGTCGGGCGTCGTCGGACGATGATGATAATGAAGATGAATTCAATTTTGACAATCTTTTTGTATCACATCTTGATGATATTCTAGGCTATACAGTTCGGCGTACGAAGGGATCGGTGAGGCTTACAGACCGAAGACGTGCGAATCGGACTCGCGGACACGCTGCTCCCACGATATGGCAGTTTGTAAGTCAGAAACGAGCGCAGTTTAATTGTTTTGCCATCTCAGACTTTTCTTCAGAGCGATCTCCGCGATAATAAAGAGAGAGAGAGAGAGAGAGAGAGAGAGAGAGAGAGAGAGATGCGCAATTGATACGATTAAGACAAAAAAAGAATTGCTCTCAAGTTGAAATTTCTTCATTTTCAATTAAATCCTTAAAATTGTCAGTAAAATAAATAAATTTAAAATATTTCATAGATTCTATAAATAAAGAACTTTAAGTAGATATATAAAAAGATATTTTGAATCTTGTAACAAATTTAAAATTTTGAATTTTCTGAAACGAAAGAATCTCGTAAGTAAATTTAATGCGTTTTGAATCGTGTGTAAATAAAAAATTTCAACGACTTTAAATTTTGTAAGTGAAAATTTTTGAAATAGAGCGCATTTTCAATTTCGTATGTGAATAAATAAAAAAACTTATATATTCCTACAAGAAAATAGATTTTCCTTTCGAGGAATTTGAGGCTGACTTGGAAAGTCGCTAATACGATCACGCAAGTCCAGGAATATCCTTCGATTGCGTGTATATGTAAGATCTTTATACATGTACACATAAAGCTCATGAGTACATAGCGAGCGGTGGTACTTTCATGTCGTATCAATGTCTCGTAAACGAAGGCAATGATAGGATTATCTCGTGCACGCAACGTACGTAATCTGTGACGCAAGCATGATCGCGAGTCCACCGCGATTATTTCCGCAGTTCGAGCTTTTGTCGAACCGTTGACCCTTCGAAAGGAGATCGGCAAGTTTACACACAAATTCCGTTATTCGCGACAAAATCACGTTTACGTTTCCGTTGTTTCATCGCACATATTCCGGATCGCGCGATTCCGATCTCCGAGCGATCAGAGCCCGCGGTAAATTAATACCTCTCTCTTTTCGCGTTTAATTGGCGTCGTACGAACCGCCGATCAGACATCGCGAAAAAAATCAGTTAAATCGGAGTGCCCTCGTTTATACTTTCCCCCCAAAACTTTCCAAGCGCATTATGTTTTCCGAGTGTGAGTCTGAGAGTTGAACAACACGAGAGTGAGACTGGTTTCTAGTCTTTTGATATAGCTGCGAATCAATATGCCTATCAGAAATTGTTGCACATGGTTAAATAAAATCTGGATGTGCTCAAACAGCCGCACGGACGTGCCGAATTATTTGAAATACCCCGAGAACGTGACAGATCGCCTTTTATTTCGGCCTTTTACCTTAGTGTAGATATTAGTCAAAGTATTATTCAAAAACCATTACACCTATCTTAATCTCCCTATCTTAATCCTTTATGGTTCAAATTATTTTTCACAAATAAAAGGTTTTAATTTAATCTAATCAATGGATTTAATATGGCAGAATTTTTATTACTCGCAGAAATTTCTGTAGATCTTCAAAATATTTACCAAAAAATTAAAAAAAAATTAAATTAAAAAAATTTTAAATCAAATATTAAATATCTCAATTTAAATATGGAACATTGTTCCTCAAATGGTAAAAACTGATGTTTGCACATTATTACAATGTTATTTTTAACAATGAGTTTTTAATTTTTGTATCAGTTTCTTCACAAATTGTGGTATTAATTTTTTTTATTGACTCTAAAAATTATATTATATTTAAGAATTTGAATCATAATTATGAGATATTTAATATTTGATTTAAATTTTTTTAATTTAATTTTTTTTACATGTAAAAGCTTCGGTTTTAAAATCATGACATGCATGCACATACCTGGCGATAAACGCGCAGCGATTCCACCTTCATTGCAAGTACATCCTCGATGAAAAATTAATTTAAAGCCGAAACTCCGAAGCCTGACTCTCCGGATGTGTGAAAGCAGATCCCGATGCTGAAATTACAATATATTGACGATAAGAAATGGCAATTCGTGTGCGACACTTAATGCGTCACGAAAAACGTTCAGTCTCGCGATGATTTTTCACGCGCGAAATCAATCTTTAAATTGCAATAAATATGAAATAATCTGAATCTGAAACGCAATTAATTATAATTAAATATGCATGGCATCTGACGATTGTGCATCAATCGCGTTTTCATTCGTGAAAAAGTAGCTTGAAAGACACGTAGATCGAGCCGGGAATGTGACAACGAGATCGCCGGGCACTGAAATCGCGATAATAATAAACGATATCTGCAATACAATACTACCGCGACAATACTTGCGACGAATGCACCGACGAGATCTTGATAAATATTAGTGTGAGATTCGGATAATCATGACCGCGAGATATGCGGAACGATTCGAACGCGACTTCGCGACTTCAATATAGCGCGTTTCACGACATTGAACTTATCGACAGACGCAGTCCTCGAAGAGGTCGGGACGGCGCAGCTAACTTTACAGTAATTGGTTCTCTATCTCCTCACTTACATTTTATATATATTTATAAAGTATGTACAACTGAGACGAATGTTTTGCTTTTATTCGAGGCAGAAATAACATTCGCCTTCGTGGCGGATCGCGATTCAAATTTTATCGAGGAACGATATTGCGAGTTCAGAGTTCTGAACTTCGAGATGGCTTATTGTTTTTTGCTAAGTCTCATTGCCAAGATGACGCTAGTGCACGGCGACCGTTTTTTGCGTTAAATTTCCATAAAACTAATAATGATTCTTTCAATATTATCTCAATTAAACGCTTCCTCAAGATTTCTTTATTGCTTAGAAAAAAAAAAAGCGGATTGCCAGATGCACTTTGGCCGGTTATACGTCGATAACATTATAAGTCCATAATTTATAAATAAATTATAATTTCATAAATATATTAACTTAAATGTTATATAGTATTAAAAAACTTAATAGGTATTGCATTTTTATTATAATCGTCACTTTGCTCTCTTTCGCTGCAGCGTTTAAAAAAATCTGAACACTCGAAATAAAACGAGGAAAGGAGAAGGAAACGTTATCTCAATGGGAAAATCGAGGGCGGATCTTCAATGCGGACCGTATATATTTACGCCGTTTTTATTAATAAAACATTTAGAAATTACACTCGTACGATGGTGTCCTTTACAGTTACGGATCATCAATCCAATATTGGTCCTACTAAATTAAATTAAGTATAACAAACGGTTCCTCCCTTTTTTCTTTATCTGCTTCCTTCCGTCTCCTTATTACTTCGCGTCGACGATTATAATCCGCTATATACACACATTATATGCAAACATGCGTACGCGCGCACGTGCGCGACATGCGCGCGCGCGCATGCAGTCAGAGCCCTATGCACGTGATATTGCGACGTCCCAAAGAAATTGGTTGACGGGAAACTTCCCGTAATTTCCCGGGAGACTTCCTTCCTGCGGCTTCCGTTTATTTGTTTATTTTTTCTTCCTCCCTCCTTTTTTCTTCGATATCACGCTTTCTCTCACTCGATCTCGGACGATCTCCGGTCCGTACGTCTCTCCTACGGGCGCTCACACGCGCTAGGAAATCGCACGCTGAGGCAGTGACACGCTTATTTGGCAAGATCCTTTCATCGCAACATTACAACGTATCGGGCAGGCTCCGATTGGGCATTGTGACCAAGAACGAGAGAGATCGTTCGCCGTTGCGTGCACGATACCGCGGTAAGCGCGCGTAAATCGAGACCTTTTTCAACCGACTGTGGAACCTCGACAAGCCCGAATTCCTGACGCCACGTGGACACGCGAGATATCTTCCCGCGTTCGTCGTGCCGTTCTCTACGCTCACGAGGCTCACGTTACGCTGGATGTCAAGCTAATCGACGATAGACGAATGGTAGTGCCAGAAAAGACTCTAAGACTCTCTTCCTCGGCGTTGCGTCTCGCGTGTTACGATATACTTTAGGCTCCCAAAGCGCGTAAGAGAAAGCAAAGGTAGACATGGTGTTGCGTCGTTGTATCGTTTGAGATCATTGTTATTTATAACTAATTAGCGGGAACGGAATATGGAAAGCGTCCAGCGTCGCGACGGGTGACCAGTTTCGACTTGTCAGAGAGCGGACTAAAGCGTACGTAGTTTCGCGCTGCATCGCAAACGGTTTTCGCCTTGATCACAATGCCGATTCAACTTGTAACGTAACTTATCTTTTTATATCACCGCTTCTTTCACACAATTTCTTTCTTCTTCTCGGGGTTTTTTCCCCCCCTTTTTTTTAGCCAATCCTCGGGTTTCTTTACGGCGCGACAAGTGTTTTGTGCGAATTCCAATTCGAATCTATCCGTCTTCGCTTGTCGAGAGGCATCCACACGCGCGCGACTGAACTGAACATCCCTCACTCAATTGTACATACGTATAGCGAAAAGACTTTACGCTTTACGCGCGCGGATACACAAGACGTAATGGAAGATACATCGCGGAAGATGAGAAGAACTCGGAGATTCGTACATACAGCATTCGTCGAGAACGAGGTTCACGCCTCGTAATCGAGGTTCTTCGTTCGACGGAACCTTGAACGAAACACGCGCTACAGACGCCTAACATCGTACGCCATCTCATCGCTAAGTAATTCACGCAGACACGCATCTCATTCACGTCTCTCATTAATTAAATGCAGGTGATACGATAAAAGTCATAAATGAACAGTAAAAAAATATGTAGACCCCGTCGTATACATGACAAATCAATGTGGCGGCCAACGGTGAGCCTAACTCGCGTCGTTTAACGACGTGTGCAAAGGACGAAGTTACGCTTCCCTACCGTACCCTGATTCGCCACATATACCTCATATACTTTCGTATGTTATATGTTCTGTGTACGCACATAGAAAATTGAACTTATAGAAGTGCCACGGTGTTTCGTTACACATCCACGCGCTTCGATGCACGCCCTCCCTCGAGAACGCAGTAGCTGCCACTTAGGATCGAGACACCACGAATGCGAGTGAACGCCGAGACTCTCTTGCCGCGATCAGACCGACCTTGTATAAGCTTGCTTCGTCACAATTGAATTGACAGATGAATCTACGACAGCGCGAAATCCCCACGAATCAATCGCGCACATTCCCGCGTACGTATTTCTTGTTTCCCGCAAGTTTTCACTCTCACACACATGCACGCGCATATTACAATCTGATCATACTGCGTCAATCTACATTTACCTTTTAGAACTAAGTACGAGGCACGATCCGGCGACAAGAGAGTCTTGGCTTGTCGCACGCGTGTACGGCAAGAGCAATCGTGCAAGGTGCACCTGAGCAATTTGCGGCCCACAAGTTACGATGACGGGAAATCTGTCCTTTTTTTTTTCAAGCCTTGCAGAATTTTCGGCACCTTGTGAAAAATGACTCAAACTAACCGGTATGTCCCATAATTGTGCCGACAGGCACTCACGAGCGCGTGCATGTCCGTGATTCTGGCGAGGTAATGTCCAGAGTGCTGCACGGGGGGTCACATGAAGAACTCCCTGGATCGGCTAATATGCAGTCACGACGCGGGTCTATCCAGTACCGAGATCTCTATTAGCCTAAGCCCGCGCGTCGTCGGATCTGTCAGCAGGAGGCCGCGTGGCTTGTACACTCGATCGTTCTGCTCGCAGACGAACTTGGCGACCTTGCGCAGACACTTTTCGTAGTGCGTTTCGGTGCATATACTTATCAGATAACCCGTGAGACAGTATAGGCAGCTCTCGCAGTATGTAGAACAACTGGCACGCTCTGCCTCGACGAAGTAGTTGTTCAACTGATTGATTGTGTACTCGAACAATTGTCTGTCCAACTAAATTGGGGAAATATTTGGTGATAAGTATCCCTCAATCGTTTCTTCTAATTTTCAGAAAGCGTATTCAATTCCTATATACAGATTAGAAGTTTTCGCGACCGTGATACTCACCCTACTTTCCAGTTCTGTGGGGAACCGCGTTTGGAACTTAACCATAGTACCTTCGCTGTAGTCGCGCTGTATAAAAATCTTTTGACAGTTTTGAGGAGGCCCTCCACCCGCCTGCCCTCGTCCCGCGGACATGTCCTCCAGCGGCGTGAGGGCGGCATGATTGCCCTAAAAAAATACAACGCACATAGCCATTTTTATTACATATTGTCGAATCTATTCTGAATACTAATACGTGGTCTACAACTTCATCTTTCCCGACGATATAAGAAATTTTCATGTTAACAAAGAGCAAAATTTATTACAAACATTAATATCAAATTCTTGTACAATAACGTACTTTTCTCTCGTAAATAATCTCTTCGGGCAGTATGCATAATGTTTTCTTCGAGCTCGGGCTCTATAAAATAAAATGTAACATCGCATAACTATCTTCGAATTTCTTGGAAAGATTCTGTATTTTCATCTGTACTTTCTTTTTACAAACAATAAACGCAAAATACAATCTCACGCTCTTAACGTCAACCAATAAGTATCGCAACACTGCATATATCACCGCTGATATTGGAGACAATTGTATTTGGCATTAGCGTAAAACTTGCAAAAATACATTGACATACTTTTCTGTCATTATTGATCCCTTTTAAATTACATTTCGGACGAACTCGCTAAACACTGCCGCGCACAAAATGAAGCTTCCACGCTGAAGTTTCAACCCGCTACTCGCCTCGGGGAAGCTCCCGTTTCCCTCTCATCACACTCTTTCCGCCCGGAGTTAACCACAAAAAAACCGCACCCAGCTCTCACCTCGGAGATCGCGAGGACGGGCAGTCGCATCCTCGCTTCGTTTCGTCAGTCGCGATCGCTGACTCCTCGTTCAAAGATCGACACGCGGGGGGAGGGAGGAGATTTTCGAGGGGCAGATCGCGTGGAGGAGTGAAACCAGGCGAAATGCCTTTCGCGATCGAGAGGATGACAGCGAGGAGGCAAGCGCGAGAGAGAGAGAGAGAGAGAGAGAGAGAGAGAGAGACGGACAGCGAGGAAGAGTGAGAAAGTGCGCACGGACTCACCAGTGGCATTTTGAGCTTCGTCTTGCCGGTTGGTTGCCGCACGTTCCCGACGAAAGCCGAGCTCGACCGTTGCCGTCGCGCTCGCGGTCGCCGTGTCTATCTTGGACGCGGATCGGCGCGACGAGGACTCGGGGAAATCGGCCGAGGGCACCGCTGCCGCCTGCACGCACACGAACGGACCCCACGACTCCGCGACACTCCGCGGCCGCCATGGACGATGCGCGCGCAGCGCGCGCATGCGCCGACCTGTGCCGCGTGTGCGCTGTGCTCGGACTGCTCAGTGTTGTGCGATTCGAGCCTTCCTTCACTCACTCGCCCGCGCTCTTCGCTCCATTTTCGCGGATCAACGAGGGCACGCGTTCGGACTCCGAGTTTTGAGGAACAGGTAGACTGGAAGGCGTCGTCGAAGGTGCCGAATTGAACAGAGCAGCTTCCATTCCGGGATCCATTTCTTTCTGCGCTTGTGGCTTTTTACGCGCTTTCCGCTTGTAACACCATTTCGCTTTCGGCGCGAGAGGAGAAGGACGAAAGAAGAGAAGAGAAAATTGCTGCAGGTGACTGAAGAATGAGTTCAGAGAGATAAATCGGTGAATTTCTTTACTTAAATTTATATTTGCCTTTTCTTAATACGCGAAAAAGAAATGTCAAGATTACGGATCGCTATCGTGTTTCAATTAATTAAGCAACGCCGTCATTTTCATGAAAATATTTTCAAATTTATGCAATTAATAAAATAAATAAATAACGAAAGAAACGAGAGAGAGAGAGAGAGAGAGAAATGTTAAAACATCTACAGATTTCTATAGAAATATGTGAAAACGTCTGACAATGTTGTGCTACTTGCAGTTGTTTTTATACATATATATTTAACTCTTAGTAAAATCGAAGAGATATCCTGGAAATTGAAAACATGATGAAATAAAGAAAAATAATAAAATTTTGAAAAAATCCATATTTTGTTGTAAAAGAGACAATGGCAGGAAAATAAAAGAAGATAAGATTAATATTAAAGATTTCCGAAGTTAATAATAAAACTATTTTAGATTTTTTAATTGGAATTATAATGATGTGATGTTTTAAGATGGCTCAAAAAAAGCTTAATCAATGCAATGTATAATAATATTATCAAATTTGTTATATCAAACGATTTATTATCTCTATATAGAACAAATAATAGAAATAAGTTTTTAAATTTTAAGGTATAATATTAATTTATAACATAGTTGCTGAATAAAAAAATATAGAGTAGGTACGTATGAAATAAATGAAAATTCTAAAAAGAGATACAAAAAAGATTAAACGTATAAGACAACATATAATTTTATTGTAGAAAAATCATAAATTTTTTTATAATTTGTTAACGCTGACACATATTAAACAAAAATAATTAATAAATTACTGAAAAATTAAATAAAAAGTCATTAATCAATCTTGGAGTGATAAAAACGCTGTGAAGTAGGACATGGCCATTCGTATAACCTTTAAATCAAATAAATCGTTTTATAGTTCTATATACATGCTTATACGAAAGAAAAACTTTGAGCAATTTTCCATGGTTCACTTACCGCAGCATAAGTGGCAATAGATAATGGAATCATATTACCTGCTTTTAATCCGCATGGTACATTACTTCTGTAAAGAGTTATTATCATTAAAGATTTTAGTCTAGGCGAGAAATTGTACCATTCTGCCGCGTATCTGTAAATGTATATAAGTTCGATTATTGATTTATCTTATCA